GGAGACAACCATCGAGTATATAGAACACGATGTTAAACATATAGAAATCGATAATATTCGTATATTAGACAGTGCATTACATGAAAACATTACGCATAAATTTGAGCCTGTAAAAGCTGTTGTTGCACATTTGAGAAGCGTCGCGGGCAGCACGGAATTCGGTGACAAGGTGCGCCGAGTTGACAGTGAGATTGCTGCGCAGCAAGATCGTGTGACTCGGTTAATTGACGAAAGATGTCAAAGCCTACAACGCACCTTAGACAGTAATTTTCAAAGCATAAATCGTAGCATCAGTGACATTTCTGAAAAGCGTAACGATATATTGCTGCCTTTGGTAGAAGATATAAAATCATTGGTGCAGGCTGCAGAAACGGCCGACACAGCGGCAGAGAACTTCGTTAGTGACTATGATAGAGAGATTGCTGTTAAGGTCGGAAAAATTGATTTGCACGTTCGGAACCTTAATACGACTAGAATATCCGATTGCCTAGAAGAGGTCTTCACGCAGGTGAATCCGCTATTGGGAAAGCTAAAAGCACAGTTGGCGGAGCTTAGTAGCTCCGGCCAGAAAGTTACAAGCACTGTTGGAACCGGATTAAGTGCAATTGAAGCTGAGTTAACGAAGCAGATCTCATCGCTTAAGGGGCAAATTAGGAGTAACATTTCATCGTATGTGACGAGTACGTTGCCTTCAAAAATCAATGAGAAGCTTACAACCTTCACCGATTTTATTGTCGATTCAAAGAATGGCATAAATGGTCACTTAGATGAAATAGCTCACAGGGTGCTGGAGTATGCCGGAGAGTTTAAAGAGGGGATGCAGAATGGTTTTGAAGCAACAGTTGAAAAATGGATAAACGATATTATGAGCAAAGAACCGGTAAGATCGAAACTTGACAAGTATGTGAGAGTAAACAAGGAGAAGGGCACGCTGAAGGACGGTGCTCCAAATCCTAGTGCCCGAAAACTTAGTGCTACTAAACTGATGAGTATTTCAAATGGCGCTGATGAACTATTGCGTACTCCGATTATAACAACTATAAAGTCTCAGCTTGACCCGGAAATTAAGAATGCCGTTAAAGCTTTCGGCGCTGATTCGACCAATAAAATTGAAGAAAATTTGCAAAAGGTGAAAAAGGTCTGCGAGACGTTTTATGGATCCCTTAATCATAAATTCAGTACAGTGAGATTTGATACTCTTGTTACAAACATAGTGAAAGCGGTGGAGCAAGAGGTTTTGGGGAAATCACACAAGTCTGCACTCGAAGATGAAGGTTATATTGACACTGAGCTCCAATTCGCCGTAGAAGCAATACTTCCCGCGCTCTACGCCACTGCAAAGCAAACAGCTGCGACGATCGAACGGCTAAATGAAGGAGATACCATAAAACTGGGTGAAAACGTGCAGGCTGCTATTGATAGGGTTAAGCTGCTTGGGACGAGACTCAAAGATGCTCTTACCCCTGACGCCACTCGAAACGATAAGCTTGGCACCGACATAAACACAGTCCTCGGCAACGAGGCTACAAAAGACGATTTCAACAAACCACTCAGTGAGCTGCTCTCCAAAGCAGCCAAGCAAGGGATAAATATGCTAGATGAGAAAGTAAAAAGAATCGTTAGCATTGATCTTCGTGATGCCCACCCTACGATGGAAACGCAAATTAATAGGTTGAAGCAGATTCAAACCACTGACCAGCCGGACAACATTCGGCAAAAAGTTGAGACCCTTGGGAGACAAATAACAGCGTTGAAGGAGCTTGTTAGCGGTGTCCACAAGAAGGCCAAAGGAATAATCAGAAACCAAGTTGGAGATGTGAAAGGGCGTATCGAAGAGCTCAAAAGTAACGTTAGTAATATCAATGATCGAATCATAGCCTACAATCAGGCTCTCGAGAGAGACATACAAGAAACCGAAAGGGCCGTCAGCACAGCCCGCCAGCAACTGGAACGTGAAATTGCCACAACGGAAACTCACCTCACCAGTGAAGTCAACACAGCCTTCACAGCCGTCCACACCGCCGCGAAAACTATGTTCAACCAAAGTCATAAGGAGGACTTGGAGCGGCTTAAGGAATTGGTCAGCGCGCAACATGCTGCGATTACCGAAATAATAAATGAAGATAAAGAAACAGGACTAAAGGGGTTAATGAAGAAAATGTATGATAAAGATGGAGCGACGCTGAATGAACTAAAAGATTACAATGAGCCGAAAAATCCAGAACATTTTGAAAACCTGTCGAAGAAATTCCAAGAGTATTTAAAATTAATTTTCGACTACATCAATGAACAAATCAAGCCCTCGGACACGTCGCCACCCAACTCCACAACCAAGGAGCCAACCAAAATGCTGAGTGACGTGCAAAGTAAACTTGAAACTTTGCTTAAAAATCTCGGTACATCAAAACACTTCGATAATGTTTTTGTAACTCACTTAGAATCCTTTTCCACTGAACTTGGCATATTCACGCCGTCTCACTTCGCCGGCCCGCAGAACGCTAAGCTGCTCGACTCACTTAGAGATGGGCTGCAGAAATTGCGTGATCAGCTCGATAAGGCGTACGTGAGTGCGTACTCGGGAGACTATATAAACAATCACAACAAAGATAAGTGTGCCAACGCCTTTGTAACATGTCTGCCAACAATCAACCGTGACCTGTGGAAGCTGAAGTACGGGTGTAAAAACAGTTGGAAATTCAATAGAATCTATGACTCCGATTCCGAATCTCTCGGTGCATTCTTAAAAGGTTGTGACTACACAGTGTCTACAGACGCAGACAAACAGGACGGTGAATTGAAAAATGACAACAATAATATGCTTGGCGCTAATGTAGCATTCCTTCTGACGAAAGATACTAAATTGTTCAAGAAAACTAGCCAAAATGACTCCGACGTTCTTCAAAAACTCGTCGATCACATAAAATCATATAACCAAGTCGGTCACGTTAAACACATCCCGTCACCTAGAACCCCTTGCAGCATTTACGAAATGCTTACATGGTGTACCGGCCTGCAGTACAACAGTGTGTACGATAAGTTAGTAGCATACTGTAATGACTACGATACCAAAGATGACGCCTATCTGTCGTATAGATTGTCAATTGCCGTGACATATCAGTTACCTAGCCTATCTACATATTCACATGATTTATTAACTACTATCCTTGGCACCGGTGATGAACACACTACGTACGCATCTGACTTTGCCAATAACTCTCTTGAATTCAATTACCCCGCTAGTCCAGCGGCCTGTCTTGACACGCTTCTTGACATTTTACGTAGATTATTCCCTGTGTTTAGGTACATGCTCAGGCAATGTAAGTTCAGTGCTCAGCACGCTGGTTGGTCCGACTGTGAATACGGCAGGGACATAGCGCTAGCCAAGTGGCCGTGCAAAGCTCATCCCACCGCCAAACCAAACGGACAGTCAACGATGAAACCAAATGGTCAGTCAACAACCGAACCTACGTGCCAACCAACGTCTCCATTAATGTCTTACTTAAACGATTGCCTACCTGGGCAGCTACCGCACCAACTGATATCGGTTGGTTGCACGGCGAAATGTATTACGTGTTCACCCGGTTCGAGGGAATGCCTTGTTTGACACCTCTCGGATTTAGGGGTTTCTCGGGAAGTAGGAAGAAGGGTAGAGACCTGTGTACTGTGCTTGACAAGTTCCTAAGTAATGAGTATGTTACATGCCTCTTCACGCTGGGGCCCAAACCACCATCCACATTGCCGGAACACTTCCAGTTTGTATTGTCACTGGTTAAGGGTATAAACGTATCATCGATACCAAATCAGATTCACAGTGAAACACTGGTAGGTGACTTCTCCACATCTATGAACGACGTGTCCATTAATTTGTATTCTCAAACAGAAGAGTTTACCAATGCTTTGACTAAAGCATACGGTTCGACGTCTCCCAATCACGGTCAGTGTGACCATTCTCATCTTAGGAATCTCACAATGTATGATAGCTGCAAAGAGAAAAAGAACCCGGACATCAAGTGCGCCCCTTTCCTCTCCACGTTGTGCCATCATTCGTATCGTTACCTAGCGAAGAAGAACTGCAAGTTGTACCTCTCCTGGGCATTGTATCTCCCATGGACATTCTGGGACCTACTGAACAATCTCTACGATGAGTTCTGTAACATAAATTGTCCAGATTGGGGGTGTCGTGGTTGCTTGAGAGGCGATAAATGCAAGAAAGGAAAGCATGGCGTCATTGATAAAGAAAAGCAAGATGCGATTTGTCAGTGTCCGTCAATCGTAGGGTGCAAGGGTGTATCACCAACACTATATAAATATGGATTTATGTTTGGGCACGCCTCAAAATTGAATGCTGGTCATTTGTCGAAGAGGTGTTCCGATTTCTGTCAACAGCTGTCTCACTTACTGAAATCTAAATATTTCACAGATCTATTTGACGAATGCGACATGTTCCTCTGGAAGATCAGAGAACCCTTCTCCCAGACGTTATTAGCCCTCTGGTCCCTCTCCTTGCTCTACCTGCTGCACATCACCGTCGTCCGCCTCGACGTCCTGAGGATACGCTCACACCTGAGATCACCCTCAAGCCACCGCATCGCCGCGCAGTCCCTCCTCGCCGCCGCACGCGTCAGGGCACTCGCCAACGTCAAGTACTTCTCACCATAATCGTGCCTTTACGTGTGATCTGTGTATCACTCACCTCCCTCTTTCACCCACTCACCCACTCACCTAATCACCCACTCACCCACTCACTCAACCACTCACTCACCCACTCAACCACCCACTCACTCACCCACTCAACCACTCAACCACTCAACCACTCACTCACCCACTCACTCACTCACCCACTCAACCACTCACCCACCCACCCACTCAACCACCCACTCAACTACTCACCCACTCAACCACCCACTCACTCACCCACTCAACCACTCAACCACTCAACCACTCACTCACCCACTCACTCACTCACCCACTCAACCACTCACCCACCCACCCACTCAACCACCCACTCAACTACTCACTCACTCAACCACCCACTCACTCAACCACTCACCCACTCACCCACTCAACCACTCACCCACTCACCCACTCACCCACTCAACCACTCACCCACTCACTCAACCACTCACTCAACCACTCACCCACTCAACCACCCACTCAACCACCTAATCACTCACCCACCCACTCACTCACCCACTCACTCAACCACTCAACCACCCACCCACTCACTCACCCACTCACTCACCCAGCCACTCACTCAACCACCCACTCAACCACCCACTCAACCACCCACTCAACCACCCACTCACCACTCAACCACTCACCCACCTAATCACTCACCCAACCACTCAACCACTCACTCAACCACTCAACCACTCAACCACTCAACCACTCAACCACTCAACCACTCAACCACTCAACCACTCAACCACCCACTCAACCACTCACCCACTCAACCACTCAACCACCCACCCACCCACTCAACCACCCACTCAACCACCCACTCACCACTCAACCACTCACCCACCTAATCACTCACCCAACCACTCAACCACTCACTCACCCACTCACCCAACCACTCAACCACTTACTCAACCACTCACTCAACCACCCACTCACTCAACCACTCACCTTATCTTTCACTGGTCGCTTCGCTCCCTCCTCCCTCACCCTCCTCCATCACCTCCTCCGTCGGCGTCCTTCACCCAAATCCTCATTTTCCACCTTTCCCCTACACCTTCGTAATCGCCTTACCTCAACCCATCTTCCCCCTTCATCGCCCTCTTTCGCCCCTTCACCTCCCTCGCCTTGTCCACCCACCTCCCTCGCTGCCTCACTGCCTCCTTGACCTAAAATCGTCTTTCTCAAAAAATTCTAAAATTCTCCAAAAGTGTCCCTTTCCACCTCCTCTAATTGCCTCTTTAATTTTTTCCCACTTTCTTCTCTCACCTCTTTTGACCTCCCTCCTTGGCCTCCTTCGTCGGCCTCCATCGACTGGTTGATCCAGGTTAAGCATGGGAATGGTGGTGATGGTAAAGGGCTTGAGGAGTTGGCCAAAGCGTTGAAAAAGTTGATTGGTAATGCCGTTAAAAGTGCAACTGAGAGTCTCGAAAAGAGGCGTAAGGAACTTGAATGCGCTGATAAAGGCTCTAGTAATCTGTATGACAAGCATTGTAATGACCTGAAGGAGAAAATTAAGAAAGCTAAAGGTGATGAAAAATCCAAGTTACAATCCCAGTATAATGGCCATTACTCCGAAGTACATGGCTCTGAGTCTAAAAGAAAGAGTGCTGAGAAGGATCTTGCTGAGCGGCGCATCTCTCTTGGTCAGCTTGCTGGACAGCTTTCGGGTTTTATTGGCAGTGGACAGGAAGTTAAAGATGCAATTTTATATGGTTTGCAGAGTAATGTAAATGAGCTTAGTAAGCTTTTGGAAACATCTTGCGGAGGGGAGGGGTGTTGTAAGAATGTTGAGGCAATTAAAAACCTTAATGATGTCAATGATAAACTTAAAAAACACCTTAAAGATGAAACAAAAACCTCTAAAAAACTTGTTGACATCCTTTCTGCGTGCAATTTAAATGTCCATGATGATCCCTTCAATAAGCTTCAAGAGCCAATTAACCAAAAAATTCAGGAGCTTAATCAAAGAATTGAAGAGCTTAAAAGGCTTAATAATGATGATAATAAAAGTAAAAATGCCTCTGAAATTGACAAGCTTAATAAGGATCTTCAGTCTCATAATGCTTCCAAGAAGTCTCTTGAGACACTGAAAGGGCTTTGTGAATATGCTGAGAAAATTGATCAAAAATCTGATAACACTAAAAACCTTTTAAATAACCTCTGTGGAGGTTTAGAAAAGTTTCTCGGCTACCAGGATGGTAATTACACCGGAGAAGGAATTGTGTACTCCGACCTTGACAGGCTGTGTGACGGGGTGATGGCGTTTTTGTATTCCGTGCTTAAAGATGTCCACGCTAAACAGCCTTACCAAGTAGGCAGGGACATGTTAAATAATGATGTTTTGAGGCATCTTAGTAGTAAATTATGTTCAGGTCATAAGGGTTTTCAGAGTGTCATTGAGCAGGTGGCCACGGGTGTCGGGAGGTATAATAGGGAAGTGGAGAGTTCTAACAAAAATGTTTCTGCTCCTATAATCAAGCTTCACAAGGAGATGGAAGAGCTCAAAAAACAGGTGAGTGATTCAAAAAACATTCATGGTTTGCAGGTGACGGATGACTCTACATATCAAGATGTCGAGGCGGCGAAGGCCCAAGTGGACAAGCACTTGAAGAAGTGTAAATACTATACACAACTATTTTTAGCAGACATGAATAGCGCACGAAATAATATACTAGACTTTAATAATGATTGTATGATACACGTAAAGAACGCATTAAAAGCTGTTATACATGAAAATAAGAGGCTGAGTAAATTGTCAGCCACGGAGCAAAGTAATTTGGAAAGCATGATTAAAACGATTGAAGACAGCATGGAACATCTGATAACGCATATTAATGGTGAGATAATGGATAAAGTTACGTCATTAGTGAAAGCGCTGAGGGAAAAGGTAGAGCAGATTAAGAAGATGTTGGTTAAACTTAATCAACAGCTCTGGGATTATGTTAAGGACATGGACAAGTGGGTTGCAAAAGCTAAAGCAGATGTAGAATCAGCGCAGAAAGAGATTACTAAAATTGAAAATGCGGTACCTGGGACAATAAATCAGAATGATATGAAAGACATTGCCAAGAAAATGGCATCGTGGAAAAAGACGCTGGGGGATTATATTATTGGTGAGAAAGAAAGATTTAGCAAGAACGTCAACGAAGCGAGAGAAAATTTGGCGCAGTTGGAAAATGTTTATAAGAAAAAACTGTTGGAGATTAAGAATAATGTGGAGAATGCGGTCGGCGATAATACTAAGCCAAATAATGGCAGTGTTTTGGCAGCACTTAACAAGTTGGATTATTCTGTAAAGGCCGGACTGGAATCTGTGAGGTGGGATATAAAGAAGAAGTTGGATGATTATGTTACCGGCGAATTAGGAAATCAAGTGGAAAAGAAGCTTTTAGAATTTACTAATGGGATTGCGAATACGAATGGGAAGGATGGCATGCTCGATTCCATGGTTACCGCCGTCCAATCGTATGTTGCAGGTTTCCATAGCACAATTCAAGTAGCGCTTCAGACTGCTGTCGGGAATATTATCGATTACAATGACTTGGTCAACGGGTTTGTCACTCAGTACGTCAACGATAACCAGAGGCATCACCGGCAGCTGAGAGCTAATAGAGTCAAATGGGCCCTAAAACAATATTTTGATGATTACGTTAAGAAAATAATCAAGCAAGCTGCTGACTCTGTCAATCTTACATCTACCCCGCACCTTAGTGAACTTGTGGATAAATTAGGACGCTTTGGAGAAAATTTCGAAACCTATCTCACGCAGAATGGGATTGTTGGAAGAACAGTTGAAGGAGCACGTGAGGTTATTGAGCCGTATTTATGGTTGACTCAACCCCTCACATCCACTACTTATAACAACACTAATCTCACACTAGCCCTCAACACTGTCGTAACCGCTGTACACTCAGCTGCGAAAGCTGCGGCAACAGAGATCGGTAAATTCATCAGAGCCTCTGATATTATGAGTTTGACAATGGCTGCAAATAAGGTTAAGACGCTCGGCGAGAGTCTTGCGGGGGAGATTAAAAAGGCTGAAGGCGCAGATGATCTGGGCAAGCAAATTCAAGAGGCGCTAGGCAAACAGCTTATGTTGATTATACCGAATACGCTTCGTTTGGAATTGCAACAAGATGGTCTCATGTCACTATATAAGAGGCATACGGAAACGAGTGCTGCATCAGAGCCGGGCACACTTAGGCATACAATTAATAACATTAAAACGCATGTTAACGATATTACGGAGGGTAGAGACGGTAAAATAACCGCAACCAATTTAAACCGTGAAGCCCCCTACAACAAACTTTCAGCCGCTATTACCGGTGTTGAAACCCTCTCCAACAATCTATCTGTAGAGCCAACCATACACAATCTCGGAACATGGTCGGATCTAATTACCAACAGTCTCGACAAGCTCACCGAAGCCTTATGGGTCGTGGGGAAAGAAGCGAATTTCTATTTGGATAATGTTAGAAATGGATACATTACAAATGAGCTGAGAGCTATTAAAGAAAATCTCCGCCAACTTCACGTAAATTTCAACAAGGCCGTCCAATCCGCTGAAGGTTTAATTAGATTGGATGCGGACACTTTACGTGATCAAGCTATCACTGCTCTCACCAATTACGTATCCTCTAAAATTACAGAAGCTCAAAACTCCCTCACCACCCGCGCCCGCCGCAACTACGTCACCTCCGTCAAGGCGCTACTCACGGCCTTCGCCGCGAAGGTCACGCAGGAGCTGGAGCCTTTGCCCGCGCAGATCGAGGAGGACCTGCGCATAGGGTTCAAGGGGTTCATGAAGACGCTGGAGGATGGGACGACTAGACCAGGAGTGGATCACGGGAATATTAAATTGCTCAAAGATCTTGCAGGTCAGCTTTCCAATGGGTATACTCCACAAGCTTTCAAAGATCTGTCGACGAAATTCAAGGACTTTTATGATCCACTCAACGACTATCTTGTCAAAGAAGTCAAGCGAGTTCACAGAGAAAATAATGAGAAAAAGCATCCACACGGCACAGAGCCGCAACATTACTCTGATAATATTTCTAGAATACATGACGCACTTAATGACTTACTTACTCACCTTAATGCGAATAATAGGTATGACCATAATATTCATGATCTGCTTGATAAGTTGCGTGATGCCGTCACCGGGTTGAAACCGGAAGGCTTTGACAAGCCGAACAGTCCAGTACTGGAAGGCATCAGAAAAGGGCTCGGCGCTTTTGTGGAGGAATTAACAAAAGTGTACGTGTCGGCGTATGATAGCCAAGTATTTACCGAAAACTTGGTGGATGCTAAATACGAACTTCACCCCGACAGAGACACTGAGACAGTGATAACTCTAAGGGGCTATGGTGAGAAATGTTCGAAGGTCTTTTTGACAATATTGACCAGATTACATAGCGAGCTAACTGGGTACAAAAAGATATGTAACGATAAAAATGCTTCCAAGTTTAAAAAGATCAACATGAGCACTGGGATTGGTAAATTACTAAAGCGATGTGGTTTCGGAGTCTGCTCGAAAGAAGATTCCCAAGATGATGAATTACAAAATTCCAAAAATATGGTCGGCATGCTTGCCACAGTCGGACTTAGTGGGCTCATTAAAGACGATAAGTCTGGAGCCTTGCAAAAACTTTGCGACTATCTCCATCTCTTCTGCCAAGTCGGCCATCATGCCACTTTCTCCGCCAAAAAGCAGCCGTGTAATGTCTACGAAATTCTGACATGGCTCACAGGCCTCCCGCACAACCGTGTTTATAAATCACTTCCGCAGCACGTTAGAACGTACTTCCCTAAGCCCAAAGGCAGAGAGGAGGAAGCATATTCCAAGTTCAACGATAACGAGCTCATCCTCTCCGGGACCAGAACGTTCAACGTAGGCCATATTGTGGCGGCACTTAACCACGTTACATCCAAATCGCGCGACGTACTCTGCACAATTATCGGAGCAGGCGACGCTGATACTATTTACGGCTGTGAATTCTCGAACAATCATCTGAATCTATCATACCCCTCTGATCCATCCGGTTGTTTTGACATGTTGTTAAATTTGCTCCGCCGTTTGTTCCACGTCTTTAGCTTTTTACATGCTAAGTGTAAAGTTGGCGCTAATCATCATGGTTGGTCGGATTGCCCCTACGGCAAGGACATCCCTACAACCAAATCGCACTGTAATATACAACCAACCGATAAACCAAATGACCAATCAAAGTGCCAAACAAATTGCCAGGCAAAGTGCGAAGCTAAGTGCCAACCAACGTCACCACTAATGAGCTACCTTAACGACTGTCTTCCCGGCCATCTACCTCATGACCTATCTTCCATTGGCTGTCGGTCTGTATGTTCCACGTGTCCAAATGGCAAGAAAGGTATGCCCTGTCTCACGCCACTCGGATTCAGAGGTTTCTCTGGCAGGACACGGACGGGCAAAAATCTGTGTGACATTATCGTTGACTTTTTGCGTAACGATTACCTTTCATCTCTGTTTTGCCTGTCCCCTAGGGCGCCATATACTCTACCCGAACACCTCGGATTTACTTTGTCGCTTGTCAGTGGATGGCACATGTACCGTGGTAGTCGTTTCACAAATGCTCTACAAGAGAGCTTGCAAACTGTAATTACCGATGTCTCCATCGGTCTATGTGAAAAACCAGGCGATCTTACTGACGCACTTCGTAAGGCGTATGGTAGTAGTCAGGATAGTCATGTGAAGCATGAAGAGAATTGTGTCGATTTGTCAAGTCTTTCAATGAGTATCGCATGTTCCGATCAGCATTGTGCTCCTTACGTATTCTCATTGTGTTCATATTCATACGATTGTCTTGCCTACAAACATTCCAATCCTTACTTATCCTGGGCCATCTACCTCCCATGGACATTTTGGGATCTACTTAACAATTTATATAACGCTTTCTGTGGAATCACTTGTGCAGATTGGGGATGCCGTGGATGTCTCAGAGGAGACACGTGTAGGAGTGGCAAGCATGGTGTCGTTGAGGATGAGAAGAAAGATGCCACATGTCAGTGTCCTTCCATAGTATCCTGCAAGGGCGTCGCACCGACGCTCTACCAGTATGGATTCAGCTTCGGCGAGGCGTCGACGTTGAATGGTGGTAGCACAGCGAAGAAGTGTAAGGATTTCTGTTGTCAGTTGAAGAAAGTGCTGCAGTCACAATATTTCCAGACGCTGTTCAAGGAGTGCGACAATTTCCTGTGCATAATCAGATGGCCTTTTATGTGTACTTTGTTAGCCCTCTGGTCACTCTCTTTGCTCTACCTGCTGCACATCGCCGTCGTCCGCCTCGACGTCCTGAGGATACGCTCCCACCTGCGTTCGCCCGCAAGCCACCGCATCGCCGCACAGTCCCTCCTCGCAGCCGCACGCGTCAAGGCACTCGCCAACGTCAAGTACTTCTCACCATAATCGTGCCTTCACGTGTGATCTGTGTATCACCCACTCACTCACCCACTCACCCACACACTCACTCACTCACTCACTCACCCATATACTCACCTAATCACCCACTCACTCAACTAATCACTCACCCACCCACCCACTCAACCACTCACCCAACCACCCACTCAACCACTCACCCACCCACCACTCACCCACTCAACCACCTAATCACCTCCCTCCTTCACTGGTCGCTTCGCTCCCTCCTCCATCACCCCCTCCATCACCTCCTCCGTCGGCGTCCTTCACCCAGACCCTCATTTTCCACTTTCTCCCTCCACCTCCTAAACCGCCTCCTCTCCACCCATCTTCCCCCTTCATCGCCCTCTTTCGCCCCTTCACCTCCCTCACCCTGTCCACCCACCTCCCTCACTGCCTCCGTCACCTAAAATCGCCTTTCTCCAAACTCCCCCAAATCGCCCTCAAAATGTGCCATTTCATCCCCCTTTACTTCTTTTAACTACCCCTTAATCCACCTTTAATCCAACTACAATGACCATTACAATGAAGTTCATTACCTCACTGAGGATGCCAGAAATAAAGCCTTGGATGATATTGATGCCCGCCGTATCTCCCTTGGTCAGCTTTCTGGACAGCTTTCGGGATTTATTGGCAAAAGTGAGGAAGTTAATAAAGCTATTAGTGCTGCAATTATCTGTGTTAAAGAACAGATTAAAAACTGTGAAGAGTGTCAAGAACGTAAGAAAAATGACGCACAAAATCTTAAGGATCTACAATCTTGTCACTGTCCCGAACATGAGAAGCTTAAAGGGCTTGAAGAGAAACTTAGTGAAATTAGCAAGCATAATAATAATCCACATGATATCCTTAATAACTTGTGTGATGGCCTAGAAGCCTTCCTAGGCTTCAACCCATCTTCCAAAGGCTACTCGGGCTCCGGCATCGTGTACTCGGACCTTGACAGGCTCTGCGACGGGGTGATGGCGTTTTTGCACGGGGTGCTCAGTGGAGTGAAGGATGATGAGAGTGTAATGAAATATGATGATTACATTAATAATGTGGATGATAGACTTCAAAAATTACTCGAAGATCTCCAATCTTCAATTGGCAAGGGACGCAGTGTCTTTGGTGACAAGATTCAAGAGGTAAGTGGATGGTTACAAAAATATTGGACGCAGGTGGGGGAGAGGACTGGAGCAGTGAAGAACAAATTAGGTGAGTTGTTACATGACACAATAGAAAAATATGCTACTAATGTTGTTTCAGGCCATCCGGACAAGAATCTCCAAAAGCAATTGGAGGAGTGGACTTCCGTCCTTGGCAGCATCTCAGATGCTGTGAATAACATAGAAACTAAGCACGTTAATTTCTTAGATAACTCACTTAAGACACAGATAATGCACAAAATAGAGCCAGTTAAGGCATCACTTAAGGTGTTGCTTGACTCCTCTAAGGAGAAGTGGTTTGGGGAGCAGGTGAAAGTGGTGGATGGAGAGTTGGTGAAACAGAAGGAGGAGTTGAAGAACAAGATTGAGGAAGAAAGTGATAGGGTACAGAAAACATTGGTTATGAAGTTTGGAGAAATATTTAAGGAGGTGGAGAATTTGAGAAATAAAAGAAGTGAACACATCCAGGCTCTCCGAGTGGCGGTGAATGATACAAAAAGGTTCATGGATAATGGCTTTCAAAAGGATTACAAAATTAAGATCATGGAAATGTTTGATAATATACGAGGCCAGGTTGCAATAGTTCACTCGAGTTTGTATTCCAGTAAAGCGCAACTTGAAGGACTGATCAGCGCGATGCAGACGACTCTGTCGCAGCTGTCTGATGGTTTCGAGAAGAATGTGAAAGAGGGTGTAGTGAAGGATTTGTCGGCACTAAGAGAAACAATTAGTGGCCTTGAAAAGAAAGTTAATGGCCAGCACGATTACAGTAACCTTGTTGGTGGTCAGTTGAAAGCTCTTGAGAAGGCGAAAAATGATCTTGATGCTGTTGCTGGCGATAAGGACAATAGTGATAATCACGAAGGGAATATTGAGAAGAAGTTTAACGAGCAGATCAAAAATAATCTTAGTCAGTTGGTCGATAATGTTTATAGTGAGATTGGAAAGCTTCATGGTTTTGTCAAAAATGGAGCTGCGGGAAACGGAGACGACAAAAAGAATCGGAAGATTCAAAATGTTATGGAGACAGTTCTTGGAAAGGTAACGGAGATTAAAGGGGAAGGAGGTAAAACAGGGCTGGACGGGATTAAGTATTATATTCAGGGGTATGTGAGAGCGTTTACCAATGAAGGTAAGCCCGGTTTCGAAAAAATAGTACAGCAGTGGATTGGTGACATTTTGAAGACTGAGGCGATAAAGGGCTATATTGCTTGGTGGGTCAATTTCTATGCGAAGCAGTTCAAGGGCACAACGCTAGATGGTATTTCGAAGCAAAATTTTCTGAGTGGTACTTGGGATACAAAAGTGCACGAGCCGATTGTCGAAGCGATTAAGAAAGCGCTTCACGGCGAAATTAGCGAGGCCGGTGCGTTAGTTGCAAGTCAGATGTCAAAGGCCACCGTCAGACCGAATGAAGCTATTAGAACTCATATTGAAGCCGTAAACGAAGGTTTGAAGTTGTTTGTCAGCAAGCTTGATGGAAAGTTTAACGAGAAAGTGTCAATTGCCAAATCGATTAATTATTCGGATTTGAAAGCTTCGAATACAGACCTCCCCTCGAATGCTACAGAAGGCCTACAAGGTGTCGTTGAAGTCACACTCACAGCTCTTCAGTGCAAGGCGAGCCAGACTGCCAAAGTGCTTAACAACTTTGCCCTCAAGAACGGCACGTCCCCTACAATCCGCAACATCGGTGCAAACTTGGATAATGCATTGCAGAAAGCTAATGAATTTATCGATAAGCTCAACAAGGCCACTTCATTCGACGACGATCAAAAAAAGATCCCCGCCAAAGCCGTGGACGATGCGATTGAGCAAGTGAACAACATGGTCAAGCGCATTGACGTCCATTTTAAGACGAAAGTAATAGATAACCTTAGTGATGCCGTCAACCAGTTTAACTCTAACGCCATAGACCGGATTCAGAATGCAGCAAAAAATACAATAAAACAGGCGACACAAAAAGTTCAGAACGCGCTTTCAAATTTCGGCAATGGTGAATTCAGCAACACTAATCTGAATACGCAGTTAACTGCGTTGAGAGAGCATATTGATAAACTTGGAACATATATAAAGGATAATGCATCAGGCTCAATCGACCAGAAGATGACTGAAATCGGTGGGCTACTTACTGAACTTAATAATATTTCAATGGATACTGAGGATGGTAAAATCTACATTGAAAAAGAAATAACGGATGGACTCATGGAACAATTACGAATTGATATTTACAACAGGATTGATAGGATAGCTCAAATGGTTACAGACGCAGATAGGGCCTTCATAGATGCTATTGCCGCGCTTCACAAGGTTATAGCATCCGCGCAACACTTGTCGAAGGAGGCCGTTATAACTCTCCAAGCGACACTACTTGAAGCCACCACTAAAGCCTTCAAAGAAGTCACCAGACACATCCAGGTATTATTCGCCAACGGGCACATCGCAGAACTCAAAGCTCTAAAATCTCTAGTCCAGACCCAAAAAACTGAAATTGAGCGTATCATCAGACTCGACAAATTTTCCGGCGTCAAAGGCTTACTCAAGCAATTGAAAGACGATGTTAAAATTGTAGACAAGAAAGGTGAAAATAAATTTGTCGCTCTGCAAAATGCACCAAACCACAGTGACTTTAAAACCTTCGTGGAAAAAATGCACGCATACTTCACGCTCATCTACGACTACGTAAAATACCAAATGGAGGAATATGTCAAAAAGCAGTTTCCCTCAGAGACGTCAGATGCAATTGCCAAACTCGACAGAGTAAAGGAAAAATTAGACAAAACGCTCGAAGGTCTTACAACCTCCAAACATTTTGACTACACGTTCAAGACAAACGTAGACGCTTTAAATGGCGCGCTTAATTATTTCGCGCCGTCCAAGTTTGCCGGCCCGTGCACTGTCCTGCTGGACGTAGTGAAGGAAGGCGTGCAGGCGTTAGCCGGGCAACTTGGAAAGGCGTATGTGAATACATATTCCACTCTAAATTTCACTGAGAGTTTGCTGGCCGACAAAAATGATTCTACGTCTCCAACTCCCGGAACTGATGCACGTCAAAAGACTTTAACAGACTACGGTGAGAAGTGTTCGAAGACATGTTTGACAATTCTAAACACTATTTACCACGATATCACCAATTTGAAACATAGATGCGAAAGTTACTGGAAAACTGAGAAAATAAGCGAGACGAACGGGGACAAGGACAATCCACTTGGTTTGTTCCTGCAGCGTTGCGGTTATGACATTGCCAAAGATAAAGACTCCAAGGACGGCGAATCGCAATGTATAACAAGTATTACGGGCGAAGACATTCATAAAAATCTTGTATCATCCACGGTGTCCGCGACGTCTAGCTCCAACAGCAGTCCTGTTATCGGGACAATTGAAGATGTTTTTACTTACCTATCCACATACAATAAAATCGGTCACCTCTCTTCGTTCGCCGCCAAAAAACAGCCGTGCTCTGTCAACGAGATGCTTTGTTGGCTCACTGGGCTACCGCATAACGGGGCTTTCAGTGAACTTGACAAGCACCTTGAGAAGCTATCTAATGATAAAGCTTACGCTGCCGTTGCATCGAATATATTCGATGTGAGAACGTATTCCATTAATAAAATATGCAAATATGCACATACTCTTCTAACCACTATCGCCGGTTACGGTGATGCTGAGTGCGGGTACGCCTGTGACTACTCCAATAATTCACTTAATCTACATTATCCCACATCGGGAGACGGGTGTCTCCAAATTCTCGTTGACATCTTCCGCAGATTATTCATACCACTTAGATTCTTGCAGCGGCAGTGTGCCGTCAGCACATTCCATTACGGTTGGCGGCAGTGTTACTACGGTAAGGACGTCCCACCGTATAACTGGCAGTGTAACACTCACTTAACCGATGAAGTAAACAGCCAGGCAAAGTGTCAACCAAAATGCCAACCAACCGATAAACCAAATTGCCAAGCTAGATCGCCATTAATGTCGTATTTAAACGACTCCCTACCTGGACACCTACCTCACCAGGTCAGCGCTATCGGCTGTAGAGCTGTCTGCAGCACGTGCCCCAAATCTACGCCTGGGCAGCCGTGTTTGACGCCACTCGGTTTCAGAGGCTTTTCGGGCAGCGTGCGTAAGGGCAAAGACCTGTGTGATATTCTTGACATATTTCTCAATATCCGCAACTTAGCAACCTTTTTCTGCCTCGCTCCCAAGGCTCCGGCAACGCTTCCAGAGCACTTTGCCTTTTCATTGTGTCTTGTAACGTCTCTCACAGCCACGAAATCAAATAAAAGTGCAGACGTCAGAACATTACAAGATTCGTTCACAAAATCTGTCGCCAAGCAGTCCATTGACCTATACACCACGGCCGCTAATATCACAAGTGCTCTTAGCGACGCCTACGGCAGCAGCCAGAATTACCATGATTCTACCAAACATCATGTTACCGCTTTTGATGCCGACGGGAATGAAACTAAAAGTGGTGACTTGTCTAGTCTTTCTATGACAACCACATGTTCCGGTCAGCAGTGCGCTCCATATCTCTCCACTCTATGCCACGACGCCTATTACTGCCTTGCCGAAATGCACTCCAATCTCTACCTGTCCTGGGCTCTCTATCTACCCTGGATATTATGGTATTACCTTGAATGTCTGTGCAACGCCTTCAAGGATATCTATTGCCAGGATTGGGGGTGCCGCAGTTGCCTTCAAGGCAACAAATGCAGGCGTGGACAACATGGGCTCATGGACGACAAAACCAAAAATCCCAATTGCAGTTGTAGCAGCATGGTTCAGTGCAAGGGTGTTACGCCTACACTATATAGGTACGGGTTTTCACTGGGCGCACCATGGATATTAAATGAAAAGAACTGTCCAAAGACGTGCACAAATTTCCACGAGCAGTTGGTAAATGTATTAAAATCGAGACATTTCACAGAGCTATTTAAAACGTGCGATGAATACCTTCGTGTAATAAGACATCCCTTCATGACCACCTTATTAGCCCTCTGGTCGCTCTCGCTCCTCTACCTGCTGCACATCGCCGTCGTCCGCCTCGACGTCCTGAGGATACGCTCACACCTGCGGTCGCCCTCAAGCCACCGCATCGCCGCACAGTCGCTACTCGCCACCGCACGCGTCAGGGCACTCGCCAGCGTCAAGTACTTCTCACCATAATCGTGCCTTCACGTGTGATCTGTGTATCACTCAACCACTCAACCACTCTCTCACCCACTCAACCACCCACTCAACCACTCAACCACTCAACCACCCACTCAACCACTCAACCACCCACTCAACCACTCACACACTCAACCACTCACCCACTCAACCACCCACCCACTCACTCACTCAACCACTCAACCACCCACCCACTCACTCACCAACTCACCCACTCAACCACTCAACCACTCACCTTATCACTCAACCACTCACCTTATCACTCACACACTCAACCACTCACCCACTCAACCACCCACCCACTCACTCACTCAACCACTCAACCACTCTCTCACCCACTAAACCACTCACCCACCCACTCAACCACTCAACCACTCAACCACCCAACCACTCAACCACCCAACCACTCACCCACCCACTCAACCACCCACTCACCTAACCACTCAACTACTCACTCACTCACTCAACCACCCACTCAACCACTCACCTACTCACTCACTCACCCACCCACTCAACCACTCACTCACCCACCCACTCAACCACTCAACCACCCAACCACTCACTCACTCAATCACCCACTCAACCACCCACTCAACCACCCACTCACTCACTCACACACTCACTCACTCACCCACTCAACCACTCACTCACCTCCCTCTTTCACTGGTCGCTTCGCTCCCTCCCTCCTCCTTCATCACCTCCTCCGTCGGCGTCCCTCACCCAAATCCTCATTTTCCACATTTTCCTTCCACCTCCAAAATCGCCTCTCCTCAACCCATCTTCCCCCTTCGTCGCCCTTTTTCGCCCCTTCACCTCACTCCCTCGCTGCCTCCTTGACCTAAAATCGCCTTTCCCCAAACTCCCCCAAATCGCCCTAATAATGTGCCTAAAATAATCCTTCAACAACATTATTAAATAACCTCTGCACAGGCCTCGAAAAATTTCTCGGCCACAGTAATGGTAATTACACCGGCGAGGGAATTGTGTACTCGGACCTTGACAGGCTGTGCGACGGGGTGATGTCTTTCCTTCATGGAGTTCTCAGTGTAGTGAAAAATAATCAGACATATAATATGGGTAAAATAGTGCTAAAAAAGCTTGTTGAAACAGAAATTAAGAATGCTTTATATAAAGGCCATGAAGGCTTTTCCAAGCTTCTCCCCAAGTTGACCAAGCAGGTGGAGCAGTATAACAAAGAAGTAAAAGCGTCGAATGACAGTATAAATAAGCCTATTAAAGATATTTTAGAAGAAATAAGTGACGAAAATGCGTGGCGTCGAAATGTCAATGAAATTAAAGTTGACAGTGTCACTGAGGAAGAAGTTAAGAAGGTTGAAACGTTGGTGAGCGAATGTAAAAAATTTTGCAAGACGTTCACTGACGCTTTTGAATTCAAAGATAACAAGGTTAAAAAGTCCGAAATGAGAAACGTTATTAGGCATTTAAATTCTGCGTTGCAGCCCATAATGAACAGCGCGTTGAAGGCGGTGAGCCATGAGATTGGGAGGCTGGAGAAGTTGTCGGACAACGATAAGAAAATGTTGGCTGCGATGGAGAGTAAAATTACTGAGACTTGTAAAACGCTTAAAGATGAAATTAATAGAGGTATTACCGCAGAAGTGGAGGACCTTGTTAAGGAGTTGAGGAGTAAGGTGCAGGAGATCCTGATGCTGCTTAAGGAGATTAATGAGAAGTTGAAAGGGTACGTGAATCAGTTGGATGAATGGATTAAAAAGGCGGACGCATTGGCCAACGAGGCGTCGGATGAGGCAAATTTCATAAGTGGGAAGAGGCCCGGATTCGATTACCAGAATGGGATCAAAAAGATTGTGAGGGAGCTGGATGAGAGGAGCCGTGTGCTGTGCAGTTACATAGATGAGGTGAAGAAGGAATTAAAGAGTAAAGTTACGGCGGCGTTAAAGGGAGTAATAGCAATGAACGAGGCGGTTAGAACAGATTTAAATCAGGTGAAAGGACAGCTGCTGACCGGGCTTAATAACTATGTCAGCAAGTATGTTGAAGAAGTGCAAAAGAAGGTTAAGGAGATAAAGGGGGAGCCGGACGGAAATAGTGGGCTGAGTCAGGTTGTTGCAAAAGTGAAGGAGTGGGCTGAGAAGTTCAGGGGGAATTTTGCGGGTGCTGGCGGGTCTACAGGTACGGATGGTACTATACTGAGTAGGTGGGTGAAGGAGATTATAGAGAGTGGCGCAGTAAAGTTTTATCTCGGTTGGGTTGGGCTGGACAGTCATAAAGATGAGGTGAAAAGGGCTATGACAGAAGAGATAAAGAAGATTTTTAATGAGGGAACAGATACTGTCAAGACCCCCGCAGTCGACTCCAACAGCATGAAGGATTCTCTGACTAACGTCAAAAACTATCTTAGTCAAGTCGCATCAAAAGTTGGCGAGAAAGCTAGTACAGGGCAAGTTAGCCAATTTGCAGGGGGGATTGCGAAGCATCATATGCTGTTATCTCTCAGTATTTCGCCGGATAAAAATCTCGAATCCGCCGTCGAAATTGTTCTGAAATACGTATCGGCTGCTGCAACAAATCTTGCCAATGAAATCGATAAATTGGCCTTGCAGCCGGACGACGATAATAACCTCGGCAAGAACGTCGACAACGCGCTTCAAGTGGCTACCGAGCTGGACAGTGCTTTTGGCACGGCGGTTAAAAAAGGCGGCGATATCCCCAGTGACGCTGCACCCTTCAAAACCGGCGCTCCTGATCTCAAAGCCAACATCCAAAAGACGATCAGCGAGGCACTTGATAAAAAAATTGGGGAAAGTGACAACCTGGACGGCGGTAAGGTAACCATCACGCAGACCAACTTCGACACATATAACCGTTACATTAACCAAGAAACACCCGTCACGTCAAAAACGGAAACCGATCAGTTAAAGGGCCAACTCCCAGAAGCAATCAATGCTATCGGAACCTATGCTGAATCAGGATTCACCGTAAACCCGACCAAAGAGGATCTCGATAAATGGTCGAAGGATCTGAAATCTAATCTCGAGAGTCTCCTATCGGCGTTTGCCACAAGCGGGACATTTATAAAGGAAAAGTTGACGACGCTCAGAACTCAGACTATCGGAAAGGAGTTGAGGCAAATTCACAGTGAGCTTAAGAGCCTGCAAAACGAGCTGGAGACTGGTCCCATCCAAAAGGCCACAGAGTTTCTCGATGAAGCGCAAAGGCTCCAGCAAAAATGCATCCAATCCCTTCATTACCACGTTGAGCAGAAAATAAAGCAGGCAAACTCCGACGTAACTACCGAGGCCCGGAAACAATACGTTTGCACTGTAAAAGCCCTGCTCACCGAATTCTCCAAGAAAGTTCAGGGCGAGTTGGACAGGATGCCCGACGCTATTGACATCGATCTAAACAAGGGGTTAAAAGGGTTCATGAAGAAGTTCGGGGAGCATTTTGTTGTCAAGGTGAAGGAATTAAATGATGTTGATGCTAAGAAGTTTACTCCAAAATCGCCACTCAGCCACGCAGTTTTCATATTAAACAAGGCTCTCGGCTCATTCGTACACGAGGTCAAAACGCAGACTGAGTTCACGTCCGACATTAAGAAGATTCGGCCCGTGCATGACGCTTTACTCAATTTATTCGAGGGCCTCAAAACGTCAGAGCATTTCAACCACGAATATTCAATAAATCTTGATGCACTGAAGAAGACTTTTCAAGGCTTCCATCCTTCAAAATTCGGTGAACCCACGACAGTCCTCACACAGACCCTCAAGGAGGGGATTGGTGCTCTGGTCAAGGAGCTTGACAAGGCGTACGTAAATAAGTACGAAGGATCCAAGGCAATTACATGGGAGGGAACGTTTACCAGTGCACAAGTCCAAGAGAGCAAGAATATCGCCAAAGCTTTCCTTACCAGTATCTACACGTTTCATGAAACTCTGTACACATTGAATAAAGGGTGCATGAAAGGTGGAGAATGGAGAAGTATGACATGCTGTGAAACTGGAAAACGCGGAGAAAATCCACTCGGTTCATTCCTAAAGCGGTCGGGATTCCAGATTGCCAAAGATGACACGTCGAAGGAAGGCGAGTTGAAATTCCCTTCGACTGCTTTCACCGGTGAAACTATCTACGGTAAACTTTTCGAGCAGGAATTTGGCGATGCCGAAATAGTCGCACATCTCAGAACGTGCGAATCCAATGTAAGCAAAAAGCCCAAACAGTTCGATTTCTCCGATCTCCTTGAATGCCTTCTCTATCACACAGAGAAGTACAACGAAGTCTGCCATCTCTCAACATTCTCCGCCAAGAAGCAGCCTTGTAGCGTTTCCGATATGCTTACATGGCTCTCAGGTCTGACGTATAATCGTGTGTATACGTCATTGCGGTTTGATGCATTACCCCCGTTGCTTGAATCAGACAAGCCAAAATCATATAGCGCAGACAATATTGAAGTATCTGTAGTTGACAACAAATCCCTATACCTAAACGCGTATCCAAATAAGATTACATATGATAATTTTGTCACAGCGATTGACCACATTTGTGCAATGTCCTACGATGTTCTCATTTGCATAGCCGGTCATGGCGATGCTGAAACCGTTTATGGCAGCGACCTCTGCAACAACTCCGTGCAACTACATTATCCTAAAACGGGCGAGGAATGTCTGTCCACTCTTCTAGACATTATGCGTAGATTGCTACCGCCGCTCAGATTCTTAGTCACTCAATGCGGTATTTCGCCATCCGATAACGGTTGGTCACAATGCCTATATGGCAAAGATATCTTCACTACCAAATCACAATGTAATAATCATTCAAATAGCAAACCAAAAGACCAACCAAAGTGTCAACCTACGTGCCAGGCAAACTGCCAACCAAACACCAAAGCAAACTGCCAACCAACGTCTCCATTAATGTCCTACTTAAATGACTGCCTACCAGGTCACCTGCCTCACCAGCTAATTTCACCCGGCTGTAGGTCTGTATGCTCAACGTGTCCAAATGGCAAGAAAGGTATGCCCTGTCTCACTCCTCTAGGCTTCAGAGGGTTCTCCGGCTCAACTAAAAAGGGTGCGGATCTGTGTGATATTCTAAAAAAATTCTTTAACAACGAATACCTCTCAGCCTTGTTCTGCCTTGGTCCCAGACCTCCAGTTACCCTACCGGAACTTTTTGGTTTCGCGTTGCGTATCTCACATAGTGTAAATACTGCAGTGCCAGTAAATAAGAAAATTGAAACATTTGCCAACGTCTTTGCATCGTCCATAAACTCTCAGACTATTGATCAATATTTTGATCCGTCGACATTCACCACATCCATAACTAACGCATATGGTTCACAGCACGTCAAGCATTCTGATTGTGAACATCCTCACCTTACCAATCTGTCAACCAGTGAGGTCTGTAAAGGCAAGGATAGAAAGACAGACTGCGCTCCTTACCTTTCCTCAACATGTTCCGATGCATACAATCACTTCGCCAAAAAGCATTGCAACCTATATCTCTCATGGGCCATATATTTGCCATGGGATTTATTGGAATATCTGAAAAATCTATACGATGAGTTCTGCAATATCGCTTGTCAAGATTGGGGATGCCGTGGATGTCTCAGAGGAGACACGTGTAAAAAAGGAAAGCATGGTCATGACAAATCATCCTGCCAATGTTCGTCCCTTGTTAGCTGTAAAGCGGTATCACCTACATTATATAAATACGGTTTCACGTTTGGTGATGCATCGAATCTGAACCGAAATACGTATCCTAAAAAATGTTACAATCTACAAAAGACGTTATTCACAGTAATTAACTCTAAACATTTCACAGGGTTATTTGAGCAATGTGACATGCTTCTATGGAAGGTACGGGAGAATTTTTCATACACTCTCCTCACCCTCTGGTCGCTGTCGCTCCTGTACCTGCTGCACATCGCCGTCGTCCGCCTCGACGTCCTCAGGATACGCTCGCACCTGAGATCACCCTCATCGCACCGCATCGCCGCGCAGTCCCTCCTCGCCGCCGCACGCGTCAAGGCACTCGGCAACGTCAAGTACTTCTCACCATAATCGTGCCTTCACGTGTGATCTGTGTATCACTCACCCACTCACATACTCAACCACTCACCCACTCACCCACATACTCACTCACTCACTCAACCACTCACCCACCCACTCACCCACTCACTCAACCACCCACTCAACCACTCAACCACTCAACCACTCAACCACTCAACCACTCAACCACTCAACCACTCAACCACTCAACCACTCAACCACCCACTCAACCACTCACCCACTCAACCACTCAACCACCCACCCACCCACTCAACCACCCACTCAACCACCCACTCACCACTCAACCACTCACCCACCTAATCACTCACCCAACCACTCAACCACTCACTCACCCACTCACCCAACCACTCAACCACTTACTCAACCACTCACTCAACCACCCACTCACTCAACCACTCACCTTATCTTTCACTGGTCGCTTCGCTCCCTCCTCCCTCACCCTCCTCCATCACCTCCTCCGTCGGCGTCCTTCACCCAAATCCTCTTTTTCCACTTCCTCCCTCCACCTCCTTTATCGCCTTACCTCCACCCATCTTCCCCCTTCATCGCCCTCTTTCGCCCCTTCACCTCCCTCGCCTTGTCCACCCACCTCCCTCACTGCCTCCTTGACCTAAAATCGCCTTTCTCAAAAATCCCCCAAATCGCCCTGAAAATGTGCCTAAAATAATCCTTCGACATCATTATTAAATAACCTTTGCACAGGCCTCGAAAAATTTCTCGGCTACGATAATGGTAATTACACTGGCTCCGGCATCGTGTACTCCGACCTTGACAGGCTCTGCGACGGGGTGATGGCGTTCCTGCATTCCGTGCTTAAAGATGTCTGCGATAAACAGCCTTACAAAGTAGGAAAAGATACGTTGAAAATTGAAGTTGATAGGCTTTTTGGTAATTTGTGCCAAGGTCATAATGGTTTCAAGAGTGTCATTGGCCAGGTGGCCGATGGTGTCCGGGGGTATAATAGGGAAGTGGAGCGTTCTAATGAAGCTGTAAGAAATATTGTTACAGGGATGCAGAAGAATATGAAGAGTCTTCAAACTCAGGTGAGTGGAATTTTAAAGGATCATTCTGATGCAGGTACGCGGGAGACATTGAAGGCGGCGGCCGTGGAGACGGCTGCGAACTCTATTAAGGGAAAGCTTGCTGAGTGTCTTCAAAACACTGAGGCGTTTAACAGCGCATTCCACTTAGACGCTAATTTAGCAATGAAAACACGCATTAATGATCTTCATAATCCACTGTCACTTAATGTTAAAAATGCTATAGTTCGTGTTAATGGCGAGACCGATACGCTTAAAGCCTTAACGAAAAAGGCGTGGGACGACTTTAGGGACATATATGATGTTGTTACAAAAACCCTAGAGGAATTGAAAAATAACGTTAATGATAAGACAGGTGAGCAGGTAACAGAACTTGTGACAATGTGGAAAAAAATGATTACGGGAATTAGGGACAGGCTTAACCAAATTGGCGAATTGTTAGGCGGATATGTCGCAGAGCTGGGGAAATGGATGAACAACACTGAGGCAGTGATCGAATCAGCGCAGAAGCATGTTAAAAGAATTGTCAATAAGGAACCTGGAATCCTGAATCAGAATAGTATTAAAGAAATTATAAATGAAATTAATAATGGATTCGGCAAGGCAAAGGACCACCTTGGTACCTTGGTTGCGGAGGCGTTGCAGGCTGTGAAGGAAATGGACAGTAAGCTGAAGGAAGATTTGTTTAAGGTGAAGAACGGGATAAAGGAGGCGATCAGAAATTTGGGGACAAAGTTGGAGAAGAATGTGAGAGATGATTTGGGGATTTTGAGGGTGAAGATTGAGGGGCCGCTTGGGAAGGTTGTGACGTTTTCAGATAGCTTTGATCAGAAATTTCTGGACACTAAAGCGGCGCTTACGCAGGTGACTCAAAATGTGTTTAATGACATAGAAAGTGTAAGAAACCTGAAGAGTGTTACAGAGATTCAAGCAGCAAATGGTATAACTGTTACAGCGCCGTTACTCAAGGCCATTGGTGGAAATGATACATTTGGAAAGGTCAATACATATTTTTCCAATCTCCAGAGTATAGTTATGTCTAAAGTACAGGCGGCGATGACAGCGATAGGTGATGGGATTAGACGTGCTGGGAATGCCAATACGGATATGATGCAGAGTGCAGTAAGGGCAGCCAAAACGGAGCTTGAAAACCTTCAAAAGGTTGTCGAAAATTCAGGACCAGAACTGACTGGTCTAAAGGGCAAACTCACAGCCATGCTGGGGGAAGAATTCAAGGTTGACGATCTTGAACTCAAGTCCAAGCTGGCTAATGGCGATGCTCTTCAAACTGTGATAAATAAGCTTAATGGAAGCAGTGATATCATATCAAAGGACGACGCCGAAAAATTATTCACGTCCTTAGGCCAGATTGCTGAAGCCGTCTCAGATCATGCTAAGACTGTCGTGGAAAAAGTCATGAAGGCGGTTAAACGTCAAGTGGCAAAGGAGATTAAAGAGGTGGCGAGGGCTGTTAACGGCAAGGTTGGGAAATGCACGGAGCTTCTTCAAGATGGTGACAAAGTGCAATATGGCTCCCAAAAGAATTTATCGGGGCTACAAAAATTGGTAACGGAATTCCAGGGGGAGATTAAGGGACCGCTTACAAGCTTCCAATCCAAATTTAAAACCGATTTTTTTAAAAGGTCAGGGACTGCTCGTGCTGGTGATGACGACTATGATCTCAAGACGGTCATGTCCACCTTCAAGCAGACCTACGACACCAACTTCCGAACTGGCGATTTCAAAAATGTCGGCGGAACCGGTACCGAAAATGTCCTCGACGAGGAGATCGGCGGGGATATAATGGCATCTGGAGGCGGTGGAGGTAACAAAATATCCTCACTTGCCCAAAAGAACTTCACAGAATACATTAAACAAGTCATCCCAGATAGCCTGGCGCTTTCTGCTGACGACCCAAACCAGCTAGATGGCGAACTCCCAAGGGCCATTAAGAATATTAAAAAATATGCGCTACAAAAGTTTGAAGAAGACTTAAAAGGCAAGGACCAAGCGGCAGATAAATTTGAAGGCTTACTGAAACACATCATCACTAACCTCGAAGCTCTCACACGGGCGTTTTCTGAGACAGGAGAAGATTTACAGCGGTATCTCAGCGATCTGAAAGACAGAAAAATTAGTATCAGCATGGCTTCCATCAGAAGAAAAATTGGGAGTTTACAAAGCTCTACGCTGGCCGACGTAATCCAAGACGTCGACACATTCATAGACGCTGACGCCGAGACAATAGCAGCGTCAATTATAGAGAACATTAAAACTTTTGTAACCAATGAAATCAATTATACAACGAAACGTATCACCACCCGCGCCCGCCGCAACTACGTCACCTCCGTCAAGGCGCTGCTCACGGCCTTCGCCACGAAGGTCACGCAGGAGCTGCAGCCGTTGCCCGCCGCGATCGACGAGGATCTGCGAATAGGGTTCAAGGGGTTTGTGAAGAAAATAGAGACGCATTTTATTCCAAACGTTAAATTAATTGGCAGCTTGTCGAGGTCTACTACTACCTACGTTGAAATAGTAGAAAAGTCTCCGCAGCGATCCGCTGCATTATCTATCAGGTTGGGTTTCGAGGGTTTCTTATACAGCTTGTGGAGACAAGAAGACGTGAAATGCGATGACTTAAAAGTAGAGTCGCTGTATACCCCTCTAAAAACACTCCTCGATGGCCTGGAAAAATCCCAACATTTCGATCACGATTTCTGTAAGAACCGCGAGACATTTAGCGCCGCGGTAAATTTGTTTTCTCCTGAAACCATGGAGGGCGCGCCGCAAAAGCTTTTGATGCCTGTGAAGTACGGTTTGCAGAAGTTTTTGGAGGAGTTGAAAAAGGCGTACGTGAACCAGTACTCTGGTGTAAAGTTTGAACGCGATCTGTTAGACGGTAAATTCCTTGTTGACCACAAAAGTCAGCCCACTGCAACATATGACCTGAACGAGTATGGCGAAAAATTATCTAAGGTGTGTTTGACGTTTTTGCGCAACTTGGCGCTTGGGTTTGAGATCCTTAGAGAAACACTCATCGACATATCGAATCCCAAAACTCTCACTTCTAAAATTCATATAGGTAACGCACTTGGTGATTTCTTTGCCAAACGTGGATTTGCAGTATCCACTGGCGACGTAAAACAAGACGGTGAATTGCGGAATCACGAGAATATGAAGGGTGAGCATGTTCACGAGAAACTTAAAAGTGCCGATTTCATGGAACGCTTACATGATTTGTTCAATCATCTAAGCACTTATAATCAAGTATGTCACATCCGCCATATTCCCGATGGCAAGCCGCCGCGCGACATCCGTCGTATGTTGACTTGGATGTCCGGACTCGGGAACAATCCCGTCTATGGCCCGTTGAAAGAATATCTCAAAACATTGTTTCCCAAGCCAAATGATCCAAATTCCCCTCCCAACCCAAATCCTTCACTTTCGGCGTATCCAACTGACATCACGTATCAGAATTTAACGTCTACTCTCGACTTAATCCCTGCGTATTCATATAAGCTTCTAACCCGCGTATTAGGGTTCGGCCACGAAGGTGGTCGCTACGCCTGTGACATTTTCACAAACGAAGATGATTTATTATATCCAACTAGCTCCGGTCAATGCTTTGACATGTTTATTGATATGTTGTTCCGACTACGTCAACAGTTGTGCTTCCTGTATACGCAGTGTCATAACGGCCCTGATAGTAGCGGCTGGTCTGATTGCTATTACGGCAGAAACGTGGCCGGGTCAGCATGGAACTGCAATGACCTCAAATGCCCTAACCAACAATGTCCTCAAAAGGTCGACCAAAAGGGTGGGCAAATAGGTAACCAAACAGCTACCCAAACGTGTGACCAACACCCTACTTGTGGTCTTAAATCACCATTACAGTCCTTTTTGGAGGACGGCCTTCAGGGGTTCCTCCCTCATTCAATCACCTCTCCTGGTTGCAAGCTGACATGTAGTCTATCCAACCACAGAGGTATCCCCTGCAAAACACCCATGGGTTTCGGTGACATCGCCACAGTGGCGTCACATACAAAAACAGGTATAGATCTAAAACGTGTTCTTGGTCAATATTGTGGCCAGCAGGACAGTCCACTTACTAAGCTTTGCAGTCTACTCAGTTGCCTCGTTAGCCGTCCCCCTCAAAATTTGGGTGACATGTTCGCGTTTTATTATGGTTTCCTCGCAGATTGGAATGGAGGATTTTATAAATACGAAAAGACAGCGTATACGCAAGATGCATTTAATGAATCTGTGAACGATGCCAATTTCGGAACATCATATACAGCTCTTGACCCAAGTCCCCTGTTTAATAGAACTGATCACGCTGAAAGTCACTCCAAAGGCGATCTGCTCAGCATATCAACGTGCACATCTGACTCGAAGGAGACTTGCGGTCTCTACCTTCGGCCACTGGCATCGAACGTCTATACCATTTTTTCTTCGAAGTACAAGAGCAATTACTTGTCGTGGATCGTATACATTACCGAAACATTTAACGACTTACTCCAAAAATTATATGACGACTGTAATTCAAAATGTGGTAAGATGCAAAATAAATGCCGCGGAGTGATATGTATAAGGGATTGCCCGACGGCCATCCCATCTGATAAATCAAGGAACCATACATCTGAATGCGGTTCCATTGTAAAGTGTCCGGACACCTATCCGACACTATGTAAATACGGTTTTACATTTGGAAGCGCATATGATTTAAGCGGTAGAGGAAGACACCCACATCAGAGAAGAACGTGTAACAATTTCTGCGAGGCGCTGAAAAAAGTTCTCAGCAACAAAGAATCGGACGGTGCACCACTCGCCAAATTAATTTTCGTTACTATTCCAGATTACATCTGGAAAATCAGAGAACCATTCTCCCTGACATTGTTAGCCCTCTGGTCGCTGTCGCTCCTGTACCTGCTGCACATCGCCGTCGTCCGCCTCGACGTCCTGAGGATACGCTCCCACCTGAGATCACCCGCAAGCCACCGCATCGCCGCACAGTCCCTCCTCGCCGCCGCACGCGTCAAGGCACTCGCCAACGTCAAGTACTTCTCACCGTAATCGTGCCTTCACGTGTGATCTGTGTATCACCCACCCACTCACTCAACCACCCACTCAACCACTCACCCACTCACCCACCCACTCACTCACCCACTCACATACTCACCCACTCACCTAATCACTCATTCACTCACCCACCCACTCAACCACTCAACCACTCACTCACTCAACCACCCACTCACATACTCACTAACCCACCCACTCACCCCTCTTTCACTGGTCGCTGTCGCTCCCTCCCTTCTCCTTCCATCACCTCCTCCGTCGGCGTCCTTCGCCCAAATCCTCGTTTTCCACCTTTCCCCTCCACCTCCATAATCGCCTTTCCTCAACCCATCTTCCTCCTTCATCGCCCTCTTTCGCCCCTTCACTCACCTCGCCTTGTCCACCCACCTCTCTCACTGCCTCGCTGCCTCCTTGACCTAAAATCGCCTTTCCCCAAATTCCCCCAAATCGCCCTAAAAATGTGCCATTTCACCTCCTTTAATATCCTCTTTAACTCTTTTTTCACTTTGCTTCTCTCACCTTAATTGTCTCGGACATTACTCCTTTGATAACTCTCCTAAGTCCCACTGTCAGTCTCTTGACGACGAAATTGAGTCACTTAAAAACTCTGCCAAATCCACTGATAAATCACAAAATGACTCTAAAATTGCCGACCTTAAATCCAAATTAAAAGATCATATTGCCAAGTATCACTCCCTTTCTGAGTCTGACAGGACTGCCCAGCTCAAGGACATCCACTCCAGGATGGTGTCCCTTGCTGAGCTCAGTGGCAAGCTTGGCCAATTTATTGGCAATTCTGACGCTGTTACTGACGCCATTAAAAATGGTATTTACAGCATTGTTGACAGTAATGAAGAGTTCAAAAGCCTTAGAAAGTCTTCGTCTTCGACTGCGCTTTCCCCTGCTGCCGTGTCTGCTGAGCTTATAAATGTTGATATGCTTAGAGAGAAAATTGAGCATTATGAAGAGCTTAAAAAGCCTCTTGAATCTAAGAAAAGTGCCCAAAATCCTCCCCTCTCCTCTGAAGAGTCTCGCCTTTTATCCTCTCATCAGTCCAAGTTGGATGCTCTTCAGAAGCTGAAGAGCCTTAATGAGTCTTTGAGTTCACTTAAAAGACAACAAGATAAACCTTGTGAAACATTATTAAATAACCTGTGCTCCGGCTTGGAGAAGTTCCTTGGTTACCAAGAAACTTCCAAAGGCTACGACGGCACTGGCATCGTGTACTCGGACCTCGACAGGCTCTGCGACGGGGTGATGTCTTTCCTTCATGGTGTTCTTGAGAGTGTGAAGGATGATGAGAATGTTACAACTTATGATAATAATAAGCTTAATAACATTAGTACAGTTATTGCATTGTTGACTAAAAATATTGGCTCCGGGCGTGATGGCCTTTCGAAGTCTGTCGACCAAGTGAAGGGGTGGTTGGGGAAATATGAAAAAGTTGTTAAACAAAAATGTGAAGATGTCAAAACTCCGCTTGGAATTATTAAAATTGACATGAAAAATAGTATAAGTGATACAATCTTCGAACAACAAAAAGTTAAATCTCTCAGTACCCAGCATAACGAGTGGAAAAATAAAGTAGCGTTGTACCTTAAACATGCTGAAGAGGCCTATGAATCCAAAGAAAAACTGGACCCAGAACTTAAGAAAAAGTTAGAAACGCCGATGAAACTAATTAAGCAAGCGGTGGAAGGGTTCCAAAAAACTTGTGAGAATAGGGATTTGGAGAGCTTGAATGGGACGGTTGGGAGTGAGTTAGCGAAGTTGAGGAAGACCGTGGAGGAGAATGTAAGAGAACGTATTAATGACTTGGAGAGTAGCTTGAAAAGTAAGTTTAGAAGTGAGATTAAGGAGCCGTTTGGTCAAGTGAAATCTATGTTGGGTCAAGTTAATGGTAAATTGGAGCAATGGATTGAGGAAGCAAAGTTGGTTGTGACAAAGGCTATTGGACATTGCGATTTAATACTCGAGAGAGTTAAACTAAGGGGTCCTGGGGGTGTGATTTTTGAGAAAGCTCAATTGTTACATGACAAGGGTAAAACACTTGTAGATGCTTACAAGGTGGCGCATGAAAGGGTTTCAGATTTGAGAAAGAAAGTTCAAGAGTCCATTGCAGAGTTGGAAACTGCAATGAAAAGAGATTTGGGGAGGCTGCAACTACAAATTATTAACAATATGAAAGCACATGTTAAGTTAATTCTCACTAATGTGAAAACGGACGTTAACAAAATTCTGAACGGCGAGAAACCACAGGAACTGAAAGGACTGAAGGGGATTGGAAACGGCGTCGTGGATTATGCGACAGAGTTCACGGGGAAAGGGAGGTTCAGGAATAAAGTGCATCAGTGGATTGCGGATATATTGGAGGATAATAAAATGGTGAAGGGGACTCTGGACAAGTGGATTAAAGAAAATGAAAAGAAGTTGAATTCGGGATATCAGAACGCCAAGGATGACGGTGACCAACGTGCACAATTTAACACAAAAATTGCTGAATTATTTAGGGACGCGCTCAATGGCGAGGTGATTGACAGTGTGAATTTTGAGGATGATAAAGAAAATAACATTAAGGGGAATTTGGATAAGGTGAAAGAGGGTATCGAGGAATTTGTCCAGATGCTTGGTTCACAACTGAACCCTGATATTCTTGACGGTGATGATGGCGATGGTGGTAATGATAGTGTTGTTACCAAAATAGTCCAGGTGATTACGGAGCGTGGAAACGAAGCGCAGGGTGTTTTCAAAGAGAGGCCCGAAGACAACGGAAATAAGCTCACATCGGCTGTCATTCTCGTCCTAACCGCCCTCCAATCAAAAGCCAGCCAAGCTGCGGAGGAGCTTGAGACGTTCGCTCTTGATGCCAGAGTAGGGACCAACACCGAAAGTAATCAAACCAGCATCGCTGAGGAATTGGACAAAGCGCACAAAACTGCCAACGACCTTCACGAAGAACTTGGAAAGGTGACACAGCCCGGCGGCAGCACAGCCACTGGCAAGTTTGCCGACGGCATCGAAAAGCAAATTTCAGCGGAAATCAATAGGCATATTCCTGCGAGTGGAGAAATTGTTGTCATGACGCAATATAGCAAAAAGAAGGGTAAGGGCACTGACCATAAATATTACGAATTGCTTAGCAAAGATATTCCTGAGGCGATGAGCGCTTTCACTACAGGTACGCATGGTGGTCCAATCCCAAGCGGAGATGTTCAGGCAGAAATTGATCACATTCAACGAATTCTAAACTCAATCACCAAAGAGCTCCAAGCGATCACAAAGCTGGTAAAGAATGGTACAGATTCAGACAAAGGTACCCGAACGCTTTTGAAGGAACTCCAAGAGGGGATTAATACAACTGCACTGTATAACGCGGACATGGGCCTTACACAAGTCAAAGAAAACCTGAAAGCCATTATTGGCACTGAAGGGAAGGATGACGAGAAGCTTACTACCCTGGTAGGCATAATTAAGAAAGCTGATCAGTTCCACAACGAAATTGGCACAGAAGCGACAGAGGCCATCAAAGATATCCGAGATCTTCTCCAAACCGAAGTAAAGCGAGTTACAGTTGAAATCCGAAACAAGGCACAAGAGTTCTATGCTAGGACTAAGCGAACGGAATTGGGAATTTTGCAGGCAATAATCCTCGAACAACACGGAACAATTTCGGATGTTATTGAGAAAGACAAAACAACAGGCGTTAAAGGTCTTTTGAGAATAATTAAAGGCGATATGGAGGGTCAGGGTGCGAGTGACGAAAAGTCGAATCTCCTTGACGATGTCAAGAGTGCCGGGACCCAAACTAAGGACCATGGAGACAAATTAATCGATATATCAAATAAATCACAAGCTTACTTCGAACATATTTATCGTTATGTGCACTATGACATGTTTCAGAATTTTGAGCCTCAGAGTGAACTCGCCGGGCAATATTCCGAAACCATTAAATCCATCCACTCCGCTCTGACCACCCTCCTCTCCCACCTGCGCGAGCAAAAACACTTCACCCACCAAGTCCCCGGAATGCTCGCGGAACTCAAGACGTCCGTCCAAGCACTCCACTCCACAAATTTCGGCAACCCCGCGTACCCCGTGCTCGACGCTTTCCCCAAGAGCCTGGTGCGCTTCGTCGAGCAGCTGGAGAGGGGGTACGTGAACAGGTATGAGGGGGGTGATAAAATAACATGGGAGAAAAAGGGCACTACAGCAACCGTGTACACTACTCATGTCAGCTATGATACTGAGTTGACTGAGGAAAGCCAAAAGGGTGCTAAAGTGTTCCTTAGCATAATGGACATTATTTCTGATGCCTTTAGCAAAATGGATTACAAGTGTAATGGTGACTGGAGTAGTAAAAAGCTCTGCGAAAAAGTCAACGGTGATGAAAATCCCCTCGGCGCATTTTTGAAACGCTGCGGTTTCGAGGTCGCCAAAAATGAAGCGTCAAAGGACGGCGAATTACATCATGAGAGTGTATGGAATGGGAATAAGATACATACTGATTGCCTTAAGGCCGTTCAAGACGCCACCAACAATGAACATCTTAAAGCGTGCGCATCCAAAAAGGCGGACATTAATGTATTGAACATTCTTTCATGCCTTATGACTCACCTTAACCAATATAACCAAGTAGGCCACATAGCAACATTCGCCGCCACTAGGACACCCTGCAGCATTTTCGATATGCTGTGTTGGCTGTCCGGCCTTCCGCATAATGCAGTATTCGAGAAATTCACAGCACATTGTAGCTCATACGACACAAAAGGTGACACCGATTTACGGAAACGTTTGTTAGACGCCGTAGCATATAGTTTCCCCAACATCGGCAAGTATTCACATAATATGTTGACCACCATTGTTGGCACTGGAAACGCCGATACTATGTACGCCTCTGACCTCGCTAACAACTCTCTTAAATTTAAGTATCCTTCATCGGGCGAGGGATGTCTGTCCACTCTTCTAGACATATTGCGTAGATTGTTGCCAGTATGTAGATTCTTGTATAAACAATGTGGAGTCCGTCCATCTCATTTCGGTTGGCGTGATTGTCAGTACGGCAAGAATATTCCCACCGCCAAGTGGCCGTGTACCGACCATCCAACCGGCCAAGCAAACACCGAACCAAAAGACCAATCAACGTGCCAACCAACGTGCCAGGCAAACAGCAAACCAAACTGCCAACCAACTTCCCCCCTGATGAGTTACCTAAACGACTGCTTACCGGGCCACTTACCTCATCAATTAATGAGTGTTGGATGTATGTCGGTATGCTCCACCTGCCCTTCCACTTCCAGGAATGGTATCCCATGTTTAACACCATTAGGCTTTAGAGCCTTTTCTGGGTCAACGAAAACTGGCCGAGATTTATGTGAGATTATAAAGAAATTCTTCACCAATGTGAATCTTTCATCCCTCTTTTGCCTGTCGCCCAAACCACCAGTTACCCTTCCAGAGCACTTTGGTTTCGCTTTGTCGCTTGTTGGCCAATGGGCTGATACTTCTAGGTATGGCGTCGACAGACTTCAGACTGCAATTGAATCCACAATTAAGGACAAGTCCATCGCACTTTATGATCCGCCGACAGAGCTTATGAACGCTCTCACCAACGCTTATGGGCATGGCATAGAAGGCCATGACGAATGTGATGATACGCATGTCACTAGTCTCACATCGTCTGGTACGTGCAACAGCAAGAACACCCACAGCGCTCCCTATCTGTCGCCTCTTTGCTCCGATGCGTACAAATACCTTGCCAACAAAAATGCTGGTCTGTATCTGTCGTGGATTGCATATCTCCCATGGGTATTTCAACAATACCTCGAATGTTTGCTTGATGCTTTCAAGAACATCTTCTGCCACGAATGGGGGTGCCACGTATGTTTCTATAACGATAAGTGTAAAAAAGGGAAACACGGTGAATCGGAACATCCGTGTCAATGCAGTTCCATAGTGAAATGCAAGGGTGTTGCACCAACTCTATATAGTTACGGATTCACATTTAACGATGTGCTTTCATTGAACGCATCGAAGTTTGCAACAAAATGCTCTGACTTCCAAGAACAGCTGAGTAAAGTAACAAAATCCAACTATTTCACAGAGCTATTTAAACAGTGTGATGAACTACTCTGGAAAATCAGGGAGCCATTCTCACAGACATTGTTAGCCCTCTGGTCGCTGTCGCTCCTGTACCTGCTGCACATCGCCGTCGTCCGCCTCGACGTCCTGAGGATACGCTCCCACCTGAGATCACCCTCAAGCCACCGCATCGCCGCCCAGTCCCTCCTCACCGCCGCACGCGTTGGGAAAATTGCCAACGTCAAGTACTTCTCACCATAATCGTGCCTTCACGTGTGATCTGTGTATCACTCAACCACTCAACCACTCACCCACCCACCTAATCACTCAACCACCCACTCAAACACCCACCCACTCAAACACCCACTCAACCACACACTCAACCACCCACTTACCCACTCTCCTCCTCTTTCACTGGTCGCTTCGCTCCCTGTCTCCTCCTTCATCACCTCCTCCGTCGGCGTCCTTCACCCAGATCCTCATTTTCCACCTTTCTTTCTCCACCCCCAAATCCCCTCTCTCAACCCATCTTCCCCCTTCATCCCCCTCTTTCGCCCCTTCACCTCCCTCACTGCCTCCTTCGCCTAAAATCGCCTTTTCCCAAACTCCCCCGAATCGCCCTGAAAATGTGCCTAAAATAATCCTCCAACAACATTACTTAATAACCTCTGCACAGGCCTCGAAAAAGTTCTCGGCTTCCGTAATGGTAATTACACCGGAGAAGGAATTGTGTACTCGGACCTTGACAGGCTCTGCGACGGGGTGATGTCTTTCCTTCATGGAGTTCTCAGTGCAGTGAAGGATGATGATAACGTTACGAAATATGATAATTATCTTAATACAAATGAGAAATTGAATGATGTCCTTCAACATCTCCACTCTTCCATTGGCCAGGGACGCAGTGTCTTTGGTACGCAGGTTGGAAAGGTGAGTGGATGGTTACAAAAATATTGGATGCAGGTGAATGACAGGACTACAGGAGTGTCATATGAATTAGGTACGTTACTTAATAATTTATCATCTCATTCAGGTAAATATGTTCAAGATGTTTCAAGACAACAAGACAAGCCCCTCAAGGAGCAACTGACCAAGTGGACCAAGACAGTCACTGACATTAATAATCACATTAACAACAACATAATCACTAATGCTAATAAATTAGACCCCGCACTTAGCGATAAGATAACGCGTCAAATTGAGCCCGTGCAGAAGGTGGTGGCGCAGTTGGGGAGGGTGGCGAAAAATGATGCTGTCATCCAGCAGGCTAAAAAAGTAGATGACGAGTTGTCCAACCAAAAACAGATAATGTTGAATCATATAGATGGGCAATGTGATGTGCTCCTAGATATTATGAAAAATGAGCTTTTGATGGTTTCGAGGAAAATTCATAGTCTGAAAGATACTAAAACGGTGCAGATTCGGCGTCTCAAAGGGACGTTGAATGATGCTCAGCATTATTTACGAAAAATTGATGTCGAATATACTGATACGATTCAAAAGCATTTTAATGAAATTAGCGGCAAGGTAACTGAATTGGATCCAAAAAACACGGATTCCGGTGCTTTCGATGATGAATGCAGAATACGCAGGGATGTTGTCGGTGTTAGAAGGAAGCTTGTGAGCATAGGGGAAAACTTAGAGATCTACATGGCAGACTTGGATAGATGGATGGAGGAAGCTAAAACAATTATTGATGCAGCGAAGCAGAATTATGCTGACAAAATACTCGACATAGCTAAGGGCGTCGCTGGAAGTAAGAAAAACATTATCCTTAATGCTGCGGATGAGGTAGAAGAGAAAATTGTTAGTCCACTGAAGGATTACATTCAAAAGGAGGTTATTGGTGAAATAACTAGGATGGTGGAAAAAGCCCAAAGCGAAGTGAACGCATTGGATGGGAAAGTGCGGAAGGATTTGGAAGACATAAAAACGAAAATAGATAATGGGATATGGGATTACATTGTACACTTGTCTAAAGCGGCAAAGGAAGATAATCTTAATGACATTGTCGATCAGCTGAATGTGAAAAGTAAATTGGGGAATGGGTGTGGGAGATGTTAAAGGGCAACAGTGAACCTATGGCCTCAGAGATTGTGAAAGGTCTTAAAGCGTTTGCGCAGGGTGCGAATGGAGACAATATAAAAACATCTGCTTACCAAGCCTTGTATTTTGATCTTCAGAAGAGATTTGCATCCGACGCTTTCAAGGCAGCTGATGCGTTTAGCACACACGTTAAAAATGTCATGAAAGAATATAATAAACACAAGGTGGGCCCGATCTCCTCAGCACTTGATGCCATTAAGGAGTATCCTAAGGTACTAAAGGTTGACGCAACTGCAAGCACCCTCCAGAAATTTTCCACGACGATTAAGGATAATCTCGACGCTCTCACCCTGGCGTTCTCCGATGCGGGTGGACATATCCGATCGAGTTTAATAACCCTAGAAAACATCAACATTAACAACAAACTTAATGGAATCAAAGAGAAAATTAACAGTCTTCAAAGTACCTCATTAGCGAAAGTCATCGAAGAAACCAACAAAACCATTTTTGAAAAAGTGAAAAAGCTCGAAGAAGTCCCCAATATCGTTGACACGAAAAGAAAACAGACGTTCCAGAAAATGCAGGAATTAAAAAATGAACTCCAAAACCATCTCAATAACATTAAAGCGAACGTTGGAATTGCCTATCAAGAGTTTACAAAGGCCATACAAGCTGTTTTGGACAAATTGATTGAAGCCCACAAAAATGTCGAAAATTCGATTATAACCGTCAAACAGACACTTATTGACAAAACGGAAAATGCCTTCTCCACCCTCACCTCCGCCGTCCGCTCCCTCTTCTCCGCCTCCCACGCCGCCGACCTCCAGGCCCTGCGCGCGCTCGTCGACCAGCAACTGCGGGAAGTGCAAAACATAATCGCGCGGGACGCAGTCACGGGCGTGAAGGGGATGCTGAAGTGGATGAAAGGCACAGGTGAATATTCTTTGGGAGAAATTCAAAAAATTGTTCCTACGCCAACTCAGCCAACTCTGACAGCGAAGGATCATTCCGGTAAGTTCAAAGACTTATCCACAAGATTTGAGAAATATGCTGATAAAGTTCTCGTTTACATCGAAGGACAAGTAAAAACGCCGAATAAAGATCCCTCTCAGGATCCGGAGTCTAATCCACAATCCGATAACGTCCACGATATTCAAGGCAAACTAGACTACTTACTTAACTATCTTAAACGTAACACATCTGGTAATTTAAGTAGGCCGTATAACTTCGATCATACATCTAATGAATTGCTCGATAAACTCAAGAAATCCATCTCCGCCCTCTCCCCCTCCACGTTCCACGGCTCCCACAACCCCCTGCTCCTCGACGCCCTCAGGCGCGGCATGGACAAATTCACCGAGCAACTCTCCCACGCGTACGTGAATACATACAGTGGGTGTAAGCCTGTGGAAAAGTGGGAGGAAGATAAAAAGATTGATAATCCTCAGAAACCTGGAGAGGATATCACTGTCCAAGTCCTTTCCACCGAGGGCCGCAACTGCGCCAAGGTCTGCCTGACCGTATTTGACATTCTCAGCGATAAGTGGGACAAGATGGAATCATCATGTGGTTCACATGGAGACAAACAAATTCATTCAGGAATGATTGAGAAACCAGGTGCAAACTTAGCGAAACAAGGGGGGAAAGCGGAACAAATTAAAAACAAGCTCGGAGCATTCTTCTCCGCTGAAGGCTTCACGGTCTCCGATAATGACAAGACACAAAACGGTGAGTTGAACAAGGACAAGAACGGCAGCGCAATTAAGACTTTATGTGAAAAGGAAATTGATATTTCAAACCCTGGTCTTCTGGACGTCTTGAAAAGGCTTGATTTAGGCATTACCCATAAGAGCATAAAACTTAACGAACTAGTTAATTACCTTTACCATATACTCGACAAGTACCGCCACGCTTGCCATCTACGTCATATCCCAGGCGCCAAGCCGCCTACCAACATATGCCAAATGCTATATTGGCTTGCTGGGTTGTATTGGAATAGGATGTACAATGAATTGCGATTGCACTTCGACACATGGTTTAAGGCATCAACTAATGACTATAAATTATCAAGCGATTCGTTTGACGTCGCCGCGCCATATAGGGACGCCTCGACGATGAAAGCAACCGTCAGCATTAAAAACATTAAAGACTTATTCAACACTGTAACCCTGCGCTCATATGAAATATTACGTGCTTTCGTAGGCCATGGCCATGCTGACGGCCGTTATGCCTGCGAATTTTATACCAACCCAGACAATTTGGAATATCCTAATGACATCAGTAAATGTTTTGATATGCTCGTAGATATATGTTTAAGACTTAATTACCAACTTCATTTCCTATATACACAGTGCTGCAATGGTCCTGATAGTAGCGGCTGGCGTGATTGCCATTACGGCAGGCACGTCGGTGGGTCCAACTGGAACTGTAATAAGTTCCAATGTCCTGGCCAACAGGGTGACCAAAGTGCCAACCAAATAGCTAACCAAACGTGTGAACAACACCCTAAGTGCTGTATAAAATCTCCCTCCAAGCATATTTGGAAGACGGTCTTCCAGGCTTCCTCCCACATACATTCACTTTGCCCAGTTGTAAGTTAACATGTTCAGTGCGTGATCACAGAGGTATTCCATGTATCACACCGATGGGCTTCACCGATATTGGTATTGCAGCGTCGCATACAAAACGGGTGCCCATCTGAAATCTCTTCTTCAACCTTTCTGTAGTTCAGCAAGGGAACCACTCACTATGCTCTGCGCTTTCTTCACGTGTCTTATTCGTAGGCCTCCTCAGACTCTTGGTGACATGTTTGCATTTTATTATAACTTCCTTGAGCATTGGGGCGGACATTATGATGGTGGTAAAAAAACTGCCAAGGAGCATAAGCAGGAAGCATTTCAAAATGCCGTCACCGCTGCCAACTTTGGACGTCCTTACGTTGGCTTAGATCCAACTACTATCTTATGTAGCAGTACGCACTCTAATAGTAAACATAACATGGGGGACCTATTCGGCCTTTTATATTGTAACCTTAATTCAAAACCAAACATGCCCTGTGGCCAATACCTACAGCCACTGTCATCAGATGTCCATTCCATGTTTCACGGAAAACACGCTGGCCGTTACCTCTCTTGGATAGTATATATGACAGAGACTTTCTATGATTTACTTAAGAAATTGTATGATGACTGCTGTGCTAAATGCGGCAAGCCGAACAGCAGATGCTACCAGAAATGCTGTGCTGATAATTGTGCAGTGAAATTAGCATACGAAGCTGAGGAACCTGAGCTCAAGAAACTCGAAGGCAAAAATCACGACGAAAAATGCCATTCCATCGTCCAATGTCAAAACACCCATCCGACACTGTATACATATGGCTTCACTCTTGGGAGCCCATGGAACCTAAGTGGTGAAAGCAAGACGGAAGGTCAGAAGAGAACGTGCAAAGACTTTTGCACAGCATTAGGCATTGTAATTAAAGAAGGCAATGTGCTATACAACCTAGTACATAAGTTAATTCCAGCATATTTGTTTGAAATACGCTCCAATTTCATCTACACCCTCCTCACCCTCTGGTCGCTCTCGCTCCTGTACCTGCTGCACATCACCGTCGTCCGCCTCGACGTCCTGAGGATACGCTCCCACCTGAGATCACCCTCAAGCCACCGCATCGCCGCGCAGTCGCTACTCGCCGCCGCACGCGTCAAGAGACTTAACGTTGCATTTTCACCATATCAGCATTGGTGATCTGTGTACACCACTCCACTCCACCTCACTCAACTACTCAACTCAACTCACTTAACCACCAATTCACTAACTTCACTTTCACTCATTTAACCACTCCACTTAACTACTTACCTATTTCACTTACTTCCTTTCATTATTCTTTGTTTCCTCTTCCACTCTTCCTCTTGTTGCCTCACCTATATCTTAATTTATCCTCCACTTCTATTATCGTTTTATTTCCATCCACTTCTTCTTTCATTTCGCTTTTTTGCCTTTACTTTCGCTCCTGGTTCCACTCCACTCTCTCGTTGTTTCCACTCTAAATTCTGTTTTTTCCCTAAATTCTCCAAATTGCCTTGAATATAAGCTTAAATAATCCTGTAATATTTCTCACCCTTTCTTTTATATTCTCTGGTCGTTGCTCTGTTCCTGTACATTATCGCTGCCGTCTGCATGACTTATTTCATGCATCTGCTCCTTCACTTGAGATCACTTCAGCATCGCACTGCGTGTAGCTGCTACTTCGCCGCTGCACGTTTAGGCACTCTGCTAACGTTGTATTTCTTTCATCAGTTTTCATTGTGGATCTTGTATCACCCACTTCACTACCTAATTACTACTTCACCCACTTCAACTTTCACCTACTCACTTACCTACTTCAACTATTCTACCTAACCACGCTCCAACTACCCACTAATGCACCTTACTCTACCTACTCTTACTTCAACTACCTATTTCATTCATAATTTGGCTTCATTTTACTCATCTACTACCTAATTTCACTTCAACTTTTAAATCTACTCTAATTTACTTATTTCATTTAACCACTCACTTTATTTCTCTTACATTTCCATTTACTACTCATTTACTTAATTCATTTAATCTTAATTTATTCTTCAATCGTTTAATTTACTCTAATTTCATTTTACTCTCATTTATTTAATCTATATCCATTCTTACCATTTAATTCCATTTCATTTCTTCTTTACTTATTAGAGTGTTCCTTTTCTTTTCCTTATCTCTTCTTGTTGAGGTTCACTTCAATTTTTAATTTTCTTTCCTTTCTTACTCTCTGAAATTGCTTTTATTCTAATCTATTTTCTCTATCGCTCTTTTTTTTGCCTTTTCATTTCTTGTCTTGTCTAATTTTACTCTCTTTCATTGTTCTTTTACTGTTTTGACTTGTAATTGCTATTTTCCTTCTCTAATTTCAGTGCCTTAGTAATCCTTCAACATCATTATTAAATAACCTCTGCACAGGCCTCGAAAAATTTCTTGGCCTTAGTAATGGTAATTACACCGGAGAGGGAATTGTGTACTCGGACCTTGACAGGCTCTGCGACGGGGTGATGGCGTTTTTGCATTCCGTGCTTAAGGATGTCTGTGATAAGCAGCCTTACAAAGTGGGTAAAGAAGGCTTAAATGAGATTGTTAATACGCATTTGAAAGATAAATTATGTTCAGGTCATGAGGGTTTTAAGAGAGTCATTGACAAGGTGGCCGATGGTGTCGGGGGGTATAATAGGGCAGTGGAGAGTTCTAATGAAGCTGTAAGAAATATTGTTACAGGGATGCAGAAGAATATGAAGAGTCTTCAAACTCAGGTGAGTGGAATTTTAAAGGATAATGTTGGTGCAGGTGACCTGGAGCTCAAGCAGCCGGTGACGTTCACTCCAGAGGAAGTGAAGGAGGCAATGGACAAGATCGACAGTCACTTGAATAGCTGCCTTGACGTTACTTACAACTTTAATATCGATATGCATAGCGCGAAAACCCGCATTAATGACGTAAATCATACGCTGCGTGTTAATGTTAATAATGTTCGTATGTTCGTACAACACGAAAATGATAGGCTTAAAGCCTCGACGAAAACGTCGCGTGATGACATGTATGAGATGCAACAAACGGTTGGCTACGTGCTACATGAGTTAAGAATGAAGGTGAATGGCAGTATTAAATTCCAAGTGGAGAACCTTGTGAGCATGTTGAAGAATAAGGTTGCAGATATTCGAGCTCAACTTAAGGACGTTAATAAATTACATAGGAAATATGTTGACGTTCTTACACAGTGGATTAAGGATGTCGACATGTTCATTGAGCAGCAGGGGGAAAAGAATGTCCAAAAAATCTTAGATGAAGTTAAGTGGAGTAATGATGGTAACAAGCCACAAAACTGGAATAACGTTGTATGTGCTGCAGACGAATTGAAAGCTAAAGCACAGTCTCTTTGCACGGCTGGTCAGGCGGCTAGGGTGGCTGCTGAGCAGTACGTTAGGGAGGCGCAGGATGCAGTTTATCACTTGGACTATGGACTTAAACAAGATTTGAAGAAGATGAGAGAAGATATTAAAACAAAGATTTGGCAAGAAATTAAAACACTAAAAGTCATGGATTTAGGGGGCGATGTGAATGTGGATTTGAGGAGGCTGGAAAGTGGGATTAAAGAATCGGTCACAACGTATATTAAGGGGTATGTCAATGCAGTTAAAACAAACGTTGACAAAATAAAGGGGAATGGACAAGATGACGGTCTAGCGGGGGTTAATAAGCATATAGTGGAGATATATGCGAAGGAGTTCAAGAATGGAACTGATGCGTTTGACAAAATTGTGAAAACATGGTTGGAGGATATATTTAAGTATAACGTCTCGGTTAAAGATTCCATTAAGGAGGCGCTTGACAAGATCATAATCAATCTAAAACACCTTACGCTAAGTTCCACCTATGTAGATAAGATCAAAAGTAAAATTGAGGATGGGCAAATCCAGCATATCGCGGGTGCAATTAAGGACAGGATTAAGACCGAAGGTAGCGTCACATTTGAAACTTTCGAACATCGAGGTGATGCATCCCCCCAACGTTCAAAAAACTATCGATGCAGTCTACAAGTGTGTCAATAATTTTGCGACGACACTTGGCAATAAACTTGGTAAGGACGAACATGACTCTCCCACTAGAAAACAGTTTGTCAAAGACATAGCGTCGGAGATTGGGAAGAAGGTGGTGCAGGATGGCAGCGACGATTCCGGTTTGATAAACTATCTCATAGATGCTGCCACCGCCATTCTAGCGGCGTTGTACTCCAAGGCTAGTGACATTGCGAGTGAACTTAAATCATTAGCTGCTATCAACGGATCCAGTAAATCTCAGGTCGGTAAAAAGCTGGACGATGCTTACAATGACGCTAATAATCTGTCCACTCAGCTTAGCGCGGCGCTAAGAGGATCCAACAGGCATGCCTACGTCCCCGACCCCGGCTCCCTCTCGAAGCCTGACGATAGCCTTGACACTAAGATTGGGGCCGCCATTGACGGTCAGTTTACAAGTGGTCCAACTGTTATTGTTGATGTTGCTGGAAGTCAAGCAGCATATGAACTTAGCAAAGTCATGAAGTCGTTCCACACTAACTACAGTGAGATAAGAAAGAGCCTCAGAAAGAACATTGAAGGAAAAGTTGATCAGGAGATCGGTACGGAGAAGGAACATGGCGGAACCTATGATTTCAGAATGAAATCGCTGTCGCTAGACAAACTTGAGAGTTACATAAAGTGCATCGGCCAAGACAACATTAAGAATGGTTCACTTCCCAAGGCTATAGAAAATATTGAAAATCATGTGAAGTCCGCATTATCACCCATTGATGGGCTCAACGATGAAGCGAAACAACAATTTCAGAAGGTTGATCAGCATCTCGATGTTTTGTGCGCAGTAATAAGACGCGACGGTGAAGAGCTCAAGGACCAATTGAAAATTTTGAAGAATAATAAGATTGCGAAGGAGCTGAAACAAATCAAAGACGATCTTGACAATCTAAGAAAAACAATGTTTTATAATGTCCTCAGGGAAACCAGACATTTCATTGAAGAAGTGGCCCCAAGATTGGAAAAGGAGACCATCCAATGCCTTCAGGACTTTTTGAATAACGAAGTGCAAAAAGCCAAAAATCTTCTCACCACCCGCGCCCGCCGCAACTACGTCACCTCCGTCAAGGCGCTGCTCACGGCCTTCGCCACGAAGGTCACGCAGGAGCTGCAGCCGTTGCCCGCCGCGATCGACGAGGATCTGCGAATAGGGTTCAAGGGGTTTGTGAAGAAAATAGAGACGCATTTTATTCCAAACGTTAAATTAATTGGCAGCTTGTCGAGGTCTACTACTACCTACGTTGAAATAGTAGAAAAGTCTCCGCAGCGATCCGCTGCATTATCTATCAGGTTGGGTTTCGAGGGTTTCTTATACAGCTTGTGGAGACAAGAAGACGTGAAATGCGATGACTTAAAAGTAGAGTCGCTGTATACCCCTCTAAAAACACTCCTCGATGGCCTGGAAAAATCCCAACATTTCGATCACGATTTCTGTAAGAACCGCGAGACATTTAGCGCCGCGGTAAATTTGTTTTCTCCTGAAACCATGGAGGGCGCGCCGCAAAAGCTTTTGATGCCTGTGAAGTACGGTTTGCAGAAGTTTTTGGAGGAGTTGAAAAAGGCGTACGTGAACCAGTACTCTGGTGTAAAGTTTGAACGCGATCTGTTAGACGGTAAATTCCTTGTTGACCACAAAAGTCAGCCCACTGCAACATATGACCTGAACGAGTATGGCGAAAAATTATCTAAGGTGTGTTTGACGTTTTTGCGCAACTTGGCGCTTGGGTTTGAGATCCTTAGAGAAACACTCATCGACATATCGAATCCCAAAACTCTCACTTCTAAAATTCATATAGGTAACGCACTTGGTGATTTCTTTGCCAAACGTGGATTTGCAGTATCCACTGGCGACGTAAAACAAGACGGTGAATTGCGGAATCACGAGAATATGAAGGGTGAGCATGTTCACGAGAAACTTAAAAGTGCCGATTTCATGGAACGCTTACATGATTTGTTCAATCATCTAAGCACTTATAATCAAGTATGTCACATCCGCCATATTCCCGATGGCAAGCCGCCGCGCGACATCCGTCGTATGTTGACTTGGATGTCCGGACTCGGGAACAATCCCGTCTATGGCCCGTTGAAAGAATATCTCAAAACATTGTTTCCCAAGCCAAATGATCCAAATTCCCCTCCCAACCCAAATCCTTCACTTTCGGCGTATCCAACTGACATCACGTATCAGAATTTAACGTCTACTCTCGACTTAATCCCTGCGTATTCATATAAGCTTCTAACCCGCGTATTAGGGTTCGGCCACGAAGGTGGTCGCTACGCCTGTGACATTTTCACAAACGAAGATGATTTATTATATCCAACTAGCTCCGGTCAATGCTTTGACATGTTTATTGATATGTTGTTCCGACTACGTCAACAGTTGTGCTTCCTGTATACGCAGTGTCATAACGGCCCTGATAGTAGCGGCTGGTCTGATTGCTATTACGGCAGAAACGTGGCCGGGTCAGCATGGAACTGCAATGACCTCAAATGCCCTAACCAACAATGTCCTCAAAAGGTCGACCAAAAGGGTGGGCAAATAGGTAACCAAACAGCTACCCAAACGTGTGACCAACACCCTACTTGTGGTCTTAAATCACCATTACAGTCCTTTTTGGAGGACGGCCTTCAGGGGTTCCTCCCTCATTCAATCACCTCTCCTGGTTGCAAGCTGACATGTAGTCTATCCAACCACAGAGGTATCCCCTGCAAAACACCCATGGGTTTCGGTGACATCGCCACAGTGGCGTCACATACAAAAACAGGTATAGATCTAAAACGTGTTCTTGGTCAATATTGTGGCCAGCAGGACAGTCCACTTACTAAGCTTTGCAGTCTACTCAGTTGCCTCGTTAGCCGTCCCCCTCAAAATTTGGGTGACATGTTCGCGTTTTATTATGGTTTCCTCGCAGATTGGAATGGAGGATTTTATAAATACGAAAAGACAGCGTATACGCAAGATGCATTTAATGAATCTGTGAACGATGCCAATTTCGGAACATCATATACAGCTCTTGACCCAAGTCCCCTGTTTAATAGAACTGATCACGCTGAAAGTCACTCCAAAGGCGATCTGCTCAGCATATCAACGTGCACATCTGACTCGAAGGAGACTTGCGGTCTCTACCTTCGGCCACTGGCATCGAACGTCTATACCATTTTTTCTTCGAAGTACAAGAGCAATTACTTGTCGTGGATCGTATACATTACCGAAACATTTAACGACTTACTCCAAAAATTATATGACGACTGTAATTCAAAATGTGGTAAGATGCAAAATAAATGCCGCGGAGTGATATGTATAAGGGATTGCCCGACGGCCATCCCATCTGATAAATCAAGGAACCATACATCTGAATGCGGTTCCATTGTAAAGTGTCCGGACACCTATCCGACACTATGTAAATACGGTTTTACATTTGGAAGCGCATATGATTTAAGCGGTAGAGGAAGACACCCACATCAGAGAAGAACGTGTAACAATTTCTGCGAGGCGCTGAAAAAAGTTCTCAGCAACAAAGAATCGGACGGTGCACCACTCGCCAAATTAATTTTCGTTACTATTCCAGATTACATCTGGAAAATCAGAGAACCATTCTCCCTGACATTGTTAGCCCTCTGGTCGCTGTCGCTCCTGTACCTGCTGCACATCGCCGTCGTCCGCCTCGACGTCCTGAGGATGCTCCACCTGAGATCACCCGTAGCTACCGCAGCGCCGCACAGTCCTTCCGTTGCCGTATCGCGTTGGCAGCACTCAAGCAACGTTCTTCATTTTCACTGTAATTTATTGCCTTCGTGGATCTGGGACACTTCCACCCACTTCAACTACCCACTCATATCTTCACCTTTACCCACTTAATTAATCACCACTCACTCCACTCACATATTTCACCTAATTTCACTTAACTACTCTCACTTACCGCATCACCCACTTCAACCATTTCAACTACCTAACCACTCAATTCACTCTCACTCCACTTCACTCCACTCTTCTTCTTCACTTGGTCAAGCTTTTCCTCTCCTTCCATCACTCACTTTCACTTTCTCCAGCCGGTGTTTTCACTTAAATCTAACATTTTCCGCTCTTCTCCACTCTTTTGAAACTGTCTTACTCATCTCATCTTCCCCCTTCGTCGCCCTCTTTCGCCCCTTCACCTCCCTCACCCTGTCCACCCACCTCCCTCGCTGCCTCCTTGACCTAAAATCGCCTTTCCCCAAACTCCCCTAAATCGCCCTGAAAATGTGCCATTTCACCTCCTTTAATTACCCTTTAACCTTTTCTCCCACTTTCTTCTCTCACCTTAATTGTCTCGGACATTACTCCTTTGATAACTCTCCTAAGTCCCACTGTCAGTCTCTTGACGCTAAGATTGCTGAGGCCAAAAAATCCTTAAAATCTGAAACTCCTCAAAGTCCTAATTATTCCTCCTTAAATGCCCAAATTAAGCAGCATGAAGCCTCTAAAAAAGAGTGCGAAAAATATCATTCCCTTTCTGAGTCTGACAGGACTGCCCAACTCAAGGACATCCGCTCCAGGATGGTGTCTCTTGCTGACCTCAGTGTCAAGCTTGGCCAATTTATTGGCAAAAATGAAGCTGTTACTGACGCAATTAATAATGCTATTAACACTATTATTAACAGTGATGATGACTTCAAAAGCCTTAAAAACTCTCCGTCTTCGACTGTGCAGTCTGCCCCTGCCGTGTCTGCTGAGCTTATAGATGTTGAGAAGCTTAAGGAGAAAATTCAGCATTATGAGAAAGAAATTGCGTCTCTTGAATCTAAGAAAAGTGCCCAAAATCCTCCCCTCTCCTCTGAAGAGTCTCGCCTATTATCCTCTTATGAGTCCAAGATGGATGCTCTTCAGAAGCTGAAGAGCCTTAATGACTCCTTGAATTCTCTTGGTAAACAAAGTGATGATGCTTGTAAAAACCTTTTAACAAACCTGTGCTCTGGCTTGGAGAAGTTCCTTGGTTACCAAGAAACTTCCAAAGGCTACGATGGCACTGGCATCGTGTACTCGGACCTTGACAGGCTCTGCGACGGGGTGATGTCTTTCCTTCATGGTGTTCTTGAGACTGTAAAAAATGATGATAACGTTACAACTTATGATAAAGATAACAAAATCAAGAATCTTCCTTCAAAAATCAGTAAGTTGATGCATAATGGTTCTCATGGTTTTTCGCAGGCCATCACACAAGTCTCCGCGGCGCTGCAGGCGTGGAGCGGTGAGCTCGAGAAGAGGACTGGAGAAGTTACAAGCCTACTTAGCTCACTTAGTAGCGACATACAATCACACAAACTCACAATAGATGGTACGAAAAATGATAGCATTAGTCTGCAACATAGCACGTGGATGGCGGCAGCCTCCAAGTATTTCACCTATGCTAACACAGCAAACAACGCACTATCTAATTTAGACACTAATCTTAAGAATAAATTAGAAACGCCAGTTGGCAAAATACATAGTGTTGTGAGATTGATACATGAGTCAGCGACCAACTTAGAGTTGGACCAGCAGGTTAGGAAGGTGGATTATGAGATGTTGACTAAAAAACAAAAGGTTTTGAGCGAAATTCAGGAGAAATCTGAAGAGTTACAAAACAATTTTACTAAGCACTTACACAGCATTCGTAGTCAAATTAATGAGATTGAGAAAAAGCGTACTGAGGATTTGGCATCCTTGATGAAGTTGGTTGCCGCATTGAAAGAGGCTGTAACAATGGCTGACGAAGCGGCACAGAAGTTGGGCACTGAATATCAGAGTAAAATTGTTGATAAGTTGAAGGCCATACATGATCAAACGGAGGGCCTTAATACAGATAATATTGCTAGTGGACTCAGTAGTGTCGTTGCAACGGTGAGTCCGCTGTTGGTGACGCTTAAAGGAAAGTTGGAGGAGATTGCACAAGCTGCGCAAGATGTTAAAAACAATGTGCAGAATAATCTGCAGTATTTCCGGCAAAATGGTGATTCGGGTTTGAATGTTGGTAATGAGATTAAGAAGCTTAAGGATGAGCTAAATAGGAAGCTGAAAACGTATGTGACTACGTACGTAGAAAAGGTAAGATCCTCACTTGAGAGTATTAGAAAGGGAATGATGATGGTGGAAGCCACGAGAGGCACTAATTCCCAGCTTCACGCTCAAGCCTCCGAAGCGAAGAACAACATTGATGCGCTAGATAAGCAGCTTAACAAGGGCGCCGGAAATATTGGTACAGCAATTAGTGGAGCTGTCCAAGCCGCTGACGGTGCGCTTGGCCAAGTGGTTTCCGGAGTGAAGGAGGATCTGAGCAGTCGTGTTCAAGGGCATATACAGGACAAGATTAAAGAGATTGACAAGGCAATCCAAAATAACTTTGGTGGTGGTTACGGTGCTGCTTATAAAGATGCGCTTATCCAAGCAAAGCAAAAAGCAATAGATGCCGTTGCATCGGCCATCCAAGAGATTAAAAGTTCAAAGTTCGAAAAACTATTCTCCGATTTAGAAAAACAGATACAGGGTGCAGGCGGAACAGGTGATACAGCTAAGGAAAAAATTAAGAAGATTGAAACAAAGGTCGGAGAGTATTTCAACAATGGCGTTGGTAATACTTCAGAATTCAAATTCGACCATAAAACAGCTTTCGGGGAATATAAGTCTAAAAAGGATGAAGCCGCAACGGCCATCTCTGGAGTCATTTCAGACATTGCGAAGATGGAAGGAGCCTACCGCGATGTTGATGGGCTAGACAGTCATCTCGGAATGGCGCTCAGCGGTCCCACGTCTGACTATGCCTCAGACACGTTAAAGCTCCAGGACAGTGTTGCAAGAAGAGTCAACGAAAATGTCGAAGCAACAAACACCCAACTGGAAGCGCTTCTCAAGGCAACGGCGGATAAAGGTGTCGACATGTTAAATGCTAAGGTTAACGGCATCATTAACAGAGAACTTAATACTGTACACCCTACGATAGAAACACAAATCAATAGGCTGAACAAAGATTTGGGCACCCAGCCAAACAATATTTATCAAGCCGTTAAGGATCTTCAGGAAAGGATCGAAAGACTCAAAACTCTAGTCAGCACGGTCAATAAGGACGCTGGCAACAAAATACAACAGCAGGTAACCTCCGTGAAAGAACAACTTTCTCAGATAAAGCAGAACGTTATTGAGATTAATGAAAAAACCACAAAGTTTGATGAAGCTTTAAGCGGCACAATTGAAACTGCACAATCCACTGTTAACTCAGCCAGCGAGGATCTCCGAGCTCAAATTACCAATCTGAATGAAACTCTCACCGAAACTGCCCGAGAGGCCTTTGACACTATCAAAAACGAAGTGCAGACAATGATGTCCAACAGGCATAAGGCGGAGCTGGAGAATTTGAGAAATCTACTTGAGAAGCAGAAAGAAGCAGTAACGAAGCTCATCGACGCTGACAAAATAAGCGGTTTGAAAGGGCTATTTGCCGACATGAAAAAACAAATGGAAGATAAAATTAAGAAAGCGCTTAATGATGAGGGTAACATAAAAGAGGAGTATAGAAACGTCAGTGCCCTGTCCATCTGTCTAAATAGGTTCTTCACCAACCTCATGGACTATATTAAAGGACAAGTAAAAGAACACAGTGGGCTTACAAGTGACGTGCGGTCTATTTCCTTGCTTTGTCATACATTGTTCGACGAATTGTACGCTTCGAAACACATCGATCACATCTGTAGTAGAAACCTAGAGAATCTAAAAGGTAAACTTAGCACATTCGTGCCCAAGAGTTTTGTTAATTATCGCCATCCCAAGTTGGCCGGAGTCTTGAAAAATGGAATGCAGAGATTTGTTGACGAGTTGCAGAAGCAGTACGTTAACAAGTACGAGGGGTGTCAGCCGATCACTCAGTGGGTGACTCAGGACAATGACCAAAGTGCTGACCAAGGAGCCAAGCAAAGTGCTGACCTAACAGACGACCAAAAGGAGAAGTTGACTGTTGAGGGAAGAAAGGGTGCGAGTGTATGTTTGACGGTTCTCAAGACTCTGTTTCATGATCTCGACGAGCTGCGAGATAGGTGTACTAAAGATGGCCCGTGTGATAAAAAACGTATTTACCTCTATGAGCCAGCCCCTAAAAATATGAAGCGGGACGATAACCAACTGGGTCACTGGTTCCAGCGTCGTGGTTACGGGGTGAGTAAGGAGAAGAATGGACACGAGGGCCACTTGAGAAATGAAGACAATTTCACTGGACAGAACATTCATACCCTGATCGAGGAACAGAATATTGTTCGACGTCCATTCACAGACGATGATGCTTTGAGCCACGGAATAATTGTCCGATTACATGATTACATATCAACTTATTACCAATTGTGTCACATAACTCTACACGACTCACCTAAATATCCCTGCTCGGTAAGAGACATGCTATCATGGATGTCCGGCCTGCCGTATAGAGCAGTGTATACACAAATCCCTGCCCACTGTAAGAGATTGCTCAACGATGAAGACAAGTCAACTGGCAAATTCCCGAATAGGGAGGATGCCGTGCTTAGTAAAACATTGGCATACGGCCTAGTGGACAATCTATCTCATACATGTAGAAAATCTCTCGATGTACTAGTAACCATATGTGGAAATGGGCGTGGTTTCGAGCAGGCCGATTATCCTTACACGTGTAATTTCATGGACAATTCGCGAGGGTTCCACTATCCCGAAAATGTTCCCGGCCTATTCGATATGCTCACTGACGTATGCAGACGTTTGTTACGTTCACTAAACCATTTACGTACACGGTGCCTATATGGTGCATCCACAGGTAACGGCTGGGCGGAATGTTCATATGGCCGTGACGTTTCCGGTTACCAGTGGAACTGTAACACTAACCAATGCCCCAACCAAACGTGTCCCCAAAAGCACAACCAAAGTGCTAAGCAAACACCTAACCAAAAGTGCAACCAACACCCTAAGTGCGGTGTTAAGTCGCCACTTCAATCTCACCTAATGGACCAGTTACCTGGTTGCCTGCCTCATAAATTGGTATCTGTTGGCTGTTCATCTCAATGTTCCACATGTCCTAAGACGTCGGCTGGACAGCAATGCCTAACGCCAATGGGTTTCTGGGATTTGCCCAATTCTGCTTCTAAAATGAGAAGCGGCAAGGAGCTGTCCGACATGCTCGCCTATTTTTGCAAAGATGCCGACTCACCACTGTGCGCCCTGCTCCATTGCTTGCAATGCGTGAAGCCGTCGCCACCTACAACTTTGGCTGACATGTTTGCGTTATACTGTCAACTATCTAGATCATGGCGGCCGAGTGGGTACATTGATGACTCTAGTTTCACAAATCTTTTGAGCACTCAGACCATAACAAATTCGTTCCCATTGAAGGAGTGGTTTCATGGTGATTTTACTAACGCCGATGTTACTGCTGCCTTAATACAATTGTATCACTCCGACAATGATCACAAGAGTGCGTCCGCAAAAGGCGCTGACACAACCACAGTCACCCACTCGGACTTAGCTAGTCTGACCGGGCGCTCTATGTGCATGAATTCACTCACCTGCGCTCCCTATCTACGGCCTGTCTGCCTCAATGCGTATCATACATATCCAAAGAAACACGCCAAGCTATATCTCTCTTGGTTCACATACTTGGCATGGAGATTCTGGAAACTGCTTCAGGAATTGCTAGACGCATTCCAGCAGATCAGCTGCAAAAATAACGGCTGCGTCAACTGTGCCTGTAGGGCTGGAAAACATGGCGAAGACGGTGCCTGTAAATGTATGTCCGTTGTTCATTGTGGAAGCGTCCTGTCAACAATGTACCGATATGGATTCACATTCGCTCAGACCAAGAAACTCATTGAAAATCAGAAGGAAAAATCATGTTCACATTTTAGAACTCAGCTAGAGAAAGTTGTAACATCGGCGCATTTTACAAAACTCTTCCGATCTATTGACGAATTTATGTGCGCCATCAGATGGCCATTCATGAATACATTGTTAGCCCTCTGGTCGCTGTCGCTCCTGTACCTGCTGCACGTCTCAGTCGTCCGCCTCGACGTCCTGAGGATACGCTCACACCTGAGATCACCCGCAAGCCACCGCATCGCCGCGCAGTCCCTCCTCGCCGCCGCACGCGTCAGGGCACTCGCCAACGTCAAGTACTTCTCACCATAATCGTGCCTTCACGTGTGATCTGTGTATCACTCAACCACATACTCACCCACATACTCACCCACTCACCTAATCACCTAATCACCCACCCACTCAACCACTCAACCACCCACCCACTCACCTAATCACCTAATCACCCACCCACTCATCTAATCACCCACTCACTCACTCAACTACCCACATACTCACCCACTCACTCAACCACTCAACCACTCAACCACCCACATACTCACCCACTCACTCAACCACTCAACCACTCAACCACCCACTCAACCACTCAACCACCCACCCACTCACCCACCCACTCACCCACTCACCTCCCTCTTTCACTGGTCGCTTCGCTCCCTGCCTTCACCCCCTTCCATCACCTCCTCCGTCGGCGTCCTTCACCCAAATCCTCTTTTTCCACCTTTCCCCTTCACCCCCAATAACCCCTCACCTCAACCCATCTTCCTCCCTCATCGCCCTCTCTCGCCCCTTCACATCCCTCCCTTGTCCACCCACCTCCCTCACTGCCTCCTTGACCTAAAATCGCCTTTTCCCAAAGTCCCCCAAATCGGCCTGAAAATGTGCCATTTCACCTCCCTTTACTTCCTTTAACTCTCCCTTAATCCACCTTTGATCCAACTACAATGACCACTATAATGATGTCCATTACCTTACTGAGGATGCCAGGGGGGAAACCTTAGATGACATTGATGCCCGCCGTATCTCTCTTGGTCAGCTTGCTGGACAGCTTTCGGGTTTTATTGGCAGTGGACAGGAAGTTAAAGATGCAATTTTGAATGGTTTGCACAGTAACGTAAGTCAGCTTGAAAAGCTTTTGGAAACATCTTGCGAAGATAAGGGGTGTTGTAAGGAAGCCGGTGAGGCAATTAAAAAGCTTAATGAAGTCAATGAGAGCCTTAAAAAACACCTTAAAGTGGAACAAAAAACCTCTAAAAATCTTGCTAAAATCCTTTCTAAGTGCAAGTTAAATGGTCCGAATGATCCCTTAAATAAGCTTAATAAGGAAATTACTGAGAAAATTCAGAAGCTTGAAAAAGAAATTGAGAGCCTTAAAAATGACAATTATGATGATAATAAAAGTAAAAATGCCTCTGAAATTGACAAGCTTAATAAGGATCTTCAGTCTCATAATGCATCCTTGAATTCTCTCGAGACACTGAAAGAGCTTTGTGGATATGCTGAGAAAATTAATCAAAATCACGTTGACGAACAAAGTTGTAAAAATTTTTTAGAGAGTCTTTGTACAGGCCTCGAAAAATTTCTCGGCTACCAGAATGGTAATTACACCGGAGAGGGAATTGTGTACTCGGACCTGGACAGGCTCTGCGACGGGGTGATGTCTTTCCTTCATGGAGTTCTTGGTAACATTAAGCCTAAATTAGGCCAGCATAAAGACACTTTAAATAGCGCACTTAACTCACTTAAAAGCACAAATCTTAATGGTATTGCTAAATACAGGGCGGCGATAGCCGCGGTGGCCGAGGGGGTACATGAGTATAATGAGAGAGTGGCAGCGTCGAATGAGAGTGTTAGTGATGTAATTACTGCATTGCGTGATAGTGTTGATGATAAATTTGTACGCACTGTAGATGCAGTCTTACAAGAAAGGCGTGATGCAAGAGGTAATATAATAGATCACGCTGAGCGTGACGTCACCAATGCCGAAAGGCTAATTAATGACAAACTTCAGCAATGCCAACAAAATGCTACGACATTCATCACTAATTTAGACGTTAGTGACACATCACGTAGCCCACATAAAGAATCAATCACTGACCTAAATGCTAATTTAAAAGATAAGCTTGAGAGCGTGCGTAGGACTGTAGCGTATGAGAGTGAGCGGTTGGGGGAGGTGAAGGGGCAAGAAGGGAAGGTGTTTGAGGCGAGTAAAGTGGAGATAAAGAGGGTGTTGGAAGCGATGAAATGCAGTGTGGATAAAAGTGTTAGTGCTGACATAACAAGAATTCTGGGTGAGTTGAGGGAGAGAGTTCAGAAGATATTGGAGGCGCTTAAGCAAGTGAGTAAAAACCTTGGGCAGTATGTCATAGAGTTGGAAAGTTGGATTGGTGACACTCAGAAGTTTATTGACGGGATCAAGAATAAGGGTTTAGATAATATATTAAATGAAGTGAACGACAGTCTTACAAGTAAGAAGCTTGACATCAAAGACGCCGTGGACAAGGACCTTAAAAACTGGAAAGGCAAGCTGGAGGGTTATATTCAGCAGCTGACGCAGTTGACTGGAGAAGTTGATGCGAAGGTTACGGCGCTTGCTTCAAAGTTTCCTAAAAATGCCGGCGTGTCAAACAATTTGAATGAGATTTTCACTGAGATACAAAGTAAGGTTGGCGTGATTAAGCATGGAGTGTTAGAGGGACCCGTAAGTATAAATCAATATTGGAGCAGTATTAAGACGGATGTTCCGAACTTCATGGATGGGCTTTATAAGGAGGTGAAGTCAATTGGGAAATCCGGACACCTATATCAGGTTGAGGAGAAGACCAAACAATATGTTGCATTGTTCAAGGATGGAGTAAATAATGGATTAGAAGTTGTAGTTACAAACTGGATAAAAGAAATATTGGACGCAAATATCGTGGCTAAAGTGTGGATTAATGGTTATTTTGCGGTTTTGAACAAAAATCGCCAATACGTTACTTTTAAGCCAAAATATGATGCGTGGCAGGATGGAGATAACACAGATAAAACAGCTGGACTGGCCGAAGCAATCAAGAATAAGCTTAAGAGCGAGCTTGGAGTCGAAATGATTAATGCCAAAGTTGTCCTAACCCGAGGTGATGCGGTCGAAAGTGTTCAAGCAAATGTCGACGCAGTCTACAATTGTATCAATGGATTTGCAGAAGCGCTCAGGACAAAACTTGATTCTCATAAGTATACACCTTTTAGACAGCAAATAGAGCAGACCATTGAGCAAGAGGTAACGATGCACCTAACGCATACGTCAAATATTCCCGATCTCACAGCTGCCGCTGATGCCATCCTATCGGCGCTCCATGGCATGGCCAGTCAAGTAGCTCAACAATTCAAGTCGTTAACCGGCGCGTCCCAATCGCCAAACCTCGGCAAGCACTTGGATGACGCTATAGGGAAAGTAAAACATTTTCGCACGCAGTTTGACAATCCTCGCGTACAAATTGATGCGAATTTGCAGCGCTTGGAGGAACCAATTACATATCTCTCTGGCAACCTCCAAAATGCACTTCAAGATCCCACCCAAACCAACCACGCCGCCAACCTGGACCAGGCGATCACAGACGTAAAGGACAGAGTCGCCGAAGTAGCCGCCAACGCAATCCCGCAGAAGCTGGACGACGCTGCTCAAAAAATCAAACAACATCTCGAAACGCTTGCCGATGCAGTTTCTAGAACCACCAATGATGTGAGGCTGAAACTTGCTGAGTTGCAAAATGAGAAGATCGGTAACGCTTCGAGAACCGGTGACGTTAAAGCAAATACATTGCAAGATCTTCGACGGAAACTTAATGAACTTCACAAAAGTCTGGAGTCTGATCCCATTAAAAACGCCGATGAGTTTATAAAATACGTCACTGCTGCCGAAACTCATTACATCAGCGAACTCAAAAGCCATACCAAAAAGGCAGCGGAAGATGCGTGCAACAAACTCACCACCCACGCGCGCAGGCAGTACGTCGAGGCCCTCAAGTTCGCGCTCCAGCAGTTCGCCGACAAGGTGACGGGGGAGCTGGAAGAGTTGCCGGGGATGATTGACAACGACAAGCACATCGGCCTGAAAGGCTTCATGGAGGCCTTTTATGGCAATGACTCCGGCGACAATATTAACAAGCTTAACAACCACAGTGATCTCCGGACAGTCTGCCACAGCTTCGAAAAATTCCTCGGGCCCCTCAACACATATATCAGCAGGGAAATAGATCGCGTTAAGGAGGAGGAACACAAGAAAAATCCTTCGCTTCAGAAACCTCAAGACCCATATAGCAAACAACTTAATAAAGTTTACTCCTCACTTAGCACGCTAATTACTCATATTTACACTAAAAATAAATATGATAGTAACTTACCCACTAAGCTTGCTGAACTCACTGCCACAGTCGTCGACCTGAAACTAGACGGCTTCCCCAACCCGGTCACAGAAATGCTGGGCGGCATCTCCGGCGGCTGTCGGGAGTTGGTAGATGTGCTTGGCAACGTGTACATCTCCAGGTACGACGGAGCTGCGCCCGTTACTTGGGAAGGCAAAAAAGCCGGTGAAATATCACAGGAAGGCAAAAATTGTGGCAAAGTATTCTTGTCTTGCGTGACTGTGTTCGTTGATGAATTGCATCACTTGTTCTTTAATGGCGGTAAAACGTGGGCGTCACTTAAAATTGACGGCAGTGGCAGCGGAAAGGACAGATCGCACTTGAAAAGATATCTGATGGAAGAAGGCTTCGAAATTAAAAACCTTGTCACCAAGGAAAACACCGGCAAAGACGTTGCCTTACGATTGAGTAGAGGCTTTACGCGTTACAAGACCTTCAACAAGGACCCAAATGAATTGGAATCCGTCCTTGAATGCTTCAAGTATTTCAAGCAAAATGGAGGTCTTTTATCAAGACTCTTCGATCACCTCCACGACTATTACAACGTTTGTCACCTACCATCTTCCTCCACTAAGACACCGACCACTGTGCACCAGATGCTCACATGGCTTACTGGCCTACCACACAACCCAGTTTATCACAAGTTAGCGTTTGACGGTTTCAGTGGCTTATTTGAAAAGTCTGAAAAGGCATCTACAAACAACACCGATGTAGATGGTATCACTTTTGAAGAGGAGGACGCCGACTCCCTGCCAGCATACCCACACAATATTACAGCTGCAGCACTAGCCGACATACTCACCGAAGTTTGTTCGCAAGCAGAAACAGTATTGATTGCTATACAAGGTCATGGTCACGCCGACGGTGTCTACACCTGTGATCATTCCAACAACACCCTTAACCTAGCATATCCTAGCAGCGCTGGTGCCTGCTTAGGCATGCTCGCAGATATATTGCGCAGACTATTCTATCAACTTTATTTCTTGTATACACAGTGTTCACACAATACCGATTACAGCGGCTGGTACAATTGCTCGTACGGTCAGGGTGTCGGTAACTCTGGATGGCAATGCAATGACAACCTATGCCCTAACCAACAGTGTAACCTAAGACCTGACCAAAGTACTAGCCAAAAGTGTAAGCAACATCCCAAGTGCGGTGTAAAATCGCCACTTCAGTCGTACCTTGAAGATAGCCTCCCCGGCTTCCTGCCACATTCATTTTCCAATGTTGGCTGCGGAGTGAAATGCTCAGTTGGCAATCACCACGGCAAACCGTGTCTAACTCCAATGGGTTTTAACGATATTAGTATTAAAGCTTCACATACAAAGAAGGGTATGTATCTCCAAAAGGTGCTTGAGAAATTCTGTGGCAAAGCAGAGAGCCCACTCACCAAGCTCTGTAGCCAGCTAAATTGTCTCTCGCCTACCGCTCCAAAAACACTAGGCGATATGTTTAGTTTCTATCACAATTTCCTTAATGAGTGGAACACCAAGACGGAGCATAAGCGAGACGCGTTTGCAGCGGCAGTTAATAAAGCCAATTTCGAGAAGCGATACAAAAATTTCGATCCGGCTATAATGTTCGGTAGCCCTAAGCATTCACATAAACAAATGAATGCCGACCTCGGCAGCCTTGTCTGTAACTCGAGAACGACGCAAACGTGCGGTCCGTATTTGCAGTCGATTAATCATGACGTTATCGGCACATTCTCCAAGAATCACGCCGCCAAATACCTTTCATGGATCGTATACGCTACAGAAACATTTTATGACCTGCTCAAAAAATTATATGATGATTGTTGTGGTACGTGTGGCGGAGACTATCCAAAATGCCGTGTTGCTCGTGGTCAACATACTTGTAATGCTGCCAATCAGCAAGGCTCCGACAATGACAGTGACACATGTACCTCAATAGTTAGGTGCCAGCATACACGTCCGACATTATACAAATATGGCTTCGTACATAATGACGTAGTAAGCCTTGCCGGTAAAAAAAGTAAGAAATCATGTAAGGATTTCTGTGACGCATTGAAAAAAGTTCTTAACAAGGAAGAAAAAATAGGAGCAACGCTTGCGGAATTAATTTATAAAACAATTCCTGAATTCTTATTCAAAATTCGTGAACCCTTCATATGGACATTGTTAGCCCTCTGGTCGCTGTCGCTCCTGTACCTGCTGCACATCACCGTCGTCCGCCTCGACGTCCTGAGGATACGCTCCCACCTGAGATCACCCGCAAGCCACCGCATCGCCGCGCAGTCGCTGCTCGCCGCCGCACGCGTCAGGGCACTCGCCAACGTCAAGTACTTCTCACCGTAATCGTGCCTTCACGTGTGATCTGTGTATCACTCACCCACTCACCCACTCAACCACCCACCCACCCACTCACCTAATCACCCACTCAACCACCCACTCACTCACTCAACCACCTAATCACTCAACCACCCACCCATCTACTCACCCACCCACCTAATCACCCACTCACTCACCCACCTAATCACCCATCTACTCACCCACCCACCTAATCACCCACTCACTCACATACTCACTCAAACACCCACTCACCCACTCACCCACTCACCCACCCACTCACCCACTCACTCACCCACTCACTCACCCACTCACCTCCCCTTTCACTGGTCGCTTCGCTCCCTCCCTCACCCCCTTCATCACCTCCTCCGTCGGCGTCCTTCACCCAAATCTTCATTTTACACCTTCTCCCTCCACCTCCGAAATCGCCTCCTCTCAACCCATCTTCCTCCTTCATCGCCCTCTTTAGCCCCTTCACCTCCCTCACCTTGTCCACCCACCTCCCTCACTCCCTCGCTGCCTCCTCCACCTAAAATCGCCTTTCTCAAAAAATTCTAATATTCTCCAAAAGTGTCTTTTTCCACCTCCTCTAATTGCCTTTCAACCTTTTTTCCACTTTCTTTTCTCACCTCTTTGACCTCCCTTCTTGGCCTCCTTCGTCGGCCTCCATCGACTGGTTGATCCAGGTTAAGCATGGGAATGGGAATGGTAAAGGTCTTGAGAAATTGGCTGAAGCCTTGAAAAAGTTGATTAATGACGCCATTAAAGATGCTACTACTTCCCTCCAACACAAATCCTCCATGCTCTCTTGCTCTCCAAATCCACAAGATCCTCTCTCCTACTGTAGTCAGCTTGATGAGCAGATTAAGTCCAAAAATGAAGAACTTCAAAAAGCTAAAAACACTAATAACACTAGTGAAATATCCTCTTTAGAATCACAAATCAATGACTTAAAGTCCAACAAAGATGACTGCACTAAGTCCCATTACATGGACGGCGAGCGTCTCTCCTCCCTTGAGGAGGAAGTGCAGCATGGCATTGATGTTATTGTGAAGCTTACACAGTTTAGCGGCTCTGAAAAGAGCGTTTTAGAGTTAATTAAGAAAGAAATTGAGAGGCTTGAAAAGCATAAAAAAGATTGTGAAACCTGCAAAAAGTCTCCGCAGTCTCCTGCCTCTTCTGACTGTGCTCAGCATAAACTGCTTGAGGAGCTTAAAAAGAAACGTGAGACTTTGAATCAGAATAATGATAATAGTCCAAAAGAATTATTAAATAACCTGTGCTCTGGCTTGGAGAAGTTCCTTGGTTACCAAGAAACTTCCAAGGGATATGATGGCACTGGCATCGTGTACTCGGACCTCGACAGGCTCTGCGACGGGGTGATGTCTTTCCTTCATGGTGTTTTAGATAACATTAAGCCTAAATTAGGCTTACATAAAACACATTTAACTAGCGCACTTAGCGAACTTAAAAGCACAAATGATAATGGTATTACTAAATACAAGGCGGCGATAGCCGCGGTGGCCAGTAGTGTACATACATATAATGAGAAAGTGGCAGCGTCGAATAAGAGTGTTAGTACGCCGATGAATGTGTTGATTAAATACGTCAGGGAAGATGGTAAGTTACTTGGTACTGTTAATAAGTTTCAGATTTCGGAGAACGCTGACCACCATGTGGTTGACGAGGCTGAGAAGATTATTAATGACACTCTGGAAGAGTGCCAGAAGAATGCTGCAAAATTTAATAGCACTTTAGACACTGAAGCACAAATAGAAATACGTAATATTATTAGTGAGCTTAATCCCACATTGTCGCTTAACGTTAAGAGTGCCTTGAAGGCGGTGAAGCATGAGACTAAGCGTCTCAGTGAGCTGTCTGAGAAAGAAAAAACAGACTTACAAGCGATGACTGCCAAAATTACTGACGTGCTTGCTGGTGTTCAAGAAAAAATGATTTGCAAAATCGACGAGAAAATAAAGGCACTAGCCGCTGAGTTGAAAAAGAAAGTCGATGATATTTGGCATCAGCTCAAGGGGATTGACAGCTTGTTGATTAAGTACGTAAAGGATTTGGAGAAGTGGATTAACGATGTTAAGAAATTCATAACGGAGCAACCGCAAAACAATGTCCAAAAAGTTCTGGACGAAGTTAATTGGGATGTGTCCTCCAAGAAGTCGGGGCCTTGGAAAAATGCTGAGGATGAAATTCAGAAACTTGGCAGTGGACTTGGCACAAAAGTCTCCCAGCTTACCGCTTGGAATAAGGCCGGCGCTGCGGCCATTAAGGCTGCAAAAAAGCAGTGTGAAGAAATTGGCAAAATGGTTGGAACTACAGATAACGGTGACGGCAAGGCTAAGATTTTTACTAAAGCTCAAGAAATGAAAGAGAATGCAGAGAAGCTCAGGGTGGCGGCGGAGAGTGTTAAGAGTGAAGTTGCCAGTCTGGTTGGGAGTGCGCTACGAGAAGTTGCAACAATGAATGATCAACTTAAGACGGATTTGGGTAATATGAAAAAAGAGCTTAAGAAGGAGTTACAGAGGTACGTTAAAGGGGAGATGGCAGAAAAACTTCAGAAATGGATTGAAGGGGAAACTAACAAGATTGCTAAAAACGGTAGTGGTGGAGGGGATGGACACCTGGATGAGATTGTTAAGCAAGCTGGATCGTATGTTGGTACATTCGAGGCCAAATTCAAGGCGTGGATTGAAGAGTGGTTGCCGATTATCGTGACACAAGATCCGATTAAAAGATTTATTGAGAGCTATGCTTTCGGTGTCAAACACGTTGATAATAAAATTCGGGTTGTGCTCAGTGATAGCGCAACTCAGGATAACATTGAGGCTAAGGTGAAGAAATTTGTTGCCGATGAGGTAAACACTCACATTAAAGACATCATTGCTCCTAGGACAAATGCATCCGACGGTAATGTAGATGCAAAATTGCAATCGATTCAGCAGTATCTTGTAACGTACTCCGCGAGAGTGCTGGCTGCAAGGAAGTCGGAAGAAGAGATCATACAAGCGATTGAACGGAAGTTGACGTCTGATCCGGATCTGGGAATGAGAGATCCATCAAAATCCCAATACAGACAATATCTCGGATATGCGGTTGTAACTACCTTATTTGTTCTTGCAGCAATCGCCAGGCACGTTGGTGCGCATATTAAGAATGTTGCCGGAGAATGTAAACTTGGCAAAGTAGATCCCGCTAGAGAGGCGGTTAAGTCTCTCGGCAAAAATCTTAAAAATGCGCTCACCACTGTCCTCTCCTCCAGCTCCGTTGGCGGTAACCTCGCCGACGAAATTATGACACCGATTAATGAAAACATTCTGAATGAACAGATCGGGACGGACGATGGACAAGGACGTGGCTCATCCGGCGGTGACAAAGTCAAACCTGACAAACTCAAGAATTACGGAAATCATGTCAAACAAGAAGACAGCATCCAAGAAGCCCTTAAGAAGGGCGACCTAAAAGGCGTTCCAGATGCCGGCTCACTCCCAAACGCCATCAACAACATCTCAACTCAGGGCCTGAAATCTCTCACAGATGAGGGTGAACCAAAGAAAGCAATTGATGGAGGTGAGTCATATTTCCAACAACCCTTCTCCCAAATCACCGCCCAACTCACAGCGATCGCCGGCCTGGTCGACAGCGAAAATAAGGTATCTAATAAAGATGTAAAGGATGGCGTCAAGGACTACCTGACTGATCTGGAGGAGATGCTTAAGGAAGGAAAACCGTATACCCTCAAGTCCACTGTAAAAGGAGAGCATCCCACCGTCCAAGGCCTCCTTAAAATCAAGACGGAGATTCAGGGGCTGAAGACCAGCAGTGTTACAAATCTCACATCCAATGTCGACAAATTGTGCAGCGCGATCAGACAGGCTGCGCAAGACGTGAAAGGTAATTTGGATATTCTCAAAGAAGATAACATTGAGAAGAAACTAGAAAAAATTAAAACCGACATCAGCAAGTTGCAGAATGAGACCCTGAAGAAAGCCATTGACGACACTGGAAGATTACTTACTTTAGAACTCGGACTCTTCTCTAGCCGATGCATCGCCTCACTGGAAGGAGACGTCAGACAACAAGTTGAAGAAGCAAAAAAGCAACTGACCACCCAGGCTAAAAAGCTCTACGTGACGTCAGTGAGAGACATGCTGCTGGCCTTTGCCAGCAAAGTCAGCGAGGAACTCCACGAGCTTCCGAAGCAAATTACGGAAGACGCCGAAAAGGGCGTAAGAGGATTTATGAAGAAGATGGAAGAGAGATTTATTAAGACGGGTAAAAGAATTGCAAACGTTTCGCCAACGCAGTCCCCTGCAGCGCTTCCCAATCCCGTCCCAGAAGGGAAATCCAAGAGACCAAAATCTCCGCTCAGCCAAGCGGCTATGACATTAAACACCGCATTCAGACTCTTCTTCGATGACCTGCAAAATCAACCGGACTTCAAGTCCGACTACGATAATGTTGCGCCTTGCAGGGATGCTCTCACAGCATTGCTGAATGGGATTGTAGGTTCACTGCGCTTTAACCATGACTTTAGTGTTAATCTAGAATTACTTAGCAAATCACTCAGCGGCTTGAATCCAGAATCACACGGCGAATGTGAGTGTCCTTTGCTGATTAACGCTTTGCGAGCGGGCTTCCCGGCTTTGGTCACAGAGTTGGACAAGGCGTATATGAATAAGTATGACGGTGCGTCGAAGGATTTCAAGTGGGAGGAAGGAGACAAATTGACGGATGAAGCTACGAAATGTGCAAAACTGTTCCTAACTACGCTTCCCGTCCTTAACAACAACCTGAACAAATTGACAAGAAAATGTCATGTTGATAGCCGGAGAAATTGGAGGGAGTCGCAAATTAATTTACGCGTTGACAATCCACTTGGGAAATTCTTAGCCGGCCAAGGCTATGCGGTTTCCTCGGATTATGAGAGTCAGGACGGTGAGCTGCAAAACAATGATGCTATGCGTGGACAGAAAATTTATGAACTTCTTGTCGGTTCTGCTGACAAACACGTGTACACTACACTAGACGATAAAGCGGATGAAGGCGCGCTCAACAAATTCTGCAACTGTCTCCTCGACTTCTATAAAGCTTCCCACCTTAAACACATCAACGCACCTAAGTACCCTACCACCATCAGTCACATGCTTGAATGGCTTTGTGGTCTTACCCATCATCCCGTCTACCAATCACTTTCACTTAGTGGTTTTGCTGACTTATTCGAAAAGCCTAAGGAGCAGGACACGGACAACGCTCCTTTGGTTGTATCTTTTAACGACGATCCCGACTCATTGGACGCCTACCCAAGGAAGATCACAGCTACAGGGCTCTCACAGACCCTTGTGGAAGTATGTCACCTGGCCGAAGACACACTCATCGCAATCGTCGGACATGGCCACGCAGACGGTGTATATGCGTGCGATTACAACACGAACCGACATGGTCTATCGTATCCTACGAACATGAACACATTAATTTGTACGTTATTCGACATTCTCCAACGCCTGCACTGCCAGCTTTACTTCTTGTATAATCAATGTTATTACGGTGATATGTATAACGGTTGGCGTGAGTGTTACTACGGCAACGGTGTCGGAGGCTCCAGTTGGAAGTGTAACACCATGCAGTGTGCCAACCAAATGTGTGCCCAACAGTGCAACCAAACACACAACCAAATATGTAACCAAATATGTGAGCAACACCCCAAGTGCGGCGTCAAATCGCCTTTACAATCGTTCCTAGAGGACGGTTTACAAGGCTTTTTGCCTCATGCTGTATCAAGTAGGGGTAGCAGCTTGTCATGTTCTAGTTGTTCTAAGCTGTCCCCTGGTGTGCCGTGTAGAACACCCATGGGCTTTGTGGACATTAGTACTCTGGCGTCTCATACTAGTACGGGAGAGCGCATCATCAGAGCACTCCTTCGTTTCTGTGGAATCAATTCATCACCACTAAGCAATTTATGCGCTCTACTAAACTGCGTCCTCCCTCGTCCACCGCAGAGCTTAGGTGCTATGTTTGCCTTTTACTATAACTTCATTGCTCACTGGGGTCAGCCTGGAAACGCTGTATTAACCAATGCCGTTAGTGGAGCTAACTTCAAACGTAACGACGCAACCTTAGACATTGCTCCGCTATTCAAAAGCAGCGACCATACGTCCGAGGAAGAAATGACGCATCGCACCGGTGACCTTTACACCCTTGTTAACTGCAAGAGTGATTCATCTTCTCCAACCCTTCCCTGTGGCCCATATCTGAGACCACATTCTCGTGACATCTGTAGCACATTCGCCGAGAAGAATGCCGACAAGTATCTGTCGTGGATTGTATATCTGACACAGACCTTTTATGATCTCCTTAAGACGTTGTATAAGGAGTGTTGTGAAATGTGCGACAAGAGAGGAACCACATGTTATCAAAAATGCTGCGATAAAAAATGTGAAGTAATATACCCCGACGAATCTAAGAAACATACTGGGGAGTACGAGAAGGAAGTTGCTAAATATTGGACTGCAAGGCACAATAGTGAATGTAAATCCATTTTCAAATGCTCCCACACTATTAAAATATTCTCTAAATATGGATTTTATTTCGGTAGTCCATCGAAAATGAGCGGTAGTGAACATGTAAATTCCAAACGTACATGTAGAGATTTCTGTAAGGCATTAGCAACGGTTCTCAACGATGTCGAAGCAGATGAAGCGCCGCTTGCAAAATTAATTTATCGTACCATTCCAGAATTTCTCTGGAAAATCAGGGAGCCATTCATATGGACTCTCGTAGCCCTCTGGTCGCTGTCGCTCCTGTACCTGCTGCACATCGCCGTCGTCCGCCTCGACGTCCTGAGGATACGCTCCCACCTGAGATCGCCCTCAAGCCACCGCATCGCCGCGCAGTCCCTCCTCGCCGCCGCACACGTCAAGGCACTCGCCAACGTCAAGTACTTCTCACCATAATCGTGCCTTCACGTGTGATCTGTGTATCACCCACCCACTCACCCACTCTCACTCACTCACCCACCCACTCAACCACTCAACCACCCACCCACCCACTCACCCACTCACCCACCCACTCACCCACCCACCCACCCACCCACTCATCCACTCACACACCCACTCAACCACCCACTCAACCACTCACCTATCCTCCCACTCACCCACTCAACCACCCACTCAACCACTCACCTATCCTCCCACTCACCCACTCAACCACCCACTCAACCACCCAATCACCCACCCACTCAACCACCCACCCACTCAACCACTCACCTAACCACCCACTCAACCACTCAACCACCCACTCAACCACTCAACCACTCAACCACTCACCTAATCACTCACTCAACCACCCACCCACTCAACCACCTACTCAACCACCCACTCACCACCCACCCACCCACTCAACCACTCAACCACCCACTCACCTAACCACCCACTCAACCACCCACCCACTCAACCACCCACCCACTCACTCACCAACTCACCCACTCACCCACCTAACCACTCACCCACTCAAACCACTCACCCACTCAACCACCCACCCACTCAACCACCTACTCAACCACCCACTCACCCACCCACTCACCCACTCAACCACTCACCCACTCAACCACTCACCCACTCACCAACTCACCCACTCAACCAACCACTCACTCACTCACCTCCTCTTTCACTGGTCGCTTCGCTCCCTGCCTTTCCCCCTCCATCACCTCCTCCGTCGGTCCTTCACCCAAATCCTCGTTTTCCGCCTTCCCCCTCCACCTCCGAAATCGCCTTACCTCCACCCATCTTCCTCCCTCATCGCCCTCTTTCGCCCCTTCGCTTCCCTCACCCTGTCCACCCACCTCCTCCACCCCCTCACCGCCTCCCTGACCTAAAATCGCCTTTCTCAAAAAATTCTAAAATTCTCCAAAAGTGTCCCTTTCCACCTCCTCTAATTGCCTCTTTAATTTTTTCCCACTTTCTTCTCTCACCTCTTTTGACCTCCCTCCTTGGCCTCCTTCGTCGGCCTCCATCGACTGGTTGATCCAGGTTAAGCATGGGAATGGTGGTGATGGTAAAGGGCTTGAGGAGTTGGCCAAAGCGTTGAAAAAGTTGATTGGTAATGCCGTTAAAAGTGCAACTGAGAGTCTCGAAAAGAGGCGTAAGGAACTTGAATGCGCTGATAAAGGCTCTAGTAATCTGTATGACAAGCATTGTAATGACCTGAAGGAGAAAATTAAGAAAGCTAAAGGTGATGAAAAATCCAAGTTACAATCCCAGTATAATGGTCATTATTCCGAAGTACATGGGTCTGAGTCTAAAAGACAGAGTGGTGAGAAGGATCTTGCTGAGCGCCGCATCTCCCTTGGTCAGCTTGCTGGACAGCTTGCGGGTTTTATTGGCGGTGGGAAAGAAGTACAAGATGCAATTTTGCATGGTTTGCACAGCAATGTAACTCAGCTTGAAAAGCTTTTAAATGCATCTTGCGGAGGAGAGGGGTGTTGTCGGACTGATAAAATTACGCTTAATACATATAATGAGAGTCTTAAAAAACATCTTAAAGATGAACAAAAAGCCTCTGAAAAACTTGTTGACATCCTTTCTGAGTGCAAGTTAAATGGTCTTGATGGTCCCTTAAAACAGCTTAATGTGGAAATTACTCAAAAAATTGAGGAGCTTGAAAAAGAAATTGAAAGCCTTAAAAAGCTTGATAAAGATGCTGAAAAGGCTGGTCAAAAGCCTAAAAATGCCTCTGAAGTTGACAAACTTAATAAGGATCTCCAGTCTCATAATGCCTCCAAGAAGTCTCTTGATACACTGAAAGAGCTTTGTGGATATGCTGATAAAATTCAAAAAAATGATGTTGACCAAAATTCTTCCACAGATATTCTTAAAAATCTCACTGAAGGTTTGGAAAAGTTTTTAGGTTACAATAAAGACTCCAAAGGCTACTCGGGCGAAGGAATCGTGTACTCGGACCTTGACAGGCTCTGCGACGGGGTGATGTCTTTCCTTCATGGTGTTCTTGAGAGTGTGATGGAGGATGATAGCGTTACAAAATATAGTGACATTAATGATATTAATAGCGTTATTAAGAATTTAAATGATAATGTAGGTAAAGGCCGTCAGGCCTTCGGGAACGCCGTGACTCAGGTAAGTGAGTGGTTGGAAAATCATGCGGTGCAGGTGAGGGAGAGGACTGGAGCAGTGAAGACTAAATTAGGTGAGTTGATTACTAAATTATCATCTGATTCAGGTAAATACTACAAGGAAGTCAACGAGAAGAATGGACTCAGTGCTCAGTTGACTGAGTGGACAAGGACGCTCGGAGAGATTGCGAGAGATATCACAGACGTAGCAAACACTAATGTTAATTTCTTAGACACATCACTTAGCTCACGCATAATGCATGAGATTAAGCCGATACAGAAGTCTGTTGAATTGTTACATGTTTCTGCTATGAATAGTGTACTGACGAAACAGGCCAATAACGTGGACTGGGCGTTGGTGGACCAGCAAACACGTATCGTTAATGCAATAAATTCACAGAGTGGAATGGTTCATGATATGTTGTCGGACCACGTGAATAAAATTGGTGAAACATTAGGGGCACTGAATACTAAAAGAGAGAAACAGTTTGAGATGCTCAGAGAATCTCTGCAGGCGGCAAAGAGAAAAGTTGAAAGCGAATTGAGCGGCGCTGGAAGTACACGAAATCAGATTTATAACAAATTTGTACAGATAAAGGGCTTATTGGTGAAGGTGGACAAAGATAAGAGTCGTAGTACACAGAGTCAGCTGCGTGAGCAAGTTGATAAAATTAAGTCGCAACTTTTAGAAGTCGGTAGTGAGCTTGAGGCACAGGTAAGCAGCTTGGACAAGTGGATGGAGAACACTAAGGAATATATTGATGAGGCAAAGAAGAATCATGTTGATAAACTTGTAAAGAAGGAAGTTGGCATGGAAAATATAGCTCAGATTAACTATTTCGCGGATGCTTTGAAAAATGAGGCAACTGATATTCGCAATGCTTTTACAGCGGCTGAAGGATATCTGAATAAATTGGTGACCGACACATTAGAAGGTGTGAAGACAATGGACGGAACGCTTAAGGGGGATCTGAGAAAAGTTAAAGACGAAATTGAGAGAGTGATTAGGGGGTATGTTAAGCATACGTTGCTAAAGGAAGTTACAGAGAGGATTAACGAAATTAAGGCGGGAATGACGACAGTAAATCAAAAAGGCGACACTGCTTCAGGTGGAATTTCCGATCTCCGGAAGGAAGTTGACGAACTTAAGTCTGCCCTCACTAAGCAGGTTGAAGAGGCCCATAACCAGGTGACATTGTTGGAAAGGGCATTTCAGGCTGCCGCGCAAGAGGCGCACGATACATTAAATCCAGCAGTCGAGAGAGTTAAAGCCCTTAAAAATCTTTCACCACAAGTTAAGTTGGAAATAACTACCACTGCTCAGGAGCTTGTCAATTCGTTGAAGCAGAAGATTGCGGATATAAAGAATAAGTTCAGCGGCATTGGCTCAGTAAACACATCAATTAAATCTCAGTTGTCAACCTGGGCAGAGTCCAATGGCGAGGCTGGGCAGGCGTTCGAAGCATCTCTCACAAAGGCGGCTCAAGAACACGCCCAGAAAGTCGACGAGAAATATGTGCAAGATATTACAAGTGCATTATCTAATGTGGGGAAAGCGCTTCAGAAACTAAAGCCTCTAAGCGTAGACAAAAAAGCGCTCGAAGCCGCGATCAATGTCTTCGAAACGGCGACTGAAAAGGTGAAGACATTAGGTAATGCGGAAAGTGAAGTCCGTAAAGCCATCGAAAAGGTTGTTAAAAAAATCAAGCAGCTTGAGGCGGTGTACCCCAAAGTTACAGGGCTTGAAACACATCTTATACGGGCGACTAACGTGAGAGGCACTGCCTCTCAAAGCCATGCCACCGGACCCTCTGGAGCCATCGACACCTTTGATGTTAATGGGCAGATTTTAAAGGTACTAAACGAGCAGATTGGCAAGACTGTTCATAGTGTTTCACCGCCTACAGTCACCCTTGAACCCGGTAAGTTTCCAAAATACGAACTGCAGGTTGACCAATCCACCGTAACCGGCCCGCCCGATAAGCTGTCAGGCACCCTTCCAGAAAAGATCAAGGAAATCCGGGATGAAGGTCTAAACTTTCTCCGAAATACAATAAAAGATAAGGCAGATGAAAACACTGGAAGGTTGTACACGTCGTCCAAAGAGGTCAGCGAAAATCTCAAGTACCTAGCCACGGCATATTCTTTGACCGGCCGATATATTGATCGATATATGCATATTCTAACACACGAGAAAATAGATGAGCAGCTCACAGCAATTAGAGCTTCACTCTACTCCTTGCGTACGATAGAATTGTCCGATGCCCCAGGCAAAATTCAGGATGCAATTACCACCGCTATGTTCACAGTCAATGAGCTGGAAGCCGTCCCTGGTGAAGTAGATAAAGCAAGAGGTGCAGTTGACGGCGTATTAGAAACGTTAAGAAAAGACATTTCCGCAATCCTTACCTCCATTGAATTGAACGTCACGGCAGCGGATGACACAATATCGTCGGGAATAACTACTACCAAAAACGCCTTGGCTGAGGCGTATCATAAAATCAATGATGCTGTCACAACTCTAAAAACTACCCTGCTCGCTGCTGTGCAGTCCGCCTTTACCCAGGTTACTTGCGAAATACAGAAATTGTTCGCAAACCAACACCAAGCCGATCTAAATGCGTTGCAGAAATTAATCACCGAACAAAAAGCCGCAATACTGAAAATAATATATGCGGATTTGAATAGCGGTATCAAGGGTTTGTTGATGCGGATGAATAAGGACGACGGGAAAATATTGGAGAAAATAAAAGAGCGCACGGATCTCAAAAATTCTGACGATCTCATGATACTGACCAAGAAATTACAAGGTTATTTAGGTATGATTCTAAATTACGCACAGTATAAAGCAAAAAATCCGGAGAAGCTTAAAGAAGATACAGAACTCTCTTCCAAAATCAAGGCACTCCACGCCTCCCTGGATGCCATCTTCGACAAACTGCTCCACCACCAGCACTTCCACCACGCCGTCTCCCAAGCGCGCCAGGCCTTCGAGGCCGCGCTCCAAGCATTCCCCGCCGACACCTTCCCCGACGCCCCCAAAGGCGTGCTGCAGCCCCTGAAGCAGGGCCTTGTGAAATTCGCGCAGGAGCTAGAAAAGCAGTACGTCAGCAGGTACAGTGGTAAAGTGATTGTTTGGATGACGTCTGCAGATCCTGAAACTAAACAACAAGAGCCCACGGAAGACGCCAAAAAATGCGCCAAGGTTTTCATGACCTGCGTGCAAATGTTGTTGGACAATCTCAGTGAGCTGCGGAGCAACTGTGGCAGTAAAGACATCTGGCAAAACAAGACAATTTCTTTGACCGAAACTGGGACGCGTGGAAATATTATCACCAATCCCCTCGGAGCATTTTTCCAGCGCTGCGGTTACCGCGTTTCCTCTGCTCCGAACAAGCATACCGGGGAGTTGCGGAATACCACGGCCTGCAGGGGTGGGAATATTAACAGCAAGTTGAATGAACAGATTAATAACAAAGATTACCTTATTAAAGACGAAGACTTGAAGAAAGAAAAGCGCTCAAACAAGGATGAGGAGACAGATGACCAGACGTCTCCAAAGCAACATGGCATCCTCAAGCAGCTGTTCGACCACCTCCATGATTACTACACAGTTTGCCACTACTCCACATTACAGTCCAAGACATATCCATCCTCTGTCTTCGACATGCTCAAATGGCTCTGTGGCCTCACTCACAATCCCGTGTATGCCGATTTGTCAGTTAACGGCTTTGACAAGCTGTTAGAGCAATATCAGGAGAAAGATGAGGAGACCGACGATGCTGATGAAGCCAGTGCCTCTGTTGACGGTGCGGACGGCAACATCCCTGTTATATTCGAGAAGCCCAAGTCCTTGCAGGCGTACCCACATGAGATAACCAGTCCCAAACTAAGAGGTACGCTCCAAGAAGTCTGCCATTATTCCTACGACGTCCTCACTGGTGTCCTCGGCTTCGGCCATGATGACGGCGTGTACGCGTGTGACTATAACATCAACCAGGGAGGCCTGTCATATCCGACGAACATGGACACTTTACTGTGCATGATATGCGATGTCATCAACCGCCTGTACCGTCAGCTCCACTTCTTGTTCCAGCAGTGTAGGTACGACAGTACGCTCAGCGGTTGGTCGGACTGCTGGTATGGTAATGGAGTCGGGGGGTCAGCATGGAAGTGTAACTCCATGCAGTGCCCTGGTCAAGGGGGTGACCAAAGTGCTACCCAAAAGCACAACCAAAAGTGTAACCAAAAGTGTGAGCAACGTGTTATGTGCGGTGTGAAATCGCCACTTCAATCATTCCTGGAAGATGGGTTGCAGGGCTTCCTCCCTCACAGCCTCAAGTCTGAGAGGGGAAAACTTGAGTGTTCACTTAAAAGCCATGGCGGTGTGCCGTGCATAACGCCTATGGGCTTTGCAGGAATTGCCGGATTAGCGTCACACAGGCGAACAGGACAATTCCTCATGGAAGTGCTTGCTGACTTCTGCGGCAATCAAAAGTCTCCGCTCACTAAGATATGCAGCCTGTTCAACTGCGTTCTCCCTAGTCCGCCGAAATCGCTGAGTGATATGTTCGGCTTTTACTACAGTTTGCTTTGTGGGTGGGAAGACAGCAGTAAACGCTATGAGAACCGTAAGCAGCACAGGGAGACGGCGTTTAACAATGCGGTCAGCGGCGCCGATTTCGATAACCCATCCACCACACTGGACATCACTGATATGTTCAAAAGCAGCAATCATATTCTTCCGAAGCCCGCCGATCAGACTACTACCCACCTCACCGGTGATCTGTATGCTCTTGTCAACTGCGCGGATGCAAAATCGCACACTCCATCGCATCCCTGTGGACCGTATCTCAAACCTTTGTGCAGTGACATATGTACTATGTTCTCAGCAAAGCACGCCAACAAGTACGTGTCGTGGATTGTCTTCTTGACTGAGTCTTTCTACGACTTGCTCAAGAGACTGTTGGAGGACTGCGAGAAGACGTGCGGCGCTGAAGCTAGGAGATGCAAAATTGGCAAATGCAGTGAGGGGTGCAAGACAAAGAAGTTGCCGTATGGTAAAGACTCCAAACATGACAAATCATGTAGATCCATTGTGGACTGTAATTATATTCGTCCGACATTCTACAAATATGGATTCATACACGAGAGCGTCAGCAGCCTCAGTGGTGTAGCAGGAGTAGAAGGTAAGAGGACCTGCGCAGATTTCTGCGCAATTTTGAAGATAGTGACAGGCGAAAAGAAGACACTGCATACCATCGTGTTCGAGAAAATTACAGGATTTTTGTGGGCGATTAGGGAGAAATTCTTTTGGACTCTCCTAGCCCTCTGGTCGCTCTCGCTCCTGTACCTGCTGCACATCGCCGTCGTCCGCCTCGACGTCCTGAGGATCCGCTCACACCTGAGATCACCCTCAAGCCACCGCATCGCCGCGCAGTCCCTCCTCGCCGCCGCACGCGTCAAGGCACTCGCCAACGTCAAGTACTTCTCACCATAATCGTGCCTTCACCCACTCAACCACCCACTCACCCAACCACTCACTCACACACTCACTCAACCACCCACTCACCCAACCACTCACTCAACCACTCACTCAACCACTCAACCACTCAACCACTCACATACTCACTCACTCACTCAACCACTCAACCACTAACTCACCCAACCACTCAACCACTCACTCACATACTCAACCACCCACTCACTCACCTAATCACCTAATCACCCACTCAACCACTCACCCACCCACTCACTCAACCACTCACTCAACCACTCAACCACTCACCCACTCAACCACTCAACCACTCACCCACTCAACCACCCACCCACTCAACCACTCACCTAACCACCCACTCAACCACTCAACCACCCACTCAACCACCCACTCAACCACTCAACCACCTAACCACCCACTCATCCACTCACACACCCACTCAACCACCCACTCAACCACTCACCTATCCTCCCACTCACCCACTCAACCACCCACTCAACCACTCACCTATCCTCCCACTCACCCACTCAACCACCCACTCAACCACCCAATCACCCACCCACTCAACCACCCACCCACTCAACCACTCACCTAACCACCCACTCAACCACTCAACCACCCACTCAACCACCCACTCAACCACTCAACCACCTAACCACCCACTCATCCACTCACCCACCCACTCACTCACCCACTCAACCACTCACTCACCCACTCACTCACCCACTCAACCACTCAACCACTCACTCACCCACTCACTCACCCACTCAACCACTCACTCACCCACCTCCTCTTTCACTGGTCGCTCCGCTCCCTCTCCCTCACCCCTTCCCTCACCTCCTCCGTCGGCGTCCGTCGCCCGAAATCCTCGTTTTCCACCTTTCTCCCTCCGCCTCCGTAATCGCCCTATCTCAACCCATCTTCCTCCCTCCGTTGCCCTCTACCGCCCCTTCACCTCCCTCGCCTTGTCCACCCACCTCCCTCGCTGCCTCCGTCACCTAAAATCGCCTTTCCCCAAACTCCCCCAAATCGCCCTGGAAATGTGCCATTTCATCCCCCTTTACTTCTTTTAACCCTTCCTTAATCCACCTTCAATCCAACTGCAATGACCATTATAATGAAGTTCATTACCTTACTGAGGATGCCAGAAAGAAAGCCTTGGATGACATTGAAGCCCGTCGTATCTCTCTTGGTCAGCTTGCTGGACAGCTCTCGGGTTTTATTGGCAAAAGTGAGGAAGTTATAAATGCAATTTTGAAAGGTTTGCACAGTAATGTAAATCAGCTTGAAAAGCTTTTAAAAACGTCTTGCGGAGATAAGGGGTGTGATTGTGATATTAAGAAATTCCGTGATGAAGATCTTAAAAAGTCTTCAAAATACATTTGAAAAATATGATGAAATTGCAACAAAAATTGACAGCCTTAAAAAGCAAAAAGATGAAAAAAGTAAGGCGTCCGGAGGGACGCCGTCCGACAGTCAGCCTGAGATTGAGAGGCAAATTAGGCAAGAAAAATTGAAGCTTGATGAAATCGTAAAAAAGCGTGAACAGCAAATTAAAGAGCTTAATGATGCTTTAAGTGAGCCTAAAAAGCAAATTGAGTCTCTGATTTCCAAGCTTCAGATAAGTGTTACTGGCCTTCAAAAGGAAATTGAAGCAGAGCGTCAAAAGCAAATTAAAGAGCTTCAATATAAGGGATATAAAGATGATGAAGCAAAAAAATATGTCTCCATTCCCTCCCATCTTTCTCATCCTCTTGAAACTGAGCAGGCTAAATTGAAGTCTCACAAGGCTTCGTTGGAGTCTCTTAAAAATCTTGATAAGCTTATTACATTTCATCAGAATGTTCAATCTAAAAAAGGTGATGAATGTAAAGATATTTTAAGCAATCTGTGTACAGGTCTCCAAACATTCTTAGGTTTCAATTCAACTTCCAAAGGCTACGATGGCACTGGCATCGTGTACTCCGACCTTGACAGGCTCTGCGACGGGGTGATGGCGTTCTTGCATTCCGTGCTTAAAGATGTCTACAATAAACAGCCTTACCAAGTAGGCAGGGACATGTTAAATAATGTAGTTGAGAGCCTTAGAAATGCTTTGTGTTCAGGTCATAATGGTTTTAAGAGTGTCATTGACCAGGTGGCGCAGGGCGTCGGGGGGTATAATAGGGAAGTAAGGGAGAGTAATGAGAGGGTGAAGGTAATTATAAACAAGATGTCCGAGCACATGACGACGCTTAGAAAAGAGGTAAGTAAGCATTTAGAATATCATGCTGATTCAGATAATTTGGATGAAGTCAAGAGGGCTGCGGAGAAGGCCAGCGAATTGGTGAACGAGTACGCCCAGAAGGGCGGCAATTTCAAGAACGGTTTCGATAATGTAACAAAAAACTCATGGAACGCAGGTGTTACAGTTAAACCGAAAGAAGAATTTATGGACTTAAATCCTGCATTAAAATTAAAAATCGAGACGGCGAGAGACAATACTGTGCATGAAGCTGAGAGGCTGAGAGAGCTGTCGAAGAAGGAGAGAGAGAACTTAGATGCGATGACAGGGAAAATCAGTGATGCGTTGCGCTCGCTCAAAAGGTGCGTGAATGAAAGAATTATGAAAGATGTTAATAAGCTTGTCGAGGATTTGAATAAAAAGGTTTCAGAGATCTTGAAATTGCTTAGAGAAGTTGAGAATAGTTTGAGAGAATATATTGAGCAGTTGCAAGAGTGGATTAAAGATGCCGATGATATCGTTGGTGACGCAATGGGGAACGTGACAAAAATCGAGAATGGAAATGTCGGCATGGTAAACAAACAAAACATCGAAAGCGCAGGAAAGGAAATAGAGACGCGGAAAACGGCGCTGGATGAGTATATTACTAGCATGAGAGAGCAAAGTAAAGCAAAGATTACCGCGGCGAAAGGGACAGAAGTTAAAGCATTAGAAACTTGGAAAAACGCCGCGACCGTTGTGATCGGAAAGGCGCAGGGGAAGTGTGAAGCAATATTGTTGAAGTCTGACATAAATGATCTTAAAAATGGACAGAATGTTGTAATTAAAAAGCAAGCTGACGCACTGCAGAAAAAAGCCAATGACCTTTTGAACGCTTACAGCCAGGCGCATGGGAAAGTTGGCGATTTGGTAAGTCAAGTAAAAGGAGCCATTGGAGATTTGGAAACCGGCATGAAAGAGGATTTGGTGAGAATCAGAGATACAATTGTGCAGAAGATGAAGAACCATGTTGGCGGGATGCTTGCGCAGATTCAGGGGGAGGTGAAGAAGATTAAGGGGGAGGGAGATACAGGGTTGGAGGGGATAAAGGAGAAAGTGAAGGTGTGGGCGGAGAAGTTCAAGAACCAGGACCAATTTGGGGAAACAGTCAAGAGCTGGAGTGATGAGATTGTGGAAAAACTTGGCGGCGCGAGTGGATTGAGATCGTATCTGTTGAACAATGGGCAAACTCCGAGCAGCGTTACTGCTGCCGTTAGGAAGTTACAGGAGGCTGTCAAGGGAGAGATTCCATCTCAGCTTAAGAGCGAAGTTGTAGATACAGCTGCTAATGCGTTTGGAAGTGTGTCCTCTACCGACACAATTGTTGTTAATCTAACCGGTGTAAAAAATGTTTGCACGCAGTTTGCGGACTCCCTTGAGAAACAAATGAATGGGAAAGTGAGAGGGATTGCAGCGGCGCTGAAAGGAAGTGCAATACGTGATTTGGGAATCCCCCAACGTGGTGACAATTACGAGACTGACCTCAGAGCAGCCATCGAACGCATCCTACACGCACTCGCTGCCAACGCAAAGAACCTCGCCGCCGAAATCGATTCACTGCTCCTCAAGGACAAGGGTGGCAGGGGCAGCGAGCAAAACATCGCCAAAATCTTGGACAAAATCACGGGGGTTGCTGATAGCCTTCACAGTGATCTCGGAGCGGCGTATAAACAAACCAGCAAAAGTGACCTCACACCCTCAGGCTCTGGTCCCGGCGCCACCCTCGACGAAAAGGTCAAGCATATTAAGACGGAAGTCAACAAGTCATTTAATAATGGTAACATAATCGTCGATGACGTCATGACCTCTTACAAAGGTAAGAAAGAAAACACCGGGAGCGGTGACCATAAATATCACAAGTTGCTCCAAAACGACATCCCAACCGCGATGGACGCTTTCAAGACTCATGTCGACAATGGTAATAACGGTGCCATCGTCACAACAAAAGCCTTAGTCGAAGGGTGGGCAGGCAAAATCACCTCCGAGCTCCAGGCCATCGCCCACTTCGTCGATAAGAGCAAGACTCCGCCACCGTCGCTGGGACTTCCGGTTGAAAATGGCATACAAGACTGGTTAACTATGTTGAGAGAGAAGGGGCTTAAAAGTGAGGAAACATGGACACCAGTTACCGATCAGACTTCCAAAGGCCTCATGAGGATCAAGGCGGAGATTGACACAGCGCTCGACGGTATCGATAACCACTTCTCTGGATTGAATGTGGGCGTAACCACAGATGCCCTCCAAAAGTTGTCTGACAGTATTAAATCCAATCTCCAAGCATTAAAAGATGCCTTGACAAAAGCCGGTAAAAAGGTCAACCAGCAATTGAGTGAGCACAAGACTAAGATCGGCAGGACCTATTTCGGTGACACTGTTAAGAATGGAACTCTGCAAAAAATCCACGATCAACTAGAAGAGCTGCTAAATGGCTCCTTGACAAAGGTCATACAGGCGGCCGAAGAGTTTCCCAAGCAAGCCAACGATTTGCGTAATAAAACCATCAGTGCACTGGACAGACACGTAGAGCAGCAAGCTGACTCCGCCCGAGACCAACTCATCACCCTTGCCAACAAAAATTACGTGACGTCAGTCAAAGAGATGCTGAATGCATTTGCTAGCAGAGTTGAAAAGATACTGCAGCCTCTGCCAACAGCCATCGACACCGACCGAAAGGAGGGCTTTAAGGGGTTTATGAGAACATTTCAAGGCAGAATTGACGGAAATAATACGACGCAGGATAATATTAATTTGCTCAACGATCTTGCAGGTCAGCCATCTGACAAAGCTGAGGAGAAAGCAAAACTCTTCAAAATTCTGTCTGAGAAATTCCGAGACTTTTGGCAGCCACTCTACAAATATCTCAACGAAGAAATCAAGAGAATACATGAGCAGGAAAATAAGAAGAAAAACCCTGTGCCGACCGGGAAGGAAGAGTTGTACACCCCTAAACTTGAGTCAGTCGATTACGAACTTAACACGCTACTTAACTACACTACTGGCGTAAAACGGTACGACCACAAGGTGCCTGAGTACCTTGAAGGACTGGCGGAAGCAGTCAGCTATCTAGGCCCGGATTCATCTTTCGAGCCAACCACCCCACTCCTAGGCTCTATTGGCAACGGCCTCCAGAATTTTGTTGCCGAACTCAAGCTGGCGTATATATCAAAGTATGATGCTGCAGCCCCAATCTCCAATTGGGTGACGGAGGGTGAAAAATCAGCAGTAACTAAGGATGGCAAAAATTGCGCCAAAAGTTTCCTTACACTGCTGTCTACTCTGAAGGGTTCGTTAAGTATATTGAAACGTAACTGCAAGGCCCTCAGTGGACAGCAAATAAATTCGTCCACTGATCTTGGGAAGTTGTTGGTTGGCCAAGGCTACAATGTTTCCGGGCAAGGCCAACAAAATGGCGAATTACAAGATAAAGCTGATATGAAGGGTGAGCGTATTACTGCAATGCTTATCAGGATCGTGGACGGAACCGACGGCAATACGCACCTAAAAACGTGTATAGATGAGAATATTGCGGAAGAAGAGACCACGAAAGGGAAGACAAAATCACGATTCAATTTATTGGATATCGTTGCCTGCCTCTTCAGACATATCGAACAGTACAATGAAGTTTGCCACTACGCAACTTCTTTTTCCAAGAAACAACCGTGCAGTGTTAATGAAATGCTTTCTTGGTTCTCAGGTCTGCCGTATAACGCTGTGTATTCCACTCTATTACGTGACGGTTTCACTAGCCTCCTGCAGAAGCCTAAGCCCAAAACCATACAGGGCGGCGACGAATTTGAAGTAGAATTAGATGATCTGAATTCCTACTACCTAGATGCATACCCAAATAAGTTCACATATAAAAATATAAACACAGCGCTCGATCACATATGTTCTCAATCATATAATGTTCTCGTTGGCATTGCTGGTCACGGCGATGCATACACCATCTATGGTAGTGACCACTGCAACAATTCTTTTAATTTACATTATCCTTCCAATGCATCACAGTGCCGTGATATGATTGTAGATCTTCTCCGCCGACTTTTACCACCGCTCACGTATTTGTTCAACCGATGTAATGTTCCACCTGAGCACTACGGCTGGCGGGAGTGTCGGTACGGCAGGGACATTCCCACCACCAAATCGCACTGTAACGAACAATCAACTGACCAATCAACGTGCCAACCTAGAATGCAACCTACGTGCCAACCAAATTGTCAACCAACGTGTCAGCCAAAGTGTCAACCTAGCTGCCAGCCAACGTCACCATTAATGTCCTACTTAAATGACTGCCTAACGGGTCACTTACCACATCACTTAATTAGTGTCGGATGTACATCCAAATGTTCCACTTGCCCCGGTGGTAAGCCAGGTATGCCGTGTCTCACGCCGCTTGGTTTTAAGGGTTTCTCAGGAAGTATACGTACGGGTAAAGAGCTGTACGAAACTATTAAGTTTTTCCTCGGTACCGGTCTAATCTCAACCCTATTCGGCTTGGCGCCTAGGCCGCCGAAGACACTGCCTGAACACTTCAGTTTCGTAATGCAACATTTCGGTAATTGGCAGAAGGTTTTCTCAGGAAACAAACATGCTCTGCAATTTGCATTTGAAGGCTCGATGGACAAGCTGTCTATACATCAAGTCACCGATGCCAATGAACTTTGTGATGCATTTAGAGCCATTTACGGATCCAAAGATAAGGACCCCGGATACGATTCAGCCCACCCAGATGCCAACCACGTTGACATGTTCAGCCTGTGCCTACCTAAGTATAAGAACCGCTGCTCTAGTGAAACCCATTGTGCGCCTTACCTTAATTCCTTGTCTCACGATGCGTATTATTACTTACCTCACAAGCACTCTAACACATACCTCTCCTGGGCCATATACCTCCCATGGACGTTCTGGGATCTACTAAACAATTTATATAACGCTTTCTGTGAAATCACTTGTGCAGATTGGGGATGCAGAGGATGTCTCAGAGGGGAGAAGTGCAGGAGTGGCAAGCATGGCGTCATTGAGGATGAGAAGAAAGATGTTACCTGTCAGTGTGATTCCATAGTGAAATGCAGAGGCGTGGCACCGACGCTCTACCAGTACGGATTCAGCTTCGGCGAGGCGTCGACGTTGAATGGTGGTAGCACAGCGAAAAAGTGTAAGGATTTCTGCAGTCAATTGAAGAAAGTGCTGCAGTCACAGTACTTCAAGGATTTGTTCAAGGAGTGTGATGAATTCTTGAAACAGATCAGATGGCCATTTATGCTAACGTTATTAGCCCTCTGGTCGCTGTCGCTCCTGTACCTGCTGCACATCGCCGTCGTCCGCCTCGACGTCCTGAGGATACGCTCGCACCTAAAATCACCCGCAAGCCACCGCATCGCCGCGCAGTCCCTCCTCGCCGCCGCACGCGTCAAGGCACTCGCCAACGTCAAGTACTTCTCACCATAATCGTGCCTTCACGTGTGATCTGTGTATCACTCAACCACTCAACCACCCACCCACCCACTCACCTAATCACCCACTCACCCACCCACTCACCACCCACTCACTCACTAATCTCAACCACCTTTCTCACTCACCACTCCTTACCACCCACTCACCCACTCACTCACACTACTTTCATACTTCAACTCAATCCACTAATACTCATTAATCACTTACACACTACCATCATACTTCATCATACATCAACCATCTACCTCCCTTCACTTATCTACTTAACCATCATTTTGCCCACCCATTTAACTCTCACTTCTTACCACCCTCTACATACTCACTCATCACCTCATCACTCACTTAATACATCATCAACTTACTCATTTATTTACTTTACTCACCACTCATTTATACCACTCACCTACCACTCCATCATCATTCTTCATTTCTTTTCATCATTTACTCACCCTTCCTTCACCTTTCCGTCGGCATTTTCACCCTGACCTCTTCCTTCTTCTTACCTCCGAATCGTTTCCAACCCATCTTCCTCCTCCATCGCCCTCTTTCGCCCCTTCCTTCCCTCGCCTTGTCCACCCACCTCTCTCACTCCCTCGCTGCCTCCTTGACCTAAAATCGCCTTTTCCCAAATTCCCCCAAATCGCCCTGGAAATGTGCCATTTCATCCCCCTTTACTCCTTTTAACTCTCCCTTAATCAACCTTTAATCCAACTACAATAACCATTATAATGAAGTTCATTACCTTACTGAGGATGCCAGGGGGAAAGCCTTGGGGGATATTGAGGAGAGGCAGAAGACACTTAAGGATCTTCAAGGTAAGCTTGAAGGTTTCATTGGAAAAGAGAAGGATAATCCTGCAACAGAAATACTAAAAAACCTCACTGACGGTTTAGAAAACTTCCTAGGCTTCAATCCATCTTCCAAAGGCTACGATGGCTCCGGCATCGTGTACTCTGACCTTGACAGGCTCTGCGACGGGGTGATGGCGTTCTTGCATTCCGTGCTTAAAGATGTCCATGATAAACAGCATTACAATGTTGGTAAACAAGGCTTAGAAAATGTTGTTAGTAAGCTTAATGATGCTTTGTGTTCAGGTCATAAGGGTTTTAAGAGAGTCATTGCCGAGGTGGCCGCCGGTGTCGGGGGGTATAATGAAGCTCTTAAAAATTCAAATTATGAAATTGAAACGGTTATAAATAACATGAGTGCTGAGGTTGGAAAGACCTTGACAAAAAAGTTGAATACTATAAAAGAGAAGACTACTGAGGAGTCTGACGTTAAGAGAGCCTTCGACTTGGCCAACGAGTATGCTCAGAAAGGTGACGATTTCAAGAAAGGTTTTCGTGTAAGAGTTGGCAGCAAGTATGAACATAAACAACAATATACAGACTTAAATTACGAATTACGGGATAAAATAGACAACGCAAAAAATAACATTTCGCAAGAAGCCAGTAGGCTCCGGACGTTGTCGAGCAAGGAGGACAGTGATCGGAAGGAGATGATCAAAAGCATTACTGAGACGTTGAATGGTATTAAAAAGCATGTCGTCTGGAGAATTGGTGAGGAAGTAAATAAGCTTGTTAAGCAGCTGAAGGATAAAGTTGAGGCCGTTAAAAAGGAGTTGGAGAAAATCAATAAAACATTGATCAGCTATATTGAGAAATTGCAACAGTGGATTAAGAATGCGGACAAAACCGTGGGTGACGCGGAAATGAAGGTAAATGACTTCATAAATAAGGATGTTGGATCTACTCATAAAAATGAGATAGACCGCATTGCAAGGTCATTGGACGGTTGGGGAGACGTGCTTGAGAAATATTGGAATGACCTTAAGGAGTTGACTCAAGAAGTTGATGCGAAGATGAAGGCGCTTGCAGGGGAGTTTAAGGATATCCAAGATGAAACTAATAAAAATATTAAAGGGATTTTGGAGCATGTTAGAGGGAAGGCTTATACAATTAAAGAGAAGGTTGCAATGCAAAGCCTCCAAAGTAGTATATATTATGAGTGGGATAATCTTAAGATTCAAGTTAAAACTCAGACTGATAAGATGTCGAATGAGGAGCATGGGACGGATCCTGGCTGTGTTGATTCTATCGAAAGCGGCATCGGGAATTACGGTGCGCATTTCAATGAGAAATTCAAAGCGGCGATAGGGACTATGGTTCAAGGAATGGTGTATGAATCGGAGGGAGCTGTGAGCAATCAAATTCATGAGTATTATAATCTGTATAGAACTGCATTAAACGGTAAAAAGGCGGAAAATATTAAGAAAGCCATTCATAATCAGTTGACTGATACCATTGCTGCCGCTGCACAGCAGACTAGGATCCAATACGAAGGTGCCTTAAAAGTCACTCTGAGCAGTATTCAAGAATATTTGACAATGTTCGCTACGGCGGTTGATCCAGGAAAGGCTGAGAGCATTGCCGGAAAGGTTTTGAGTGATGAAGCGCTGAGTGGTCCACCTTCAGCCAAACCTTATGTAACAAGAGCCCTAAAAACCATTTTACTCGCTGTGCGCTCTTCAGTCGAGCGGGTCATGGGGGAGCTGAAGTTGTTCACTTCGGATGACAGCAATCCCAAGTACAAGCTAGGCGAAAACGTGGACACTATTATTACATGCGTTGATGAAATTAAAAAGCAGCTTGACGAAACCTCAGACCAGTACTCCAGTGGCCATGGAAAGCAGATCGATGACGCGTTGGCAAAAGTGACTCCCACAATTACAGGTCTCCACGACCACCTCACCGCGGCGACTGCGGATTCCAACAATCACGCCCAAGCCCTGGATAAGGCGATCGAGAAAGTCACCGACAAGTCTAACGATCCAAGCGTCAAACAAGCCGGAGAGAACCTCGACAAATTGGCTGCCAATATAACGAGTAACCTTAATAGCCTAATGAGTGAGGTTTCTCGCGTGGCCAATGAGGTTAACCTACAATTGATAGCTTTTAAGAAAAACAAAATTGGCAGGGTCGACAGAGGCACGCCTGTTGCTGAAAGCCTTCAAGATATTCACAATAAACTCAGTGCGCTGCAAAAGGGCCCGCTTGTTAAGGCAATCGGGGACACTGAAGTATTTCTGGGTTTTGCTACCGAACAAGGCACTTCAACCATAAAAACCCTTACAGACCACGTCAACCAGGAAGTCCAAAATACGCAAGATACGCTGACTAGCCAGGTCCGGCGTAACTATGTTGCGTCCGTCAAGCGAATACTCGAGGCATTCGCCTTCAGAGTTGAAAAGGAGCTGCAAGATTTACCTAAGCAAATTGACAAAGACCGTCGGGAGGGCTTCAAGGGTTTTATGAGAACCTTTGAAGGCAGAATTGACGGAAATAATACGACGGAGGAAAACATTAAAACGCTCAAAGATCTTGCAGATCAGCAAGCTGACTCAGCTGAGCAGAAAGCAAAACTCTTCAAAACTTTATCTGCAGAATTCCAAAAATGGTACAATCACATCAACACGTATCTTGTCAATGAGACTAAAAGGGAACACAGAGAAAATATGCAAAAGAGAAATCCTCCAGTGAATGACAAAAGGAATCCACATCCCTGTGTAGAGCACCTCAGCACTCTGAAAAGCAAATTAGACGCTTTACTCACTCACCTTAATGATCTTGATAATTCGAATAGAAAATACATTTTCAACAATGAATTTGTCCAATTACGTGACTCACTTGCTAGCTCACTTAGCACCTTTAAGCCGTCCCAGTTCTCGGGCATTTTCGGCGCTGAGTTAATGGATGCGCTGAATGGCGGACTGAACTCCCTCGTTGGAGAGTTGCATAAGGCGTACGTTAATGCATATGACGGGCATCCTAAGCAAATAAATTTAAGTAAATTGCTGCAAGATAAACCACAAAAGGATGCTGCTACACCAGCCGAAAAGGTGCTCACCCCGGACGGCGAAAATATGTCTAAGGTGTTCTTGTCCATACTGGAGATCATGAGTGAGGACCTTACGTATTTGAAACAAAAATCCATTGCGAAATGGTCTACAAGTAGAATATATTGCGGTAGCAGTCTAGGTACATTTTTGAGCAATTGCGGCTACATTGTCCCCAAGAATGAGAGATCTCAAGATGGCGAATTGAGGTATAATAAGCAGTGCGACGGTAAATACATTTATGATACACTTCTTATTGGCGATTTCCCTTGTCTTTTCGACACGGATAAAAATGCTAAACGTGCATTCGAAACTGTTTACGAATATCTCCAAGCGTATTACGTTGTGTGCCACGTCGCCACTTCCTTCTCCAAGAAGCGTCCGTGTTCCATTTACGAGATGCTTGCCTGGTGTACCAGTCTGCTACATAATCCCGTGTATATCGATTTGACAACAAATGACTTCAGTCACCTGTTCGACAAGCCGAAGAAGAAGGAAGCGAACAGCATTGACTTCGATGGCATATCCCTTGAAGAGCCAAGCAGCCTATCGTTATCAGCGTATCCACAAAAGATCGCGCAGAGTGATATACATCTTGCAATAATACATGTCACGTCCCTTGCTCCAGTGATCCTGACTACCATCGCCGGCTACGGCGACGAGTTCACCACATATGCTGTTGACTACCATAGTAACGCCCTTAATTTCACTTACCCCTCATCGGCCGGGGAGTGTCTCAACATGTTGCTTGAATATCTCCGTAGAATGTTCCCTGTATTTAGATTTTTGCATCATCAGTGTAACAATTTGGTGTCCGAGCACGGCTGGTACAGCTGCAAGTACGGCAAAGATGTCAAGTCAGCCAAGTGGCCGTGTAGTGACCACTCAAACAGCAAACCAAATTGCCAGGCAATGTGCCAACCAAATTGCCAACCAAATAGTAAACCAAACTGTCAACCAACTTCGCCTTTAATGTCCTATCTAAATGATTGCCTGCCAGGGCATCTGCCGCACCAACTGGTGTCAGTTGGTTGCAAATCTATATGTAGCACTTGTCCCAGAAGTAAGCCCGGGATGCCATGTTTAACGCCACTTGGGTTCCGAGGTTTCTCAGGAAGCACAAAGACAGGCAAAGACTTATGCAAAGTGCTGACCAACTTCTTTGGTAACGGTGTAACTTCACCCCTGCTCTCCGTTGCACCCAAACCGCCGAGCAACCTAGCAGAGCACTTCCAATTTGCATTGTCATTTGTGAAAGGCTGGTCATATGGTGGCAGTAACGGACTCAAAACGGTGATCGAAAATTCCGCCAAAAGTGTGTCCATTAACCTGTATGACCAACCGACGAAACTAACAGCTGCACTTACTAATGCGTACCGTAATACGCATAGCAAAAATGGAGGTAAGGATCATCTTACTGCGTACGCTGACGTGTCTAGTCTAGCAATGACACCAGCGTGTGATGATCGTGTCGGAAAAGCATTGTGCGCTCCATATGTTGCATCACTCTGTGGCGACACATATGCTTACTTTGCTGAGAAGCATTGCAACACATATTTGTCGTGGGCCATCTACCTCCCATGGACGTTCTGGGATTTACTCAACAATTTATATAATGCCTTTTGCCAAATCACTTGTGCAGATTGGGGATGCCGTGGATGTCTCAGAGGAGACAAGTGCAGGAGTGGCAAGCATGGCGTCGTTGAAGATGAGAAGAAAGCAGATGTCACATGTCAGTGTCTTTCTATAGTATCCTGCAGAGGCGTGGCACCGACGCTCTACCAGTACGGATTCAGCTTCGGCGAGGCGTCGACGTTGAATGGTGGTAGCACAGCGAAGAAGTGTAAGGATTTCTGTAGTCAATTAAGGAATGTGTTACAATCACAATATTTCAAGGACTTGTTCAAGGAGTGCGACAATTTCCTGAAAGAAATCAGATGGCCATTTATGCTAACGTTGTTAGCCCTCTGGTCGCTGTCGCTCCTGTACCTGCTGCACATCGCCGTCGTCCGCCTCGACGTCCTGAGGATACGCTCCCACCTGAGATCACCCGCAAGCCACCGCATCGCCGCCCAGTCCCTCCTCGCCGCCGCACGCGTCAAGGCACTCGCCAACGTCAAGTACTTCTCACCATAATCGTGCCTTCACGTGTGATCTGTGTATCACCCACCCACTCACCCACTCTCACTACTCTTGCACCCATCAACCATCAACCGCCCCCGCTCACATACTCGCCTGATCACCTAATCATCACGCATTCAACCATCCCGCCCACCTAATCACTCACCCATCGGCCATCATTCCGCCTGATCATCACTCAACCCATCACTCCCCCCTACTCATCATTTACTTGACTGCCCCAATCAATTGCCGCTTGATTTACCGCCCACACCGCATTTACTAGCCTACCCTCGACCGCTCGCCATATCTACCGCCTGCTATATCCATCGGCCCCATTTACCCCCGCTTGTCATCGCTTACATCTCCGCCCATCTCGATTTCGCCTGTCATCGCTCGCATCGACCGCCGCATTTATTCCAATCTCGCTCTTCATCGCGCCCATCTTGCCGCCCTATCATTTAATCTACTCTAATTACTTATCGATATCATTGCCCATCGATTCACCCACTCAACCACTCGACCTACCTTCCACTTCCATCGCCGCTCATTCGCTCTTAACATCTTACGCTCAATTTCCCATCAACCCATCGACCCTCATCGCCCTCATCGCATCGGCCATCCATCGCGCATCACTCTTCTTAAACGTCGTTACGCCAGCTTTCACCATCATCGCATCATCAGGTCGGTCATTGCAAAATTTATTTTTCTTTTTCACCCTCGCACCTTAATCGTTTTCCCGTCACCCATTCTTTCGTATCATCGAATTTTTCGCATCCCTCATATGTCGCACCTCATCGCTGCCTCCTTGACCTAAATCCTTTCTCCAAATTCCCCCAAATCGCCCTGAAAATTACCCTAATAATCCCCCTTTTACTCCTTTTAACTCCCCCCTATTCCACCTTTAATCCAAGTATGATAACCATTATAATGAAGTTCATTACCTTACAGAGGATGCTAGAAAAGGAGCCTTGGAGGATATCAAGGGGAGGCAGGAAAATCTTGATCAGCTTAAAAAAAGTCTTGAAATATTTACTGGGGAAAATAAATCTGATGAATGCATAAAGCTTTTAACAAATCTCACTGACGGTTTAGAAAAGTTCGTAGGGTACGACTCAACTTCCAAAGGCTACACTGGCAAGGGCATCGTGTACTCGGACCTCGACAGGCTGTGCGACGGGGTGATGTCTTTCCTTCATGGAGTTCTTGACTCTGTGAAAGATGATGATAACGTTTCACATTACTTTGACTTCACAAATTGCATTACTACAATCAAGAACTCTATGCATCAAAAAGGTATGTTCACTACTGTAATTCATACTGTTGCAGGTGCGCTGCGGGAGTGGGAGGAGAAGGTGAAGAAGGAGACTCAATCACTTATAGCTCATTTAGATTCACTTCTAAAGTTTAATTTTGATAACATGAATAATGCACTTGAATTACTAAATACGCTTTTTGTTCCTGATGACCTTCATAAGGTTACCTACCAGTGGCATATTTGCATTAGCGAAGCTGATAAGCTTGCTAAGTTTTTCGCAGTAGCGAAGATAGAATACTTTCAACTTGATCATCCACTTAGAAATACGCTACGTAACTGCGTACGGCGTGCTGAATTGGAGGTAGAGAGGTTCGTGGCTGGTGCTTGTAATAGTGAGTTAAGGGCTGCGATCGAGACAGCGGAGGGTCAACTGAAGCATTTGCAAAAGCAAATCAATGAGCGTTTCAAGGGCCGTGTAGAACAGATGGCTGGGTGTATTAATGTCAAATTCGAAGAACAATTTCATACTCCAATAAAAAATGTACAGGCGAAACTAAATGACGCTAAAACTTATCTGGATAAGTGGATTGTGACTGCTCATCTTATGTTCAGTGAGGCGATTCAGAAGGGCGGAGAGGCGCATAAGAAGTTGGATTATACGAGAAAAGAATCGACTTATCCGGTTGGTTATAATATACAGCAAATTGAGACAGCTAAAGAATACATCCAGAGTGTTAATACCCAAGTCACTAGAATTCACAGCGAGTTGAAAGCGTGGATGGATAAGACTAAAAAAATAGTTGAAGATGCTTTGTTGAAAGTTGATGGTATTCTGAATGACGTTGGCGCCCAAAGCCAAAATAAGTTGGACGTTGAAAGCGCAACTGTAAGACTAAAAGACGTCACTCAACAGAATTATGTTAAATTCAAACAACAGGAACTTGAAGGCTACGCCTTCAAGGCCAAATACACTTTGGAGAATCTCGCTAGTGAGGTGACTAAATTGATGGATGAGAAGTTCAAGGCTGCGCAGGAGCAATTTAAATTGTGGGTTAGCGGGAGTGGGAGCGCCGGTGTTCGCGTTCCTCAAGAATTGGAGCAGGCAATCATGTCTATCACTCAGATTTCGAATGCAATTCACGCCGCATCTCGCAATGTATCACATAATCATGTTAACCGTGTGCCGTTACATCGCTATACACACGCTCAGTCACCTAATCACTTGCTTAGTGAGTCGGTGGCTCAGTTGCGATCGTCTCTGTCAGAAGTTGAACGCACATTCCCCAACGGACGTCAAATCGCTAAACCTTCAGAGGCCCACACTGCCACTCGGTATCTTTCATCAATTTCCAACCTTGCCACTACCACAAGACTAGTCATCATATCCGCCATAGACCATCTCAATGAGCAAATTAAGAGTGCACTGCCGGACGTTGGTGGCCTAAGTATTGATTCAAACAATGGTTCCTCAACCAATAAGCTCACTGTTGCGTTGCAAGGTGCTGATACATTTGCCGAACAACTCCAATCACTTAAAGGTCACTTTGTTCGGTTTCCTGGTGGTTTCGATATAGATAGCATGTCTCGGCAACTGAGCAATATAGTAGGTGCTGTTCAGCGTTTTAGTAGTATCTTCGACAGCGATAAAAAGGATTTTGACAACCTGGCACAAGGCATCACTAGGCCTTTCAACAGGCTCCTCCAAGCTGTTCAGATGCAAGCGGATGACCAAGCAAGGAATGGTCTAAAGCAATATTTAAAAGATCAATTACAAGATATTTATTTCAAGCAATATGACTCCGGCAAATCCAATGAACCAAACAATAATGATACCATCGACAAGCTTAAAACTGACCTTAACACTCAACAGTCTGCGTTGCCAGGCCATACCAGTACTATCGAATCAGCAGTCCACGCAATGAAAGAAGAGCTCAAGAGACTTCAAAAGGAGCTGCAGACCAACGTTATGGATAAGTTAAAAAATGTACATGACAAGGGTATCTTCGGAGATGCAGAATGGAAAGGTACTGTCGGTCTTAAGAAAATTCACAACGAACTTAGAGATATTCTAGGTCCTAAAAGTAGAGATAATACTTTGGCTAAAATTCTTCACGATGCCGAGAATTTCCACAACTCTGTCATCCATGCTGAAGCAACAAACGTCATCTCCGACATACAAAACTTCGTGGCCCAACAGGTTACAGCCGCTACTCAGTCCATTCAAGACAGGGCTAAAATTGAATATTACACCAATAACAAAAAACGTTTTGACGCAATGAAATCGAGCGTTACCAAATACATCAGTGAAATTAAAACCATGATCGATAAAGATATGCGGACAGGTGTCAAAGGCTTAATGAGGCACTTAATAGGCAAAGTAGATGCTCAGGCAAATCAACAACCTCCGGCTCAACCAAATTCCAATCTGCTCGATGGGCTAAGCACTGCTGTGGGTGATCGAAATCTTCAATTTTCGGATAAAGTTAAAAAATTATCAGAAACATTCAAAAACTATGCTGATCCCATTTTGGATTATATCGAAGACCAATTTAAATCGCCTCCATTTTTCCTGCCTAACGTAAAGGGTAAGAAGTCCACTGATGAGTCTGAACGAATTTCCGCCATCCACTCCGCTGTGGACACCCTCCTCTCCCACCTGCGCGAGCAAAAACACTTCACCCACGAGGTCCCCGGAATGCTGCAAAATCTCAAGACATCCGTGCAAGCACTCCACTCCACAAAATTCGGCAACCCCGCGTATCCCGTGCTCGACGCTTTCCCCAAGAGCCTGGTAAAGTTCGTCGAGCAACTGGAGAGGGGGTATGTGAACAGGTATGAGGGGTCTAAGGAAATCACATGGGAAGGAACGTTGTTTACTGGATCAACAGAGGAAAGTAAAATGGCCGCTAAAATTTTCCTCAGCGTGTTTTCCATCCTGAACACAAATTTGAATGAGTTGAGAAAGAGGTGCAAGGTGGATTGGGGAGGTGATCAAATTAATGAATTCACGGAGCTTGGGACATTCTTCTCCGATAATGGTTTCGTAGTGTCCGACAATAATAAACAGAACGGCGAGTTGCAAGACAAAGAAGGGATGAACGGAACAAAAGTCGTCGGATGCCTTGTCGGTGATTATCCTTGTGTTTTCCCTTCTGCTGAAAACACTAGGCATGCGATTAATACGATTGTCGACTCTCTCCCTGCCTACTACCAAGTCGGTCACATCTCCACATTCTCCGCTAATAAGCTACCATGTTCAGTCTACGAAATGCTCGCATGGTGCTCCGGTTTACGCCATAACGGTGCGTACGATGCGCTTAAGCAGCACATAAAAACAGCAGTCAAGACGAAGGATGCGCAATCTGGTAATGAGTTACCTTACACGGATGCGTTCCCAAGAGCATTCGGCGCTCAACATCTGGAAAATGTCCTCGACCATATCACATTGCAATCCGCTTCCGTCCTAACCAGTATAGTAGGCCACGGCAACGCTTCTACCACCTACTCCTGTGACTACTTCAACAACTCCTTTAAATTCAAATATCCCTCTAGCGGTTCAGAATGCTTAGATTTACTCCTTGACATCCTTAAAAAATTGTTCCCGCCACTGAGGTTCTTGCATACCCAGTGCAATCGTCGGCCTGATCATTACGGATGGGCTGACTGCCTCTACGGCCAAGCTGTCGAAATATCAAACTGGCAATTTAACACTCACTTAACTGACAAAGCAAGTAACCAACCAAATAGTCAACCAAACACCGAATCAAACTGCCAACCAGCGTGCCAAGCAAATTGTCACCCAACCTCTCCACTTCAGTCCTACCTAACTGACTCCTTGCATGGTCACTTGCCTCATAATCTAATATCTGTCGGGTGCAAATCCGTATGTAACACTTGTCCTGGCACTAAACGCGGAATGCCATGTCTGACTCCACTCGGATTCAGGGCCTTCTCCGGTAGTCCGAAGAAGGGTAACGAACTATGTAAAGTGCTTAGAAATTTCTTCGACGATTTCTATCTTACAGCCTTATTCTGTGTGGCCCCTAAACCGCCGACTACACTACCAGAGCACTTTGGTTTTGCCTTGTCCATAGTTAGTGGTTGGCATAATGGTCAACCAGACGCAAACAAAAGGTCACTGCAGTCAAATGTCGTAGCATCGATTACTGATCAGTCCATCCAGTTATATGTAGATCCGTCTCAACTCACCGATGCTCTCACCGCAGCTTACGGTTCTGTCTCCGCCAACCATTCCGAATGTCAAACACCGCATCTCACAAGTCTTACAACCACTGATTTTTGCAAAGGGAAGAGTGGAAAGATAGACTGCGCTCCCTACATATATGCTTTGTCCACCGACGCGTACAACTATCTGGCCAAGAAACATGCCAACCTTTACCTTTCCTGGGCGGTGTATTTACCATGGACGTTCTGGGACTTACTCAACAATCTATACGTTTCCTTCTGTGATATCGCTTGTCAGGATTGGGCATGTAATGGGTGTCAACAGGCCGATAAATGTCGACGTGGTGAGCATGGTAAAACGGCAACATCCTGTAAGTGCTCATCGATTGTTGGCTGCAAAGGCGTAACGCCTACACTGTATAGCAATGGATTCACATTTGGTTCAGCATCAAGATTGAACAAAAATGCACATGTAAAGAGATGCTACAATTTCCAGAAAATCATGTCGACAATTCTACACGGCGAACATTTCAGGAACCTATTTAAAGAGTGCGACAATTTCCTGAAAGAGATCAGATGGCCATTTATGCTAACGTTACTCACCCTCTGGTCGCTGTCGCTCCTGTACCTGCTGCACATCGCCGTCGTCCGCCTCGACGTGCTGAGGATACGCTCGCACCTGAGATCACCCGCAAGCCACCGCATCGCCGCACAGTCCCTCCTCGCCGCCGCACGCGCCAGGGCACTCGCCAACGTCAAGTACTTCTCACCATAATCGTGCCTTCACGTGTGATCTGTGTATCACCCACTCACCTAATCACCCACCCACTCACACAACCACTCACTCACTCAACCACCTAACCACTCAACCACTCACTCACCCACTCACTCAACCACTCACCCACCCACTCACCCACCCACTCACTCACCCACATACTCACCCACTCACCCACCCACTCATTTCCCTCTTTCACTGGTCGCTTCGCTCCCTGCCTCCACCCCTCCATCACCTCCTCCGTCGGCGTCCTTCATCCAAATCCTCATTTTCCACCTTCTCCCTCCACCCCTTATATCGCCTTACCCCAGCCCATCTTCCTCCCTTATCGCCCTCTCTCGCCCCTTCACCTCCCTCGCCTCGTCCACCCACCTCCCTCGCTGCCTCACTGCCTCCCTCACCTAAAATCGCCTTTCTCCAAATTCCCCCAAATCGCCCTGAAAATGTGACTAAAATAATCCTTCAACAACATTATTAAATAACCTCTGCACAGGCCTCGAAAAACTTCTCGGCTACCAGGATGGTAATTACACCGGCGAAGGCATCGTGTACTCGGACCTTGACAGGCTCTGCGACGGGGTGATGTCTTTCCTTCATGGTGTTTTACATAACATTCATGGTCATTTAGGCCAGCATAAAGAGACGTTAAATAGCGCACTTAACTCACTTAAAGACACAAATCTTAATGGTATTACTAAATACAGGGCGGCGATAGCCGCGGTGGCCGGTGGTGTACGTACATATAATGAGAGAGTGGCAGCGTCGAATGATGCTGTGAAAAAAGTTATCACTGATCTACATAAATATACACAAAGTGATAGTAAGTTACGTGTTTTTCTTAATAATTTGCAGACTGCGCATAATCGCAGGGACACGGGATACCAGTTGGCCAAGGACGAAGTGGACAAGAAACTTCAAGAATGTCAAGAGCAAGCAAAAAAATTCACAGATAGTTTAGACACTAGTAACACTAAAAACAAACTTAATGACTCATTTAACGACTTGAATGATAGTCTGCGTGTCACACTTAGCCATGTGCGTAGCACTGTAGAGTACGAAGCGAAGCGGCTTGAGACGGTGAAGGCGGCAAAAGCTGCGGAGTTTAGTGATACGGAGGAAAAGATCACGGCGACTTTAAAATCCATGAAAATTAGCGTCGATTGTAAAATTGACGCTCAGATTAGGGAGCTGATTAGCAAGTTGAGGGAGAGAGTGCAGAAGATTCTTGATGAGCTCAGGGGAATTGACAAAAGGTTCAGGGAGTACTATAACGCTTTGCAGGAATGGATTATCAAGGCTGAGAAAGTTGTCGACGAGGCGCACGGAGAAGTTAACAGACTCTTGGGGCATATTAATAATACCAGTACAACGTATCCCATGCAGATAACTTCGAGAGCCGAACAGCTAGAGAGGGATGTCGAGGGGCTTTATAATGCTGGGCAAGCGGCGACGGAGAAAGTGAAAGCGGAAGTTAAAATAGCGCTTGCGGCTGTAAAAAGTCTGGAGACTGCGGTTAAGTATGATTTGCATACGGTGAGAGGGCAGATTAATGAGAAGATTGGGGAGTACGTTCGGAACACTGTCAGCAATGTGATGGATGCGGCGAAAGAGGCTAATACTAACTGGTCAGACACTGATAATACAAAATTCCCTGGAATTACGGAACTTAAGCTTAAGTTAAAAGAGGGCGAATTAGGAACTTTAGTTAAAGATTTAAGTGATACAAGAGATGCTGCAGGCTATGCACTTGAAAACTTCTTAGATTGGTTGAAAATAACGTATAATTTGAAAACTGCCGTACCTGCAGATACTTCCAAACTCACCAATGCCCTCGAAACCGATCTCACGAAGGAGCTTAATAATCAGCTGCCAGACGTGAATGGGCAACAACGTGTAAGACTTGACAACCTTACAGTTTCCTTTGCCAATGGCAAAGGCAACGGAAATACAGGTTCAAGACAGGCCCTCGACGACGCCATCACCAAAATACAAACTGACGTAACCGGCGCGCTGGGGAGTATAGAAGGCGTAAAAGATGGCGCCTTAGCAGATTTGCGAAATGTTAAAGATAATATAAGAAAGCTCTGTGAGGTGATTAAAAAAGATGCTGGAGACGACAAGGGTGAAGTGGATGACACCCTTAGAGGACGGCTCAACGATTTGAAGAAGAGATATTTTGAGGTTTATGAGGAGGAGAAAAAGAATGGTGAGAAGAGCATTAAGAAGATTCAAAAACAATTCGGTGTCCTCCACATGGATCTGGTAAGTAAGCCAATTAAGGATGCCGAAGCGTTCATCACATTCTGCTCCGAGGCCGAAACATACTTCACCAAGGAGCTCAAGGATCAAGTCGACAAGGACGTCCAAAAGGCCAAAACCGAGATAATCTGCCACGCGCGCAAGCAGTACGTCGACGCAATAAAAGACTTGTTAACAAAGTTCGCCGAGAAAGTTCAGAGTGAGTTGCAGCCTTTGCCACAAGAGCTCCGCGACGATCTGGAACAAGGACACAAGGGTTTTGTCGATAAGCTTGGAAGGTATTTCATTCTGCAAATAAGAGACTTTTTCCCAACGCGAATCGTTCCCCCTGAACAGCGAAAAACATTGAAAGACTTTGCAGACATCTTGCGTCTCCGCTTTAATGATTTCGTGGTTGCATTGTGTGATCAAGCAGATTTCAAGAAAAACGTCAATGTATTCTTCGAGCCTTCACGTCAAGCATTGCACCGTCTGCTTACTGACCTTATCAGGTCAGAACACTTCGACCGCACTTTCAATACGAACATAGATAATTTCAATAATGTATTGCATAACTTCGCACCTAAAAATTTCTCCGGTCCGTGCAGTCCTCTGCTGGACGCGCTTAATGCCGGTCTTAACAGGCTGGGCACCGAGCTTAATAAGGCTTACGTTAGCGCGTATGACGGTGAGAAGCCTACAGATGGCTGGGTGACAGAGGTCACTGAAACATCCAAGTCGTCTGATGTTGCTTCACCGAAATACAAGTTTACCGATGAGGGGGAGAAATGTGCAAAAGTATGTGCGACGCTGCTCTCTACTCTATACACGAAGTTGAGTGACCTGAGGCAAAGATGTAAGAATGGTGTCAGAAATGGTTTCAATAAAGATACCATTAACAAAACTACGCGTCTCGGAAGATTCTTCGACGGGGAAGGATTTGTTGTTTCTGACCCCGATGACCAGAACGGTGAGCTTCAGCACAAAAAAGGTTTCACGGGTCAGAATATTTATGAAAAACTAACCGTCCAACATACTGACCAAACCCAGAAACATTATAAGCTTGTCAGCGACGAGGACGACAAGGATCCCGTTACCGGTAAGCAAGAGAAGCCGGATGTCAAGACGACTGCACAAAAGTACAGTGTCCTCAAAGATTTCGTCGGACATCTCCATCAATATTTCAGTGTTAACCACTACGCAACTTCATTCTCCACTAAGCATCCATCATCCATAAACGATATGCTCCAATGGCTCTCCGGTCTTCCACACAATCACATTTTCACCAAACTCCCGCATCACGTTAAGACATTGTTCGACAGGCCTAAAGAGCGGGAGCATGAAGATTATTCCGCATTCCAGCCAAACGAACTTAAACTAGATGCCACAGTTCCGTTGTCAGCCGAAACAATAATCAAGGAATTGGGAATGGTATGCTCACAGTCTCACTCAGTTCTCACTTCCATTCAAGGCCACGGTCACTCGGGCGGAATTTACGCCTGCGACTTTTATACCAACTCAGCAAAATTAGTGTATCCCTCTAACCCCGGCAAATGTTTAGATTTACTAGTAGAGATATTAAGTAGAGTATTCCACCAACTTCATTTTCTACATAAGCAGTGTACCTATCCTATGGATCTCGGCGGTTGGCTCGACTGTGTATACGGCAGAGCAGTTGGGGGATCCGACTGGCACTGCAATGCAAAACAGTGTCCCAACCAAATGGCTCACCAAAAGTGTCCCCAACAGGGTGACCAAAAGTGCAACCAACACCCCAAGTGCGGTTTGAAATCGCCACTCCAATCGTTCTTGGAAGATGGTCTCCAGGGCTTTTTGCCGCATCCATATAATAAGTCTGATTGCAAAATGACCTGCTCCCTTGCTAATCACAGGGGTATTGCGTGCAAAACCCCAATGGGCTTCACAGACATTAGCCATGTGGCATCGAGGAAGAGCACGGCTAAGCGTTTGAAAGATGTATTATCACTGTTTTGCGGTAGAGCAGGCGCACCGCTTACCAAACTGTGTAGCCAGCTAAATTGTCTTTTGCCTACCGCTCCTAAAACACTAGGAGACATGTTTGCGTTCTACTATAGTTTTATCACAACTTGGGGAGATAAGGGCAGACAACACAAAAAAGACGCCTTTGATTTAGCCGTTCAAAAGGCTCACTTCGAACGTCCTTATGGAGACCTTGATGTCTATTCCATATTCAAAGGTAGCCACTCAGCAAAAACGGCGGGCCACACAGATGGTGATCTCCTCAGCCTTGTATGCAGCACACAGTCGCCAGGTAAATGTGGTCTATATTTGAGTTCTCTAAGTAACGATATCAGTGCCACATTCTCTGCAAAACACGGTGACAAATACCTGTCGTGGATCGTTTACATGACAGAAACATTTTACGACTTGCTTAAGAAATTGTTCGATGAGTGCAACGGTAGTTGCGGCGGTGACAGGCCTAGATGCCGTATCGCAAACTGTCCGCCAACCTGCACTGTTGCCAAGCAGCCAAGTACATCCAGTCACAGTGACCCCTGCAAATCCCTTGTCAACTGCAAAACTACGCATCCCACTTTATGCAAGTATGGCTTCACAATTAACAGCCCACCCAAACTGGGCGGTAAGGATGACCCAGCACTCAAACGTACGTGCCACGATTTGTGCACAATATTGGAAAAAATTGTAAAAGAAGGCAGCGTACTCTATAATTTAGTACACAAAACAATTCCGAAATACTTATTTGAAATACGTTCTAAGTTCATCTGGACATTGCTAGCCCTCTGGTCGCTGTCGCTCCTCTACCTGCTGCACATCGCCGTCGTCCGCCTGGACGTCCTGAGGATACGCTCCCACCTGCGCTCACCCGCAAGCCACCGCGTCGCAGCTCAGTCGCTGCTCGCCGCCGCACGCGTCAAGGCGCTCGCCAACGTCAAGTACTTCTCACCATAATCGTGCCTTCACGTGTGATCTGTGTATCACTCACTCACTCAACCACTCACTCAACCACTCAACCACTCAACCACCCACCCACTCAACCACCCACTCACCCACTCAACCACCTACTCACCCACCCACTCAACCACTCACCCACTCACATACTCACACACTCCCTCACCCACTCAACCACCCACTCAACCACCCACCCAACCACCCACTCACATACTCACTCACCCACTCACATACTCACCTCCCTCTTTCACTGCTCGCTTCGCTCCCTCCCTCCTCCTCCATCACCTCCTCCGTCGGCGTCCTTCACCCAAATCCTCATTTTCCACTTTTTCCCTCCACCCCTTTAACCGCCTTATCCCAACCCATCTTCCCCCTTCATCGCCCTCTTTCGCCCCTTCACCTCCCTCGCCTTGTCCACCTCCCTCGCTCCCTCGCTGCCTCACTGCCTCCTTGACCTAAAATCGCCTTTCTCCAAATTCCCCCAAATCGCCCTAATAATGTGCCTAAAATAATCTTGCAACATTTCTCAACTTCTTCACTTTCCTCTTGCTAGCCCTCTGGTCGCTGTCGCTCCTCTACCTGCTGCACATCGCCGTCGTCCGCCTGGACGTCCTGAGGATACGCTCCCACCTGCGCTCACCCGCAAGCCACCGCGTCGCAGCTCAGTCGCTGCTCGCCGCCGCACGCGTCAAGGCGCTCGCCAACGTCAAGTACTTCTCACCATAATCGTGCCTTCACGTGTGATCTGTGTATCACCCACTCAACCACTCAACCACCCACTCAACCACTCACTCACTCACATACTCAAACACCCACTCAACCACTCAACCACCCAACCACCCACTCAACCACTCAACCACCCACCCACTCAACCACTCACCCACCTACTCAAACACTCACCCACCCACTCACACACTCACCCACCCACTCACACACTCACTCACTCAACCACTCACCCACTCACCTAATCACCCACCCACTCAACCACCTCCTCCGTCGGCGCCTTCACCCAAAACCTCATTTTCCACTTCTCCCCTCCACCCCCTAAATCGCCTTACCTCAACCCATCTTTTCCCTTCATCGCCCTCTTTCGCCCTTTCACTCCCCTCGCCATGTCCACCCACCTCCCTCGCTGCCTCCCTCACCTAAAATCGCCTTTCCCCAAACTCCCCCAAATCGCCCTCAAAATGTGCGTAAAATAATCCTTCAACATTTCTCAACTTCTTCACTTTCCTCCTATTAGCCCTCTGGTCGCTGTCGCTCCTGTACCTGCTGCACATCGCCGTCGTCCGCCTCGACGTCCTGAGGATCCGCTCCCACCTGAGATCACCCTCAAGCCACCGCATCGCCGCGCAGTCCCTCCTCGCCGCCGCACGCGTCAGGGCACTCGCCAACGTCAAGTACTTCTCACCATAATCCTGCCTTCACGTGTGATCTGTCTATCACCCACTCACCCACCCACTCACTCAACCACTCACCCACTCACCCACCCACTCACATACTCACTCACCCACTCACTCAACCACCCACTCACTCAACCACTCAACCACTCAACCACTCACCACCTCACCCACCCACTCAACCACTCACCCACTCAACCACTCAACCACTCAACCACTCAACCACTCAACCACCTAACCACTCACTCACCTCCTCCTTCACCGGTCGCTGTCGCTCCCTGCCTTCACCCCTCCCTCACCTCCTCCGTCGGCGTCCTTCGCCCAAAACCTCATTTTCCGCTTTCCCCCTCCACCTCCTAAATCGCCTTACTTTCACCCATCTTTCCCCTTCATCGCCCTCTTTCGCCCCTTCACCTCCCTCACCCTGTCCACCCACCTCCCTCACTGCCTCCTTGACCTAAAATCGCCTTTCTCCAAATTCCCCCAAATCGCCCTGAAAATTACCCTAATAATCCCCCTTTTACTCCTTTTAACTCCCCCCTATTCCACCTTTAATCCAAGTATGATAACCATTATAATGAAGTTCATTACCTTACAGAGGATGCCAGAAAGAAAGCTTTGAAGGATATTACTGACAGGCAGACTACGCTTAATGAGCTTAAAGAAAAACTTAAAGATTTTATTGGCGATGAAAATTGTAAAAACCTATTAACAAATCTCACTGAAGGCTTAGAAAAATTCCTTGGTTACAATGAACATTCCAAAGGCTACGACGGCACTGGCATCGTGTACTCCGACCTCGACAGGCTCTGCGACGGGGTGATGGCCTTTATCCTTGAATGTCTTAAGGGCAGTTACAGCACTTTAAAACATTATAATAAGACTATTGATGATACTATTAGAGATTTAAGTGCTGCAATAGGTAAGGGCTCTGGTGTTGAGGGATTTGGCGAGGCCATTGGGATTGTGCGGGATGGGCTGGAGAGGTATGAGAGTGTTTTATCTACAAGAATTCAAGACTTCAAGAGTCCGTTGGAAGATATTCAGAGGTCTATTCCAGCATATAAGAAGCAATTAGATTCTTGGAATTCCAAGAAACTTCACGATCAATTGAGTGAAGTGTTCTCCAAGGCATCCATGTATTCGGGTAAATCCAAGATGTCCGAGAATTACATGAAACGATTTGACGAAGGTTTACAAAGTAAGTTGAAATGTAGTGTATCATTGGTTGTGCAGGCGACGGAATGGTTCAAGAAGTCATCGGAGGATGAAGAGCTTAGGAGCCAGGCACAAGTGGTGGACAGGGAGTTGGAGGAGCAGAAAGCTAAGTTGGAAAAGGACATCGACTATGGACTAAATGTATTGCAAAGTGACATTAATATGAAGCTTGAGAAAATCGGGAGTGGTATAGATAACTTGGATAAAGTAAAAGATGCGCATATCAAATACATACGAGAGGCTGTTGGGAAGGCCTCTCAGGCAGCGGGACAATTGATTGCAAAATACAAGGTTTATATAGATGGTATTTCCGGTATGTTTAGTGACATTAAAAAGGAGTTAGATAATTATCTTGCGCCTGATCAGAAAGGTAGATCGCCACTTGAGAAAGAGATTATCGCAGTTAGGTCCAAGGTGAAGGAGTTAGAATCTGTTTACAAGGGTGTGCTGGTGACGGTTAAACAGGAAGTTGTCGCGGCGGTGAATAATACTGCGGACCATCTAACAAGAGTGGATTATGCCGTTAAAAAGGGGTTGTTGGAGGTGAGGAGGGAGATCAAGAAGGCGTTGAAGAAGTATGTTGATGAGTTGAAGGAGACGGACATTTATAAGTTAGATGAAAAAGTGGTTAATGATTTAGGGTCGTTGAGAAGTAATATTAAGAGCCAGTTGAATGACTTTGTCACGAAGCAGTTGGGAGGGGCGTTGTTGCTGGGAATGGAGAAGGCTAAGGCATTCACTTGGACTGATAGTAATTCCAAAGCAGGCCTCGAAGCGATTGCTGGTGAGCTAAAGAATCATATGCAAACCTTTACCCCATTGCTAAGTAAGCTTGCCAAAGAGAAAACAAATACGTGCACCAAACGTTTTGCGGGCAGTATAGAAAACCTATTAAAGCACCTTAATGATGGCAATGAAGCATATCCAGAGAGTCTAAAGCCAGAACCACTTCCCTCAAGTGTGCTCAGCGCCCTTAAAAATGACATCACCGGCAGGATTGATTCAATATTAAGAAATACGGTTGGGCAAAATAGTGGATGGAGTAAGCCAACCATGGACCTTAACAACAAAATGTCGACGTTCGACACCGCGGACAAGGAGCTCAAGAATGTCTTAGATAAGGGGTTCAACGAAAAGATTGATACCATACTGAATAGACAGATTGGGAAGGATATAAGTGGTGATGATAATCCAATTAGATTTAAAGACGATGAGGAAGACAATGGTCTCATGTCAGAGTATCTGAAGCAGACAAGAGTAGGCGCAACGGACGGCAGAGGAGAAGGTACACTTAGATCTTTGATTAAGAGGATTAAGGATCCGGTAAATAAAATTTTCGATGCCAAAGACACTGATATGATTGATTTCGATGCGCTTGGACAATACAACAACCAACTGCGGGAGTACAACAAAGCTATTCAAGAAGTAAATGCCACTATAAGCAAACTTGAGAATGTGCCCAGAGATGTTGACAAAAAATCCCATGCAAGCATTCAGCTCCTCAAGCAAGCAATGCAAAGAATTGAAGGCATTATAAACAACATTCATGATATACGTTCAGTAGTGGACTCTGCTGACCAAGCATTGCGGTCACAGATTGATGACATTTACCAAGCCTTAGCTACCGCACAACAACAGGCCAAACAGGGCATACAAGAGCTGAAAGACTCTCTCACTCAAACTGTACAACAATCCTTCCGCCTCCTCACCTCCCAAGTCCACTCCCTCTTCGCGCGGCAGAAGCAGGCCGAACTCACGCAGCTGCAGAGCGTCGTCACGGCGCAGTTGAGGGAGATTAATGAGATTATCAAGGAGGATAGGGAAAACGGGGTGAAGGGTTTTTTGACAAAAGTGAGGGAGGGGATTGATAACCATTTGAAGAGTTCCACGCCCGTTGCGCTCATCGACAAAATTCCATTAATCCACTTGGCGACCAAAGCTAGAAAATATCTGGATCCACTATTTGACTACATTGAAGAACATGTGAAAGATTTGGTACCAAATGATGATCCAAGCAGGTCTCCAACCCCAACCGCCAACAAGCGATCTGATCAAGTACATAAAATCAAGGACCAGCTGGACACTTTAATTAGCCATCTTCATAACTTCGACTATAATTTCCATGTTAATTTAGATGCACTAATAGATGCTGTGAGTGGTCTGCATTCCACTGATTTCGGTGAGGGACGAAATCCCGAGCTTCTCAACATAGTGAGAAAAGGCATCACAGCCTTCGACACACAACTCAACTACGCCTACGTGAATAGGTATTCAGCGCAGGCGATCACTTGGACTAAGCCGAAAGGCGATAAGACCGAACCGTCGGAGAGCGCAATGAGCTGTGCGAAAGCCTTCCTCACGTTGGTGCCAATGCTATATGGAGACATGTATGACTTGCTGGATGCCCTCGAAGACGGTTGGACCCTCCACAGTATATATTACGTCGAGACTGATAAGCGCAAGAATCCGCTAGGCAGATTCTTGAAAAAGATCGGGTATACTGTGCCGACACATGCCGACGTATGTAATGGCGAGCTTAATAATAAAAAAGGTTTCACAGGTAAAAGCATTTTAGATTGTCTCATCGGGTCCAAGAGTGTATTATTTAAAACACCTAATATGGATTCCGATGTGCTTAAAAAGCTTAGCTATGTCCTTGAACGTTACTACGAAGTCGGTCATCTACCCACTCCATCCTCACCCAAGGCGCCATCCAACGTATACCAAATGCTCTGCTGGCTCCGTGGTCTCCAGTATAATAGTGTATTTACTTCATTCACTGAGCACGTTAAAACATTGTTCGACAAACCGAATGGAAAGGAAGACATGAGAGAGTACAAGAACATTCCACCAAACACACTAACGCTGTCTGCAGCTCCCAAACCATTCACTGCAAGCGAAGTAATTTCAGTATTACGTACCGTTACAACACAATGCCAATCTGTACTCACTGCCATCCTAGGACATGGCCACGCAAGTGGCATCTATGCATCTGACTTCTCGAACAATTCACTTAATTTACATTATCCATCCAATATGACAGCCTTACTCTGCTTGTTGCTAGAGATCGTCAATCGCCTCCACCACCAACTTTTTTTCTTGCACGAACAATGTTCGTATTACACTAACCTCAGCGGCTGGCGTGAATGTCATTACGGCCAAAGTGTTGGCGGTTCAGATTGGCAGTGTAACACTAGGCAATGTGGTAACCAAGCGTGTCCCCAAAAGATTAACCAGAAGTGTCCCCAAATAGCTAACCTAAGTGCTAACCAAACAGCAAACCAAACGTGTGACCAACACCCTAAGTGCGGTGTTAAATCACCTTTGCAATCCTTCTTAGAGGATGGCCTTCAGGGTTTTTTGCCGCATACCCTGTCAACCAAGGGACCAAAATTGTCATGTTCCACGTGCACTAAGTTATCACCTCTTATGCCGTGTAAAACGCCAATGGGCTTCTTTGATATTGGCATAAAGGCGTCGCATATAAAGACTGGTGAGCATATTTTTAATGTTCTTGGCATTTTTTGCGGCAATAAAAATTCCAATCTCAGTCGACTCTGCATTCAACTGAATTGTCTGCTTCCGACTCCACCCAAATCACTGGGTGAGATGTTTGGTTTCTATTATCATCTCATCGCAAATTGGAATAGCAGTAAAAATCACGCGCTGCTTAAGAAGCACAGGGAAGATCCATTCAACGCTAATGTTGGTTCCGCATCCTTCGGGGTCGTTGATAATCTGAACGGCGTGTCGAGTATGTTCAAATCTCAACATCATCTAGCAAAGGATGCGAAAGTGGACACATCAAAGGAATCAGAACAACAGGCGTACCACAGCCGCGGCGACCTGTATAGTTTATGTGATCCAGACGTTTCATGTTATAACGCGATAAATTACTGTGGAGCGTATATAGCATCATTGTACACGGATATGTATTCAACGTTTTCGTCCAAGAACGCCGATAAATATCTTTCGTGGGTAGTGTATGTCACTGAATTATTTTATGATTTTTTGTGCCAGCTGACCAAAGTCTGCAATGACAATTGCGGCACAAGAAGTCATAAATGCCTTGTCACCGGCTGCGCAAAAGGCATTTGCAGCCTCTCAACTCACTCCTCCTTTGAAACAGTAAACAGCCATCATGGCACATGTAATTCGATACTAAATTGCCGCCACAGTCATCCGACGTTGTACAGCTGTGGTATGACATTCAGAGATAGAACCAATCTGAATGGCAAAATAGGGACACAGAACATCCCCAAAAGAACTTGCAAAAATTTCGTACAACAGCTGCAGATTGTATGTTCAAATAAATCTGTACTTTCCAAGATAATTCATGAAATTATACCAAATTATCTTCTCGCAATCAGGTGGCCATTCATGTGTCTACTAGTAGCCCTCTGGTCGCTGTCGCTCCTGTACCTGCTGCACATCGCCGTCGTCCGCCTCGACGTCCTGAGGATACGCTCCCACCTGCGCTCGCCCTCGTCGCACCGCATCGCCGCGCAGTCCCTCCTCGCCGCCGCACGCGTCAAGGCACTCGCCAACGTCAAGTACTTCTCACCATAATCGTGCCTTCACGTGTGATCTGTGTATCACTCACCCACTCAACCACTCAAGCACATACTCACTCAACCACCCACTCAACCACCCACTCAACCACCCACCTACTCACCCACTCAACCACCCACTCACTCACTCACATACTCAACCACTCAACCACCCACTCACTCACTCACATACTCAACCACTCACCTCTCTTTCACTGGTCGCTTCGCTCCCTGCCTCACCCCCTCCATCACCTCCTCCGTCGGCGTCCTTCACCCAAAACCTCGTTTTCCACTTCCTCCCTCCATCTCCGAAACCGCCTTACCTCAACCCATCTTCCCCCTTCGTCGCCCTCTCTCGCCCCTTCACTTCCCTCACCCTCTCCACCCACCTCACTCGCTGCCTCCTCCACCTAAAATCGCCTTTCCCCAAATTCCCCCAAATCGCCCTGAAAATGTGCCATTTCATCCCCCTTTACTCCTTTTAACTCTCCCTTAATCCGCCTTTAATCCAACTATAATAACCATTACAATGAAGTTCACTACCTTACTGAGGACGCCAGGGGGAAAGCCTTGGATGATATTGATGCCCGCCGTACCTCTCTTGGTCAGCTTGCCGGACAGCTTTCGGGTTTAATTGGTGGGAGTGACGAAGTTAAAAATGCAATTTTATATGGTTTGCACAGTAACGTAAGTCAGCTTGAAAAGCTTTTAGAAGCATCTTGCGGAGGTGAGGGGTGTAATTGTTATGATAAGAATTTCAGTGATAAACATCTTAAAAATCTTCAAAAGACATTTGAGAAATATGATGAAATTGAAACAAAAATTAATGGCCTTAAAAAGCAAAAAGATGAAAACAATAAGGCGCCCGTAGGGGCGCCGCCCGGCAGTGAGTCTGAGATTGAGGAGCATAAGAAGAAACTTGAAGAGCTTAAAAAAGAAATTTTCTCACAAAGTTCTCAGCTTACAAAGCAAATTACAACTGTAATTGACGCTGTTCAAAGTAAAATTACTGAACTTGACAAGAAGAAAAAAGATGTTGATAGCCTTCAGTCTCAAGTGAATGAGCTTAAAAAGCAAATTGAGGAGGGGGAAAAGAATCTTAAAAGCCCGCAAAAATATGATGAAAATGAACTTAAAAGGCTTCAAGAAGAGCTTCAAAAAGCAAAAAATAATTTCCCTGAGAAAGACTCTAAATCTCTTGACTCTCATCAGAAGTCTATGAATTCTGTCAGAAGTCTACATGAGCTTTGTCAACATTGTAAGGATATTAAAACTAATAACAATGAAAATCCTAAAAACCTTTTAAATAACCTTTGTGGAGGCCTCGAAAATTTTCTCGGCTACGAGAATGGTAATTACACCGGTGAAGGGATTGTGTACTCGGACCTCGACAGGCTGTGCGACGGGGTGATGGCGTTCCTTCATGGTGTTCTTGAGACTGTGAAAGGTGATGAAAACGTCACGAAATATGATAACAATCTTCAGGAGCCTAAATTGGATAAACTTCTTAAGGAACTTTCTTCTTCCATAGGTAAGGGGTCTGTCGCTTTGGGTGAGCAGGTTACTGCGGTGAGTGACTGGCTTGGGAGGTATGAGAGTGAGGTGAACAGTAAAACTGATGAGGTAAAAAATCCTATTAAATTTCTAAAAGATAGGATTGGAGGTGACAAAAATCTCATTGAAGGAGAAAATGAGAGAGATCTTTCCCTGCAGATTTATTTTTGGGGGCAGCGTGCTAAGGAATACATTAAGAAGGCGGAAGAGGCCGATAAGGCCCTGAAAAACATCGATCCAGCACTCTCAGGTAAGTTAACTCCGAACATTCAAATGCTGTTGCAGGCGACGACGACGTTTCAAGAGGCGGCGGGGAATGATGATTTGAAGGCGATGTACGAGATGGCGCGGGAGAGGATGGAGAAGGTGAGTGAGTATATCGGAGGCAGATTTGATGGATGGATTGGAGGGATTAAGCATTATTTGACAAGCGAGATTTCGAAGTTGAGTGGGAAACTCGATATTTTTGAAAGAAGCGATTTTAATAATTTAAAAACGTATATTAACTCCGACCTTCAGCAGGCGTTCCAGACGGTGAGCGAAGGGATCGATAGTCTTGAAAAAAGGTATGGAAGTGAGATTGTTGACAATGCTTTACTGCTAAAGAATGCATCAACACAATTTTCTGATCGAATTTCGACAACTCAAAAAGCAATCGACAAAGCGATTAAGGAAGTAGAAGAAGACATCGAGAAGTTTAAAGAGCTCTCGAAAATTGAAGAAATTAAAAAGGACAAAAGCAGCAATGTTACGGCAAAATTACTGAAAGCAATCGGCGGTACTGAAGACCCTTTTAAATCTATTAAAGATTATTTTGGCAAACTTGACACCGATGTCATGACGCCTGTAAAGGAGGCCATAGAGAAGATTGCAACCGGGTTAGGAAATCTTGTTAAGGTCGGCAGAGATGAGATGGAGAGTGCATTTTCAAGTGTTAAAGAGGAACTTAGAAAGAAAATTCAAGATGTGCAGAAATTTGTTAATGGTACACTTCCATCCACCGAATTAAATGCTCTTAACACACTTCTCGGTGTTGACATAAAGGCGCCCGATCTCAAAAGGTATGACTCCCACGTTCAACGTGTAGCAAAAAAACTCAATGGAGGTAGTGAAAAATTGGAAAAAGGAGATATTAAGAATCTCCTCAACGTCTTACGGGAAGTTGCTCATACTGCATCCCAGCACTCCCACCAGGTTGTTGGGGCGGTCATGAATAAGATTCAATCGAAGGTTACTGAGGATATTAAAGCCGCCGCGGAGGCATTAAAAATAAAAGTGGAGAAACTTAAGGAGGGTGTAAATTACAGTAATGAATTCGATATTGAGTACAGCACGAAGAATTCAGCCCAAGGCCTCAAGAAGCTCATGGGTGATTATGAAAATAATATTAAGAATATGATTAAAACACTGAATGATAAGGTTGGCACGAACGGACATTCCGCAGAAAAAAGTATCTACAAGGATCTGAAAACGCTGCAAGAGAATATTGCACAGCTTGACGAACGGATTATCACGGCTAAGCAGAATGTCCAAACAGTTCAAACTGAGCTCATTGGTTGCATCGATCAAGCCGGTAAACTCCTCAAAGAAGCACCCAAAGAAGCTGAAAGAATCATGAACAAACTCTGTCAAGACGTAAATGACCAAATTACAAACGCCTTCACCGACCTCCAAACCCAAGCCAAATCCCTCTACACCTCCCGCAAGACAAAGGAAGTCGCAGCCCTGCAGAAGATCGTTGGGGAGCAGTTTGAAGAAACTAAAAACACAATAAATAGAGATAAGTTCATGGGTATAAAGGGATTACTGAAGAGAATGAAGGAGAATGAGAGCAATTTTGTAAAGATGGCAACGGTTCTAAATCCGCTGGAGGGAGACCATTTCAAAAAATGGCCTCACTTGTCGAGAGTTTAATGGACTCTCTTCTGGAATACACTGAAAACCAAGCAAAGACGCCGATTACTGGTCATCCTTTAAAAGGACTGGGAAACTTCCAATCTAACAATGTTTGTGATATTCAGAAGAGATTTGTCACATTGCTTGACTATCTTAAAAACCACAATAATATTACTAATTTAGATCAGTCCATTAAAAAACGTATTTACATATTTGACGATGTCTCCACCAGATACCTTACCGAATTGAATGACTCCATCTCCGCCCTCTCCCCCTCCCACTTCCACGGCTTCCACAACCCGCTGCTCCTCGACGCCTTCAAGGCCGGCATGGGCAATTTCACCCAGCAACTCGGACACGCGTACGTAAACAAGTATAGCGGGAAAACGTTTGGTCCTTTGACAAAAAAAGAAAAGGTGGCTGACCCTTCGAAACAAAAATCCGACGCCGCTACCACAACTGAGATAGATGTCCTCTCCACCGAGGGCCGCAACTGCGCCAAGGTCTGCCTGACCATACTGGAGGAGTTTTATGCAGACTTCAATACGTTGAAAGCGCACTGTTATACTAAAGGTGGTTGGACACAATTACAAATTAACACTTACGAGAAGAATTCACTTGGTGACTTCTTCCATAAAAGAGGATACGAAGTCAACTCCGAGAAAGGCAAGCAGGCTGGCGAGTTGCAAGATAAAGATACCAAGAAGGGCACGCATATTAGTAGTGATCTTCTTATCAAGAAAATTACCGATGGTTCCACATTTCCGATTATACAGGCGTGGAGGAAAACAAAATATCCAACCGTTACAAATAGCACCGAGATATCTCTGTTCGACTTTGTTGACTTCATACGCGAACTTCTTCGAAAGTACTACCAAGTATGCCAACTTGAACATCATTCGTCAACTAAGGCCCCCTCAAATATCTATCAGATGCTGTGTTGGCTTTCTGGGTTCTACTTTAATCCGATGTACGAGAAGGTGAAGGAACAATTTAATGGACTTTTTGATAAGGATATCAAGCAGTTAGCTGTTGTCGTACCAGACAGAGAGAAACACACAAAAACTGAAAATCTTAAAGCTAGTGATTTACACACTCCACTCCAACAAGTTTGTTTGCGCTCGCAACTTACACTAACCGCCATCCTAGGTCACGGCCATCCTGATGGCCGTTACGCCTGCGATTTCCGCACAAACATCGATAATTTATTGTATCCATATGCTCCATCACAGTGTTTAGACATGCTTGTAGATATTTTGAAGAGAGTGTGTCAACAAACATACTTCCTATACCTACAATGTAACAACAGCCGTATTAGAGGCGGGTGGGCTGACTGCCACTATGGCAGATATGTGGGTGGTTCATCATGGGACTGTAATGAGAGACAGTGTCCCAACGAACAGTGTAACCTAAGACCTAACCAACGTGCTGACCAAAGTGCTAACCAAGGTACTAACCAAAAGTGTAACCAACATCCCAAATGCGGTGTTAAATCACCCCTTCAGTCCTTCCTGGAGGACGGCCTTCCAGGTTTCCTACCGCATACATTTACCACACCTGGCTGTAAGCTGACATGTTCCCTAGGCAATCACTTTGGTAAACCATGTCTTACTCCCATGGGTTTTGCAGATATTGGTATTGTAGCCTCTCATACACAGAAAGGTGCGTATCTACTTGGTGAACTCAAACATTTCTGCGGTCCAGATTCTAAACTCAATAAGTTGTGTTCTTACCTCAACTGCCTGCTCCGCGTAGCACCGCAGACGCTTGGTGATATGCTAGCGTTTTACCATAGATTGCTCAGGTTCTGGGGTGACACAAAGAAAACTTCGGTGCTTAAGAGTGTTGCATTTGATGAAGCTGTCCGAAAGGCCAACTTTGGGAACAAGGAAACAAAGTTGGACGTTACATTCATTCATCAATACGATAGTCATTCTAGCAATACGCATAAAAATGGTGATCTGTTCAGCCTCATCATATGCAATAAAAATGAGAATCCAGCTGTTCCCTGCGGTCCATACCTACAGCCTCTGTCTCTTGAATGTTGTGATACATTTTCCGGTAAGCACTCTGGTAACTATCTTTCATGGGTTGTATATATAACAGAAACGTTCTATGACTTACTTAAAAAACTATATGAAGATTGTTGTGGAAAGTGCAATAAACCAGGCACCAGGTGCTACGACAAATGCTGTGATTCACAGTGCAAAATAAATTTTTCTTACGGCACTGGTAATACTCCCAAACAACTCAAGGATGTAAATCATGAAGATGGATGCACATCCATTGTTAAGTGCAAAAATATACATCCGACATTGTATGCATACGGCTTCACTTTTAAAAGCCCACATGGACTGAGTGGTGAGAAAAGGAAGGAAATGAAGCGCACATGTCAGGATTTCTGTACAGCATTAGAAAAGGTTGTAAAGGACGGTAGCGTTCTCTATGACTTAGTGCACAAGCATATTCCACAATTCCTTTTCGATATTAGAGAAAAGTTCATATGGACTCTCGTAGCCCTCTGGTCGCTGTCGCTCCTGTACCTGCTGCACATCGCCGTCGTCCGCCTCGACGTCCTGAGGATCCGCTCCCACCTGAAATCACCCTCATCGCACCGCATCGCCGCGCAGTCGCTGCTCGCCGTAGCAAGGGTTGGGAAAATTGCCAGCGTCAAGTACTTCTCACCGTAATCGTGCCTTCACGTGTGATCTGTGTATCACTCAACCACCCACTCACCCACCCACCCACTCAACCACCACTCACTCACCCAACCACTCACTCAACCACCAACTCACTCACCCACTCAACCACCCACCCACTCACTCACTCATCCACCCACTCTCCTCCCTCTTTCACTGGTCGCTTCGCTCCCTGCCCTTCACCCCTCCATCACCTCCTCCGTCGGCGTCCTTCACCCAAATCCTCATTTTCCACATTTTCCCTCCACCTCCAAAACCGCCTTACCTCAACCCATCTTCCTCCCTCATCGCCTTCTTTCGCCCCTTCCTTCCCTCACCTTGTCCACCCACCTCCCTCGCTGCCTTACTGCCTCCTTGACCTAAAATCGCCTTTCCCCAAATTCCCCCAAATCGCCCTAAAATGTGCCTAAAATAATCCTTCAACAACATTATTAAATAACCTCTGCACATGCCTCGAAAAATTTCTCGGCTTCAGTAACGGGAGTTACACCGGAGAGGGAATTGTGTACTCCGACCTTGACAGGCTCTGCGACGGGGTGATGGCGTTCTTGCATTCCGTGCTTAATGATGTCTATGAGAAACAGCCTTACAAAGTAGGGAAAGAAAGCCATTTGAAGAGTGTTGTTGATGCTTTGAATGAGAAATTATGTTCAGGTCATGATGGTTTTCAAGGTGTCATTACTGAGGTGGCCACGAGAGTCGGGAGGTATAATAGGGAGGTGGAGAGGTCTAATAGAAAAATTAAAAGTAAAATAGAAAGATTGCTAGAGCAGGTAGGTGAAGAGTTCGAGAGCATGATTACGAAGATTCCTGGTGAAGAAATTTTTGGTAAACTGCAGTATATTGGTGAACAGGTTAGTGATGCAAAACTGTTTGCCGAAAACTATGTGGGATACGGCGCAACGTTTGAGAGTAGGCTTCAGCCCTTGGAACAAAATATAAATGATCTCAATTCACAGTGTAAGAATAACGTGATCAACGCGAGAAAACAGATTAAGCATGAGACTGAGAGGCTTCGTAAATTGTCGGAGAAGGAATGGAAGGACTTGAAAAGTATGGAAATGAAGATTACGACGGTGCTTCAAAAGCTCGGAGTAGACGTTAACGCACATATTAGCAGGGAAGTGAAAACACTAGTTGAGAATTTGAAAGCATTGGTTCAAAAAATTAAAGATTTGCTCAACGACACTTTCAAAAAGCTGAGCAACTACATTTTCGAGTTGGAAAAGTGGATGAAAAATGCGGACACTATGGTGAATAGTGCAATGGAAGGGACGACGGAAATTGCCGATAAGAAGCCCGGAAAGAATAATCAGGAGATGATTAACGCAAAAGCGGGGCAGGTTAAAGATTGGAGTGGTTGGCTTGAAAGGTATATAAGTGAGCTTACGAGGCTGACTGGTGAAGTTGACGTGAGGATTACGGCGCTTGCAGGGGCGTTTAGTGAGATCAAAGATGAAACTAATAAAAATATTAAAGGGATTTTGGAACATGTTAGAGGGAAGGTTGGGGAGATTAAAGAAGGGGTTATTGGAAATGGCTCCGGACAAGATGACAGTATCGATTATAATTGGAGTGAGCTTCAGAGGCAAATTACGGCGCTTGTAAATCAAATTAGCGGTACTGAATATTCCAGCTACGGCCTCAAAAAGATTGTGAAGGAGGTAGAAAAGTATGCGCAGGGGTTCAGTAAAAATGATAGATCCCGCGAAAATAAGTTTCAAGGCATGGTGAAGCAATGGGTTGATGATATTATGAAAAATAATGAGATGGTTAAGAAGAAGCTTTGGGAACATGCCAGCAGCGGTTCGCCGCTGAGATATAGCAATCTTGGTCATCTGCAAAATCCTCTCAAGGATCGTATCATGAATGTTGTTGGAGCGGAAGCCAACGAAGCTGGTGAATTAGTCACAAGTGAAATCCAAAAACCCGGCATCGACAGTATTACCACAAATCTTAACGCTGTGAAGAGTGGCATCGATCACTTTTCCACCAAGCTTGGCATGAAACTTACAACCGACCGAAGCGGCGCGCTGATACAAGAAATTATCCAGCCGCTTTCTCAACCATCCGGTTTACTGCCAAGAACGACAACTTCCAACCCAGCAAGTCTTACTTGTGCAGTCGAAGCGGCTCTAGCAGCCTTGCACGCCACGGCGAAACGGAATGTCGATGACATCAGTACAATAATTACGCAATACTATCTTGGTAACGTTCATGATGCTATAAGGAATGTCAACAAAATCAATAAGCACATTGACGGGCAAGGTGACGAAGCAGACGACTACGGCAAGAAAATAGATGACGCATTGAGAAAAGTGCAGCAACCGCTTAACTCGCTCCACTCCCAAGTCAACGAGGCAACTGGACACCCCGCCGGCTCATCCGGCAAACCTAATCACGCCAAAAACCTGGACGAGGCAATTGAGGCTGTAAAAAACAAAGCGGTAGAACTAACCACTGGCGATACAACTGCCATGGCGACATTGTCCGACCAAATAAAATCTAATCTCGTGGCTCTGACAGGGGAATTTGCCATCGCTGGCAAAAAGGTCATTGAGCAATTGGAGAAGCTTAAAAGGGAGATCTCTTTAAACAAGGATGGAGAAGGCCTACATAAAATACACAAACAACTTAAAGAGCTTCACGGCGTTGCGGTAACTGAGGCCCTCAGTGCTGCTGAGAAATTCCTTAAACCGGACGCCTACAAACTTCGAGATGAAACTATCGAAAAACTCCGGGGACAAGTCGACAAGGAAATAGAGAACGCTAAAAAGCTAATGATCAAACAGGCACAGAAAATTTACGTGACGTCAGTCAGAGACTTATTGACTGAGTACTGTAAGAAATGTCACAACGAGCTTAGCAGCCTTCCACAACAAATCACCGACGATTTGACCTCAGGATTCAAAGGCTTCATGAAAACGCTAGAAGGAAAGCCTACCAGTGTGGCTACGCGTCGTAGAAGCGTCACAGATCAACCAGGTAAACTGGAGGAGTTTAAAAATGCTGTAACTTCAATTTCGCCAACTTCGTTTACGGCAGCAGATTTCAAAAATTTAGCAGCAGCAATCACAACATACATTCATCCAATTTACGAAGATGTTATGCGTCAAATTACTCCCTTACCTCCACCTCGGATTCAGACTCCAACTGAAGATCTCAACGTTGACAAACTCACTGATACCAAAAAAGCATTTGACACCTTACTTACGCATCTTATCGGCAATGGAAATAGGCAGTATAATTATGATAATGATTTCTTTAAAAAATATGATGCCCTTAAAATTGCAGTTGAGAATTTAGACCCTTCCCAATTCGCAAACCCGCGGCACCCGGAGCTGCTGGACGCCGTAGGGAAAGCACTGCAGGGATTCACAGGGGAGCTTCAGAAGGCGTACATAAACATGTACGACAGTCGTGTATTCCTAGAAGATTTAACGAAAAAAGATGAAACCGTTAAGACTGCAACCAGTGGAAAATCCCAGTCACCAAATGAGCCCCAAATCATATTGACACCGTATGGTGAAAAATGCTCGAAAGTATGTCTCACGGTTTTGATAAACCTTCACGACTATTTTGGTCGTTTGAGAATACATTGTGAAAGCAATGGTTTCTCAAAAAAAATGAATGCTATCACCGAACTCGGCATCTTACTAAAGAAATTCGGGTACAACGTGGCCACCGACAGGAAAGAGCAAAACGGTGAATTGCGAAATTCACCTGAGATGCAAGGGCAGCATATAATTCGTGAACTTGCTAAGCCAATATCGAGTGCCGACACTAACGAACATCTCCCCAAGTGCCCTTCACGTGAAAATACAAAAGGCAACATTAATCTCTTAGTCATCCTTCGATGCCTACACAGTCATATTGACGATTTGTTCCGAGTCGGCCACATATCTACATTCGCCGCCAAGAAGCGCCCCTCTTCCATCTACGAAATGTTGACGTGGCTCACTGGTTTACAGTACAATTCCGTTTATCACTCATTGTTGCACGACGGTGTCAGTGGCCTGCTTGATACACCAGATAAGCCTATTACTGGTGACGCAGAGGGATTTGATGTGCCCGTATTTGATTACCATTCCTCATACCTTAAAGCATATCCAACTAAGATAACTTATAATGATTTCGAGAGGGCGGTCGAGGATATATGCTCCAACTCCTATGACCTTCTGGTATCCATCGTCGGCACCGGAGACTCATACGCCAAATATGGGTGTGATTATTTTTGTAATTCATTCGGCTTACATTATCCAACTTCAGGAGAAGACTGTCTCCATTCGTTGCTCGATGTATTGCGTCGATTATTTCCAGTGCTTCGGTTCTTAAATATGCAATGTGGTCTGGACACTCAGCAAAACGGCTGGGCAGCATGCCTATACGGCAAAGACATAATGACAACAAAATCGCAGTGTACCGATCATTCAATCACTAAACCAAACTGCGAAGCACACTGTCAACCAAATGGCCATTCAAACACTAAACCAAATTGCCAACCTACGTGCCGACCAAACTCGCCGCTAATGTCCTACCTGAATGACTGCCTGCCCGGTTGTCTGCCCCACGAACTTACATCGGTTGGTTGTACATCCGTGTGCTTGACGTGCCCAAAGCTTAAGAAGGGTATGCCTTGTCTTACACCATTAGGGTTTAGAGCCTTTTCTACGTCCACTAAAACAGGCAGTGATTTATGTAAACTCATTAAATCTTTTTTCGGTAATGACCTAGTGTCAGCGTTATTCTGCCTTGTGACGAAACCTCCGGCATCCCTTCCGGAGCACTTTGGGTTTGCACTATGCCTAGTGAGAAAGTGGCAAAACACCGGTGGTTACCCACTTAAAACTGCTATCGAATCATCTATAGAAACCCTGTCTATCAAACTCCACGACAATCCCAGAGCAGTTACCGATGCGTTGCGTAAAGCATACGGTAGCAGCCACAGTGATCATGGCAAGCATGACGGCAAGTCGGCTGACCTTTCGAGCCTCTCAATGACGATGTCGTGTTCCGATCAGCAGTGCGCACCCTATCTGAATTGCTTGTATTCCGATGCATATCGTTTCTTAGTTCACAAGAATTCTGACACCTATGTATCATGGGTCATTTACCTTTCGTTTATATTTCATGAATACCTCAAAGATCTATACAATGCCCTCACTAACATATCATGTAGCAACTGGGGATGCCGCAAGTGTCAACACCAAGGAACTACGTGTAAGGCAGGGCAGCATGGGACATCGGTGACATCCTGCAATTGCGCTTCGGTGGTCAGTTGTAACGCTGTCATGCCCACATTATATCAATGTGGTTACACGTTTGGAGACGCGCTGCAGCTAAGTGACCGCAATAGTAGAAAGACGTGCTTCAGGCTTGTCGATCAATTGCGCAAAGTTATCCATTCCAACTATTTCACGGAGCTTTTCGACAAATGCGACGATTTTCTCCTTCAAATAAGGAAGCCCTTCATGTCATTATTATTAGCCCTCTGGTCGCTGTCGCTCCTCTACCTGCTGCACATCACCGTCGTCCGCCTCGACGTCCTGAGGATACGCTCACACCTGCGCTCGCCCGCAAGCCACCGCATCGCCGCGCAGTCGCTCCTCGCCGCCGCACGCGTCAAGGCACTCGCCAACGTCAAGTACTTCTCACCATAATCGTGCCATCACTACTCACTCACTCACTCAACCACTCACCCACCTACTCACTCACTCACCCACCCACTCACCCACTCACCCACCCACTCACCCACTCACTCAACCACCCACTCACCCACTCACTCACCCACTCACTCAACCACCCACTCAACCACCCAACCACCCACTCACCCACTCACTCAACCACCCACTCAACCACCCAACCACCCACTCACTCACCTAATCACCCACTCACCCACTCACCCACCCACCTAATCACTCACCTAACCACCCACTCAACCACTCAACCACTCACCCACCCACTCAACCACTCACATACTCACTCACTCACCTAATCACCCACCTAATCACCCACCCACTCACTCACCCACTCACTCACCCACTCACCCATTCACCTAATCACTCACCCACTCACCCACCCACTCACCTAATCACCCACCCACTCACTCACTCACTCAACCACCCACTCACTCAACCACTCACTCAACCACCCACTCACCCACCCACTCACCTAATCACCCACCCACTCACTCACTCACTCAACCACCCACTCACTCAACCACTCACTCAACCACCCACTCACTCAACCACTCACTCAACCACCCACTCACCCACTCACCCACTCAACCACCTAATCACCCACTCACTCACCCACTCACCCACTCAACCACTCACCTAATCACCACTCACTCACCCACCCACTCAACCACTCAACCACTCACTCAACCACTCAACCACTCACCCACTCACTCAACCACTCAACCACTCACCCACTCAACCACTCACTCACTCAACCACTCACTCAACCACCAACTCACCCACCCACTCAACCATTCACCCACCCACTCACCCACCCACTCAACCACTCACTCACCCACTCACCCACCCACTCAACTACTCACTCACCTACCCACTCAACCACCCACCCACCTAACCACCCACACACTCACCCACTCACCCACTCAACCACTCACCCACTCAACCACCCACTCACCCACTCAACCACCCACTCAACCACCCACTCACTCACCTACTCAACCACCCACTCACCTAATCACTCAACCACCCACTCAACCACTCAACCACCCACTCACCTAATCACTCACCCACCCACTCAACCACCCACTCACCCACTCACTCAACCACTCACCCAACCACTCAACCACCCACTCAACCACTCACCCAACCACTCAACCACCCACTCAACCACCCACTCACCCACCCACCTACTCACTCACCTAAACACCCACTCAACCACCCACTCACCTAATCACCACTCAACCACTCAACCACTCAACCACTCAACCACTCAACCACTCACTCAACCACTCAACCACCCACTCACCCACCCACTCAACCACTCACTCAACCACTCAACCACCCACTCACCCACCCACCCACTCACCCACTCACTCACCCACTCACCCACTCAACCACCCACCCACTCACATACTCACTCAACCACCTACTCAACCACCCACCCACCCACTCAACCACTCAACCACTCACCAACTCACTCACCCACCCACCCACTCAACCACTCAACCACCCACTCACTCAACCACTCACCCACCTCCTCTTCCACCGGTCGCTTCGCTCCCTCCTCCCTCACCCCCTCCATCACCTCCTCCGTCGGCGTCCTTCACCCAAATCCTCATTTTCCGCCTTTCCCCCTCCACCTTCTAAACCGCCTTACCTCAACCCATCTTCCTCCCTCATCGCCCTCTTTCGCCCCTTCGCTTCCCTCACCCTGTCCACCCACCTCCCTCACTCCCTCGCTGCCTCCTTGACCTAAAATCGCCTTTCCCCAGATTCCCCCAAATCGCCCTAAAAATGTGCCTAAATAATCCTTCAACATTTCTCAACTTCTTCACTTTCCTCTTATTAGCCCTCTGGTCGCTGTCGCTCCTGTACCTGCTGCACATCGCCGTCGTCCGCCTCGACGTCCTGAGGATACGCTCCCACCTGAGATCACCCTCAAGCCACCGCATCGCCGCGCAGTCACTACTCGCCGCCGCACGCGTCAGGGCACTCGCCAACGTCAAGTACTTCTCACCATAATCGTGCCTTCACGTGTGATCTGTGTACCACCCACCCACTCAACCACCCACTCACCCACTCACTCACCCACATACTCACCCACTCACATACTCACCCACTCACTCAACCACCCACTCAACCACTCACTCACTCACTCACCCACATACTCACTCACTCAACCACCTCCCTCTTTCACTGGTCGCTTCGCTCCCTCTGCTTCACCCCTTCCATCACCTCCTCCGTCGGCGTCCCTCACCCAAATCCTCATTTTCCGCCTTCCCCCTCCACCTCCCAAACCGCCTTACCTCAACCCATCTTCTTCCCTCATTGCCCTCTTTCGCCTCTTCACCTCCCTCGCCCTGTCCACCCACCTCCCTCACTCCCTCGCTGCCTCCTTGACCTAAAATCGCCTTTCCCCAAATTCCCCCAAATCACCCTTAAAATGTGCCTAAAATAATCCTTCAACAGCATTATTAAATAACCTCTGCACAGGCCTCGAAAAGTTTCTCGGCTACGATAATGGTAGTTACACCGGTGAAGGCATCGTGTACTCCGACCTTGACAGGCTCTGCGACGGGGTGATGTCTTTCCTTCATGGAGTTCTTCAGACTGTGAAAAGTGATGAGAGCGTTACAACTTATGATATTGATAGGTCAAATGACATTAATAATGTTCTTCGCATTTTACATGATAGTGTAGGTAAAGGCCGTAAGGCCTTCCCGGAGGCCGTGCGTCAGGTAAGTGAGTGGTTGAAAAAACATGCGGTGCAGGTGGACACATTTACTGGGAGAGTTACAGGGCATTTAGGTAGGTTGATTGGTGACTTACATTTTGTATCAGGTAAATATTATCAAGAAGTTGAGAAGAAGCAAGGCGAGGACTTAACCACCCAGTTGTCTGGGTGGAAGGGGACCGTAGGGAAGATCCAAGACGAAGTAAACAATATTGAAACTTACAACGTTAATGTTCTAGATAGTACATTGAAAAATAGACTGATGCATGAAATGAGTGTCATTCATAGTAGTGTGTTGTTGCTAAAGAACTCGGCTAATGAGGAGGTGTTCGGGTTACAGGTGAAACAAGTGGATTCCACTTTGGTGAAGCAGCGCGATGATGTGTTGCAGAAAATTAATGAGGAATGTGCAGTGCTGCAAACGAGGGTAGAAAACGGATTTAAAAGTATAGACAATAGAATAATAGAGCTTACTCAGACCGCGATGACGCAGTTTAGATTGATGAGGGATGCCATTGCATTTTGCAGGGACTCGGTTAATTATAATTTTGACGACGATTATCGGATTAAAATATTAGATAATTTCGACGCTATAAAAATTAAGGTTAGCGGTTTTTATAACAAATTGCAACAGACAAAAAACGACCTTGGTGAATTGGTGAACAGCGCTTGGTCGGAATTTGGGGTTGAAAACCAACGTTCAAGTGGGCTCGAGACATGATGATAAGAGTGTATCGTTCAATTGGAATCAGCTTCAGGATGAAGTACAAATCATCGTCAGCAATGTTGCGAAAATGACAGGGGAAACAAGTCTAAAAGATGTCGTAGACGGCGTGGGAAATTACGCCAAGGGGTTTGGCGAGGATGCATTTAAGACGGCGGTGACGCAGTGGGTTAAGGATATTGTAAACACAGATGAGAGTATTGTGAGTAGCAAAATATATGATTATGTTATGCATAACAAGAGCGTTGGACTATTAGCAAGTGAAAATAGCATTCCGGATAAAGTCAAAAAAGTTAAAGCGGCCATTATAGAACATCTTCCAGGCCACATGCTTACTGATATTCAAGCTATTGCACAGGAAACGCTGAGAGGGGCAACCGTGAAAAACATCGACATGAAGTTTGGACTGTTCGCTAATCAGATTGGAAACAAACTTACGGGCGATGGTTCATCAATCGCTGAGGCAGTTCGGAAGATTCGGCAACACTTGAATATAACGCAAATGGGTCATCTCATGCCTAACTCCACAGATCCTCGTCTCACAAACGCCCTTAATGCTATTGCAAAATCTCTAATAAACAACTTCAAGCAAGTCGCCGAGGAGCTTAAGCGGTTCCTCGAAAAGTCCAAACTCCACCCAAACCTGGAAAAGGCTATAGAGAAAGTCAAGGAAATCGGAGAAAAAATTAGTATCGATGAGCTTGCAAACGGTCCTGGTAAAAATATTAATGATGCGTTGAAGATTGTTAATGGAAAGATTACTGTGCTCAATAAACTATTAAAAGACACGGGAGATCCAGGTTCAATGGTCGAAAAGCTTAATGAAATTCAAGATGGACTCGTTAAGTTGTATAATCTCAAGGAAGAAAAGGAAGGCAGTGGAATTTGGGATGAAAGGAAGAAAGCCGATGAGAAAATGGAAAAGTTGAAAGAAAGCATAATGGAGCACATTAATTACATAGACAATAGTGTCACCAATGCTGACAAAGAGTTAAATAAGACAATCTTAGGCATCACCAAAACATTTTCCGAAGCTTACAGGGAAGCCATGAGAGACATTACGGGTCTCCAAACTAATCTCGTCAAAAAAGCCACAGAAGCTTTCGAAACCGTAATAATCGAAGTTAAAAATCTTTTTGCCAGGCGAAAGCTGGCCGACCTAAAATCCCTGCAGACATTAATTACCAAGCAATTGAGGAACGTTGAATGGATAATCGACAAGGATGCGCGAAACGGCGTAAAAGGCCTTTTGAAAAGGATGCTTGACAGGGAAAATGTCGGCGCTACGGAGAATAACAATGCGCTTTATAAAATCAAAGATTTCACGCCATTCATAAATAATGACTTCACAACGTTATCAGCCAATTTTAAAACGTACATAGATGGCATTCTAAAATTCATTAGCATCCAAGTCACCACCCTGCCGCCCGCCACGCAGACCAATAAGGTCAACGAAATCCAGGACAAATTGGACAAATTACTCGACCATCTCGCCAAAGGCGGCAAAAAATGCAATTTCAATCACGACTTCGTCAACTTGCTGGAAAGGCTTAAGTCGTCCGTCAATAACTTGTCGCCTCCCACGTTCGACGGCTACAATAATGCGTTCCTATTGGATATCATTAAGGCCGGAATGAATGGTTTCACCAGTGAGTTAGACAAAGCATACGTGAATAAGTATTCCGACAGAGTCTTTGATTGGAACGACAGCAAAGAAACGAAATACTCCGCCGAAATATGTTTGAGTATTTTGCCAACGATTTACAACAAACTGCATTACATGTTTTACAGTTGCTGTAAAAAATGGAACGAGTGTACTATCCAGGCGGAAAGCGGTAAAAAGCATTTGAAAGCTTTCCTCGAAAAATACGGTTACGATATGCCCGAGCTTATTAACAAGCAGCACACAGGGCATGACGTCGCAGTTAAATTGAGTAAAAGCTTTAAAAGTCACAAGGAATTCAAGAGTCCTCCAAATAGCAATCATCTCAACTACCAATTATATCTTAATTACGCCAAGGACACTAAGGATCCCGGCGTGCTTGCAGAGCTTCTCGGCCATCTCACAACATACAACAACGTATGTCACTTAACTATTCAACCTAAGCCTAGAATGCCTTGTAGCGTTTTCGAAATGTTGGTGTGGCTCAACGGTCTCACGTATAACCGCGTTTATGAGCGCCTTATGGATCACATTAAAACGTGTTTCCCTAAACCTAAGGGCAAGGAGACGGCGGAATATTCCGATTTGTATCCGCACCAATTATCGTTGGATGCATATCCCTTTAGCGTTACTGCTGAGGACGTGCACTGCGCTGTTCAGCATATTTGCTCGAACTCAGCGACCGTGCTCACCACCATACTCGGAACCGGCAACGCTCTCACTATATATGCCTGCAGGTTCTCGAACAACTCATTTAATTTCAAATACCCTAATTCGGGAGACGATTGTTTTCAAACGTTGCTTGATGTGTTACGTAGAGTGTTTCCCGTTTTCCGATTCCTGAATAGTGTCTGTAAGTTGAGTTCTGAACACCACGGCTGGCGTGACTGTCAGTACGGGAGGCTTATCCCGACGGCCATGTCACCATGTGACAAGCAATCAAATGACCACTCAACCGACCAACCAAATGGGCAGTCAACGCATAAACCAAATGGTCAACCAAACACACAACCAAATTGTCAACCAACATCTCCACTAATGAGTTACCTTAACGACTGTCTTCCCGGTCACTTACCTCATGACCTATCATCCATTGGCTGTCGATCTGTGTGTTTAACGTGTCCAAATGGCAAGAAAGGCATGCCCTGTCTCACGCCATTAGGGTTTAGAGCGTTCTCAGGATCCACCAAGACGGGTAGTGACATATGTGATGTGTTGAGCAAATTCTTTGACAACGTATATCTTCCATCCATCTTTTGCCTCGTTGCCAAAGCACCATCCACACTGCCTGAACTGTTCTGTTTTGCGCTGTCACTTGTTAATAAGTGGAATGACTCTGGTAATCACCTATTAAGAGATGCATTCACATCGTCTATCACTGATGCCTCCATTAGTCTCTATGAGCATCCCAACGAGCTGACAGATGCGTTGCGCAATGCATATGGTAGTAGCCAGAAATCTCATGGCAGTGATAACCACACTCCCAAATCGGCCGACCTATCAAGTCTGGCAATGACGAACGGGTGTCCAGATCAGCTGTGCGGTCCCTTCCTTCAATCCATGTGGAACGATACGTATAAGCATCTCGCCAAAAGCCACTCCAACTCGTACCTTTCCTGGGCGGTTTATCTACCATGGACGTTCCACAGTTACCTCCAACTGCTGCTTGCCGAGTTTCAAAAGATATTCTGCCGGACTGGGGATGCCACAAATGTCAACATGGCATAAGTTGTAGGCCAGGGCAGCATGGTAGCTTTGATATCCCTTGTCACTGCAAATCAGTTGTGACATGTAACGGCGTCATGCCAACACTGTACAAATGCGGATTTGCATTTGGTGACGCATCGGTATTGAATGATAAAAACAAACCAAAAACCTGTACAAAATTCAGTGTATTGCTAAGTCGAATAACAGGCAGTAAACATTTTAAAACGCTACTGGAGGAGTGCGACAGATTTTTGTGGATCATCCGAACACCCTTCTCATACCTGCTGCTAAGCCTCTGGTCGCTGT